TTATATATTTACCGAAAAATTTGCTTTTAATTATATTTTAAAAAAGCTAATTAATCTTTATATAAAAAACTTTTATAATTAAATTTAATTAATCGTTAGCCGTTTAGCCCGGTTCTAGCTTGCGCATAATTTTAAACTAATTTAAATTTACCGTAAAAATAATAAATTTAAATAATCTATTTAATTCGCGTATAATAGCTATAAAATTTTAATAATACCGTAATATAAAGCGTAAATTACCTTTATATAAAGCCGGTAATATTACCTAAATAATATTTAAAATTATTATATTATTATCTCGTTATACCGAATCACCTTTATTACCGTATAAATCCGCACTAATTTTATCCTAATTTATACAAAATTAATTTAATTGATTTTAATTTTGCGTTACCTAAACGTTTATAATAAATTATTAAAATAATCGATTAAATACGAACGGGATTAAATCGTTTAAACCGCGGCTATATAAATAATAACGATATTAATCGCGGAAGGTTATATATTATTTTAAGCCGGGCGTTTTTATAAAAAATATTCCGGGTTAAAATTTATTAAAGCCGTAAAAAAATATAATAAAATATTATAAACCGAAAAAAGCTAGGTATTTGCAATTAATTATTATTAAATAATATTTTTATTTTTAACCGTTCGAATCGAAGCGTTTTTATACGAATACGATTTTACGTTAGCGGTTTTTGCGAATAGCTGCACCGTTATTATTTTTATTTATAATAATTCCAGCAATTTTATTCGTAATTAGCAAATTTTAGGTTTTTCGATCCGCTTTTTTCCGTAATATTAATTATATCGAAAAGCGTAAAGCAATTTAAAGCTTTTTAAAAGTTAAGCCGTTTTTATTTAGTCGTTATAATTTATTATCGAATAATTTTTTTGCTTATATAAATAATTAGATATATAAATTATATAAATATAGGTATTTTAATAATAAGGTTAATATTATCGGATTTAATTAGAAATTTATTATACGGGCTTAATTAGTTTTATTCGGATTAAAAAAATATAATTAAGCGTAGCTAAGGGTATAACCGGGTTTTATATTTATTAAGCCGATTCCGTAATAATAAAAATTATAAATTTAAAATATATTCGGTCCTGGACGGTTTCCGAAAAAGAGATTTTTTTTGCAAAGCTTTAACGTAAAAGCAAATATAAAATTATAATTCCGAATATTATTTTTAAAAAAACGCCTAATTATACCGTTCGGGCGTAATAAATTTCGAATTAATATAAATAATTCCGGTAAAAATAATAAATCGATTTTGCCTATTTTGCAATAATTTATTAGTCGTTTTATACTTTATTATATGGCATTTTTTTTTTATTTAATAATTTATATTATAAAAATTGCAAATAAAAGCGCCGTAAAGCCTAAAATCGTATAATTTAATATAAAGAATATCGTTTATATTAATATACGTAAAAAAAAAACGGCGTTAGACCGAGTCGTACTAATTTTAATAAAAACGTTATTTTTATATTATTTTAGCGAATTTAGGATAATTTAGCATATTAAAGCATCGTTATCGTTTATTAAATTTAATCGCTTTAGCTTATATATTTGCGGATTTGTATATTATAATATGCGCTTATTATATATTTAAATATTAATATTAAGGATATTATTACATTAAGAACTATTATTATTGCTTATAATATAAGCGATATAAAGATTATATTATACGCGTAATCGATTAGTCCGGAAGTCGGTAAAAGAACGATATTTTTTGTATTAGGTATAAAAATCTAATACCTTAGATATTAAAAAAAAAAAAGCGGATTACGTTTATAAAAGCGAATATAATAATAATACGATTTTAAATATAATAAAATAATTTTATAAAAGTATTTTAATATAAAAAACTATATATATATAATATAAAATATAATTAATTATCGAATAATTATAATACGGTTTAATATAAGGTTTTATAACCTTTATGCGTTATTAAATACGGCCGCTTTTTTATTTTTAGCCTTATTTTTATTAATATTAAATAGCGCCGAGTTATTTAACGTAATTTTATCCAAAAGATCGGCTTCGTACGTTTTAATTTGCGCCGGTTTTATCGTAATCGAATTATTTAAAGGTTTAATACTTTAATTCGTATTTCCTTTTTATTTAATAAATTTAACAATTATCGTTTTTAAATATAAACGCTTATTAGGTTATATTATATTATCGGAATTATAAGCGCTTATATTTAAACGCTTCGTAAGAATATCCGGAAAAAGCGAACGGGGCTATAACCGTTTATAAAAATACTTATCGGCAAATAAAGATTTACCCGTATCCGAATTATCCGAATTTTCGATAATAAAATCTTTTAATAATTTAGGCGAATTAATAAATTCCGCTGCCTTAGGCCTTACGGCAGGCCTAATAAATATAAAAAAACTTAATCGTAAAGGTTGCTTTATATATTAATTAGCAAAAGCTTTTATTAGCGTATATAATTTATCGCTAATTTAGGCGAATATAAAACTATTACGAAAATAATTATAGCTAATAGCTATAAATTCGACCGTAATATCGCCAGCTTCCTATATATTATTTATAAAAACAAACGATTTGGATAATAATAAAAACCGTAAATAATTAAATCTTTTTATATTAAAGCTAGAATTAGCGTAAAAAATTTTAATCGCTATATATTTTTTTATACTTAAAAAAATCGAGCTTTTCGTTACCGACGGCGTTTTATATTTTATTTAATAATATTATATAAATCTAATTTAATACGTATTAATTATATTAATATTAATATTTAAATCGCTACCGGTCGAATCGAAATTAATATTTATTTCCGCAATTTTACGCCGCGTTATTTAGTTTTTAATAAAAATAGCATTTAGCTATGCGTAAATAAACGGCGCTATATTAAAATTAGTATTTAGCATAATAATCGCTTAATGCTAAAATTAATTAGGAATAGGTAAATTTATAATCGTAATTATTATTATTTTTTTTTTATTTTTAGTATTAATCGGTAATAAATAAATAAATATAATTATTATCGGCGTTAAAATTGCTTATATAAATATAGGCTAGGCCGCTTTAATTCGGTTAAAAATACTAATAATCCTTTTTTATTTAACTAGCGTTATTTTTTTACCTTTAGCGCTATTTAAAGGTATACGAAGCTAATTATATAATATACCGTTAAAAAAAAAAGCGTTTTAGCTTATATAATCCTATTTTTTAGCATATTTAATATAATGCGCTTTAATTGATTTTTTATTATAATTTACCTTTTATAAAAAACCGGGGTAATATTATATAATAATAAAATAAGCTAATCGGAAGGTTTATATAATCGTACGCTATTAGGCTTTTTTAAGCCAACTAAAAAAAAACACGGATTATCTAATACGCGGACGAAATAACCCTTTTTTTATTATTTAAAAACGTATATATAGCCGTATTATTACCACGCAACTTCGAAATAAAGCGGCTAAAAGCAATTTTTATTATATAGCTCGTCGATTAAAACCGTATTTTTATTTTTGCCTGCGTTTTTTTATTAAATCGCGTTATTTAAGCAAATAATATATTTTTTAAATTAAAGCTTTTTATTTTTTATTAGGCCTTTTAGGAAAAGTATATTTAAAGCAAAAAATAAAGGCGTACGACGGATTTAATAAATAAAGCAAAAAAACTTTTTATTTTAGCTACGACCTTCCGGGTATTAATTATTTTTATATAAATAACCTTTATAATAAATTAAAGATTTAGCCTTTAAATAAAAGCTATAATAAAAATACGTAATATTTATACGATATTTTAAAAAAAGCAACTAATTTAAACGTTTTCGATTAACGGGGAATAATATTAATTTACGCAATTTTAATTTATAACAAAAAATATAATTAGTTTTATTAAATATTTAAAAAATAAAAAAGGAAAAAATCGAAAATAATAAAAATTAAAAAAAAAAATTAAAAATAGCTTTAAACGAATTAATATAAAATAAAACCTTATATTTATAAAAAAAAAATTAAGCCGCTATATTTCGTACCGTATTAATTAAATTAGCAATAGCTAATATAAATTTATATATATACCGTATAAAAATATAATCGTTAAAAATTATATTATAGCAAAGCTATCGCGAACGCATAGGCCCTAATAAAAAAATACGCTAGCGAGGCTATCACTAAAAAATACGAATTTATACGGCGTCGCACTCGACGAAAACAAAACCCGAAAGCTCGGAATAAAAAGGAATTATATTCGTACGGCAAACCTATACCGCCGGGCACTCCTGCGCAGACTCCGCGCGCCGACCGACGCATATTGCTTTATTCTTTTATTAAGATAGATAGCCGAGTGTTGTATGGGATATCACTAGGAATTATGGAGATATGTTCCAAATAATTTTACAATTCATTCAATGGCAAGCATAACGAATTCATGTAGTCTAAGCTTAGTTTAGAGCTCCCACTTTTCCGCAAGTGGCCTGGCGGCGAACCGCGATTGGGTACTAGAACGCCCAAGAGCACTAATTCAACACATATCTCCTAGTGCTTGGGCTTGTGCCACTTTACATATTACTGAGATTGGACGATGATTTAGAAGAAAGAAGCTTCTTTGAAATGCCCACAAGTGAATTGTAAGAGATTAAACGTTACTTCCATGATCTCATGTGCGTTGGCCTGAATTCCAGTCGTGGTGGGCTGGCTTTCTTAGTGCTAGGCTGTGCCACTATTAGACTGTGCCGCTTGGGGACCTAGGTAGCTTGAACTGCGCCGCGTATTTACATACCTCCCCCGTGACTCATGCGGTAAGCCTCGACGAGACGAGGACCAAAAAAGTTGTCATGACTCACGTAGCAACATTTCATTGAAGAGAAGGAGTACAAAAAGAATGGTTGTGATGACCTCGCTGTCTTGAGACTCTTGTAGATTATCTGTCTTGATTTTTCTTTATGGTCGCGACGCCCTAAACGCTAGCGCCAAGTCACTATATTACAACAACCATGGAGCGAGTTAGAAAGGTCTACTTTGATGCTTTGGCAATGACCAAGGCCCAGATCTATGAGCTTCTGGAGACACTTCCTAGCGGTTCCGCGCATCCATTTAGTTCTGAACGCGTGCTTCTGTGTCGGACAGAACATGGCGTTGAGGAGATCGACATCTCTTCTTACCCAGAAGACTACTTTTTTAATGCTGTAGATTTAGGCGCGATGGGCGAGACGCTATTGAAGCGAATGGCTGGTTTTAAGCATCATTTGAGTATGTCTTCCCCTCCGCCATTTGGTAACATTGCAATGAACATGGCGCTAAACATTGGCAGGCGTGTTCCAAGATTTCCAAATTCTGCAGGCACCGGCTTCAACATTCGAGATCCCAATAGTATCAGATCAAATCACCATCTTGGCAGTCTCCGAAAGAACACCTACTTACTATGACTTTTGCTTTGCGGATGCATCTTGTAATGCTTGTTGCTGGCTTGCCAGAAATACATTTCAGGGCATCACCCATAGTGGCGATATTCTCAATGGGAATGACCTACTCGATTTTGTCCGCATCAACAAAGACAGGCTCACTGATAAGGAGATTTGTGTCTTCATATCTGGCTACCAGACTACGCAAATCACAAGATTTCAAGGCACCCACCCTGCGTTGCTGGTTGCAAACCATGTCGACAAGGTATTTTTTTTTTTCAAAAATAAAACAAAAGTCCTAGATAATTAAGCACCTGAACTGACGACTGGCAGATTCTTTACATTATACCAGTTCCCCTAGACGCGGCGACAATTGGCGATGCCACCATATGTTGCCCTCTGGTTATCAAGGGGAACGGAGACTCGTTGATATGCTCAATATTGCCGACAGCGACCACTGATCGAGACATGATGTGCCATAGTAATAAGTTAGAAAGTCCTTGCTTCGCAGAAGCAATTCAGCGTGCCGACTTTACCATCTCTAGCACCAGTGAGAGCGCTGTTCTAGGTGTGTAACGAAGTACTGATACTCGATGCCTTTGAAATGCTAACACGATTGATCTAGTGCCTAGAACTGCTATTGCCAGAGAAGCTGCAGATGCGCCTTCGGAACGTCTTCGTGGACTGGTCAATAAGGAGCATGCGATAATTACCACCGACTCGGCCATTTTCCCCTCATTCGTTGACTTGGCAAGTACACAGATGATACGATTCGGTACGGGTCTTGAGTTCATACTGCCAGATGAAAAGTCTCTTGCAAAGGAACAGTCGTCTACTGTTGTTTTACCATGCATTTTTGGGTCTCTGCTTTCGGGGCCCTTATTGCTGGCGACAGGCACTGTCCCTACAAATGTTCCATTCCGCGACGAGGAAGCTCTACGAAGCTATTATGAGCAGCTCAAAAGTGTTGTGGTTATTGTCGACGACCGCATGACAGACAATGCTCGCAACCTAGCAACTTCCTACAGGATCAATGCACTATTCATTGTGCAGATTACTCCGGAAGGCGAACCCAAGGATACCGACGATGTCTTGAAGCTTCTGGATTCGGTAAACATCAATGCAGTGACAGCTCTTGCCGGCCCCCAATCCTTGGTTCTAGTGCAAGTCTTTGACAGATATTACTTTTACCGAGGCCTTGCTAATCGGGCCCACTTGAACACTACCAAGCTGGCGTTTGGCACAGATATCACATCTATCATCGAGTCTGCAGGTGCTGAACCCATGACCGACCCCAGAGTGAAGCGGCTGATCGACCTCGAGAATGCCAACACCATTATCCTTCCCTCTACGGGCCAGTTGGTACGAGTCCAGGATCTTCAGAAACTATTCGAGGATCTTTCAGTCAACGAAATTCAAGCCATGGAGGAAGACATCACTGCTGCGATTCCACAGCTACAGATTCTGTTGAACCAGAAAGACCTGCAGGACCTCTCTCAGTCCTTGGTAGCTGCACTTTCCGCCAAGATTGGCAAGGCCGTATCTCCAATGCGGGATGCTTACGTCAATCTTGTGACCGAGAATTCCAACGTGGCCGATCCGGAGTTGGTAAAGAAGAAGAATGACACGCTGGGTCTGCTGAGGTATACTACCAAGGAGCTGCAGAAGGCTCTAGAGCCGGTCATTTCAAGTTTGGCCAGCATAGTGTCTGTCCGGACGACTTCAAAGCGAACCTATGACTTGAAGCGGCTTGTGCGTCAATCTCAGATCCGTGGAAATGTTGAGGCAGCAAAGTCCATGACTTTCGAAACCCTTTCAGGATACCTGGAGACTTATGCTGAAGATATGGGTGTCATGCTGCTGAAGATCAAGGATGAGCCATACCGCGAGCTTCTAGGAGGCTTGAAGAATGCTGCCATTGATGCTAGGTATGTTTGACTGAAAATTGATGAAGGGTTTTGAAGGGCAGAGATTTCCTGAATCATCAAAATTCTGTCTCTTAGATATTCAGCTAACATTAATTTCCAGTCCATGTTGCGATCTTGACTCGAGAGTTCTCCACCTGCAGGGACTTGATGCAGGCATCATCATGGAGCAGTCACAGAGCTATCACGACGGCCCACTTCGAAGTCAGCTAGGACCAAACCATCCACTGATGGCACTGGCGAATATAGGACAGCACGAATCCGGATCAACTCTGGCCTGGGTCTGTTGGGACGAGTTTGTCGACCTCGAAAGTCCTTACACTGTAAGATGGATGGAGAAATGCAACGAAACCCATATTGCTGCGCTGAGGATTATCATGAGAGGTACCCTGAGCCATGCAGTAGCGTCGAGAGAGCATAACCTGCAGCCCGGCAGCCCGGAAATTGGTAATCTTATGGGCACTTTGCTCATGACTGCAATGTCGAAACTCGCCGCGATGAGGACAACCACTCCAGACCTGGTCGCCAAGGCAGAAGATACAGTCACACGACTGATGCGAGGACTGTTTGGCAATCTATTGACCATTGCCGGGTCTGGTGTGCGTCCTCTAAGTATGGTCTGGCAGTTGTTTGGTCTGAACCCCCAATACGACCTTCCCACCACCGCCGCAGAGTGGGTCTGGTACGAGACTGTCGTTGCCTTGTATCCATACACTGGGTGGCCTCTTGAGCAGTTTTACAACAATCTGGAGAAGCTTCTCGACAAGGCCATAGTCCGTGTTGTCACCAAAAGCGAAGATATCAAGGAAATCAAGTCAAACCGGACGCAAAGCTTGATCCGATACTGCAAACTCCGAAATATTCAGCTTGACCATTCTCGTACCATCATTACCATCTTTATGCGAATGCTCACAGAAAAGGACGTCGATATTGCGGCCGTTGCAACGCGTCTGCTAGAGCATCTTCCTCCAACATTGGAAAGACAGACGCAGAGCTACGGCAAGATGATCAAGTATATCAAGCATCTCTCAACGGGAGGTCCACGACGCGGCAAAGACGACCTGGTTGCCGCCAGCATCTACACGAAGCGTTCCGCTGCTTTTAGCGAACTCAAGACCCGAGTGGCCGAAGCATGCCAGAGCAATGACTGGCCTGCCGTCAAAGAATCGTGCCAGTCAATCATGGACAAGCACGCGGAAATTGCCGCCCTGTGGAATATCAATCCGCAGTCGCTCAACATTCAAAACATCACGGTATACAAAGATCTACTGAACATGGATCTTGGAACCGAAGATGACCCGAATTCCAAGGCAATCAGCCACGAGCTGACGCGGCTGGTTCTCGGCGACGCGGAGAGGCTGCGTCTCCCGTGGCAGGTTGGCAAAGAGGGTCAGTTTGGGGATACTATCGAGTCCCTCAACGAGGAGTTCCTACATGAGATATTGACTGGAGAGAAATTGGAAGCACCCAGCGCCATCGATACGGAAAGCAAGGTGGTAGAGGATTCGATAACAACTTTGGCGCTGCCGCAGACGGAAGACGAGTTTTCTCGATTCAAGTCGGCAGTGCAGCCTCGCTTCATAAGCACCATGCAGAAGGACCTGTCTCCCGATGATGTGTGCGAAATCCTCAATATTCCTGTTTCGGCAATGCGCGTCTTTGCCAGAGCTCTGAATCCGGAATTTGAATGGGCGGATCTCGGGCAGAATTTCAAGATGGTCGTACTTGACTTGTTGAGGAATCGTACTGATCGATTGGAAAGACGTCCTACCAAGATGTTACTTGGTCGTGGAAGTGGAAGAGTTTTGCAGATCGAGGCATGATGCTATGGTGCTTCCTAAGATATCTATAAGCTATCCTGAAGGGAATGAAGAAATAAACCGTAGCAAGTATTTTCACGAGGAACATGTATCACGACCTTATTTTTTTTTTTTTTTTTTTTTTTTTTTAACATTTTGACCATAGTACTTTATATCAATAATCACTTTCTCGATCATTGCGTTATATCAGCCTGTGATTCCTGGGCCTGCAGCGTTGATATTGGAAGTGGCCATTTGCGCGCACATAGATACGTATATTGTTAGGTGCTAGGCACCACCCTAGCTACTAGTACCTAATTTTCCTCACAGCTACTACGGCTTTCCGCCCTCTTCTGTATTTCAATTTTTGCTACGCTTTGCCACATCTAGATTGAGATATCATTAACGCCTGATAATCATCAGTCTCGTGGCCTATAGCTAGCTTATACAATCGTTTCCATTCAAACCTTCGTTTCCCGTTATTTCCGTGAAGTCACTACTACTTACCATCCAGGCACTGGCCTTACATATATTGTGCTTAGGCTTTCATGTAAAAAAAATCTGAAGACTCCTCATCTAGGCATCTCCGTATGACAGCTACAGAATCTCGATTTGGAGTGAATGTGGCTGGAACACCAGGTCAATGGGGGAATGAAGCTGACGATTTTGACATTTTTACGATGCGAAGGATCTGATTCATCACAATTCGGCGTTGAGTAGTCATGGTTGCTCATGATTTTCTTTGAAAGGAGGAGAGCAAAAGACGAAGGAATCCCAAACTATTGCCCTTCTAGAAGCCCATCTTAACGGCTTTTTCCTCCAAAGCTGCTCTTTGCTGGTCAAATTGATTACATAGCTTTATCCTTGCCCTATCGCCTGCTGCCTTTTGCCTCTCGTCAAGTTCTTCGTAACACCACGTGTCGTTCCATTGCTCTATTTGCTCGTCGATATTTCTCTCCATCTCGCGGTTCTCATTCTTGAATGCCTCCCAATCTATGATGAACTCATCTTGGGTGAACCACCAATCAATCAATACTGTGTCAATTCCATCATCGATGTCTTTCATGGCAAAGTCATCAACAAGGTAGTCCTCTTCTCGCCCATGAGGCCTTATGCTGTAGTTGCCGTTGCGTGTGACCTTAGCATGGGCACAATCACGGTGCAGCTGACTGGCAATCCAATTGACGGGAGCTCTCGCGCCAAAGAGCTTTGCAAACCAGCCCAGATGAATACCAACATCCCAGAAGCCGTAACTTTCGTCGATATTCCACATATTTCCTGCGATGCGAGCTCGCAGGTCATCGGTGGACTCATACTCCAGCGCGAGACCGGAGTTGATGCTTTGATACCAATCGAGTCCACGGTCAATTAATGTCTGAAGAGACACACGATGAACCACAAGGCTTTCTGGAATGTACCATTCCAATAAAAATTCGTACTGAAATAATTTTGCCTCTTTTTTGTCACAGTTTTTTGCCAAAGCTTCCGCAGCATAAGGATAGATCGCACTTGCTCTGCCTGTATCATGGGCAGGCTCAGAAATGAAGACGATCCAGACCCTCGCTGCTGGTTCGCCGTCCCAATGAAGCTCATAAGCTCGGTTCACAGTATCGACAATACGACTGCTGACAGATACAAGCGCCGTTGGTTCTTTATTGTGTCGAACGGAATGACATTCAAACTCCCTTAGGAGCTCGTTTCTTGACAAAGGTTGACTGCTCATCCCCTTGCCGGAGACAAGTTGCCTAGGGCTACTTTCGGCATAAGCGCGGGTGTAATACATCGCACAATAATATGACTGTCGACAAAGGGCGGGCTTGTTTTAATGAGGATAGAAGGGGCGAGAAGGCGCCCAGTTGAGGGTGAAAATGGAAAGGGTTGTGGGAGTTCGGTCAGGCATCGCTCCAAGCCGGGCCGCGAGATTTCTTTTGCGAGTCGCGCTCAACCCGCAGATGCTGCTGCCTATCAAGATGGATGTGTCTGAATAGTATTGGCTGATGCATAAAGCAAAGTCTCTGGGTCCAGTAGCACGACAGAATCTGAAGAGGCCTACAAGCCGCGATTGCATACGGCGTAATGTGTTGGACCAATCACATACTTAGGCAACATCCCGCTCGGCTGCATGCAACTCTAAGTATGGGCCTATGAAGTAAACGTTCGATAGTCATGCACTGATACGATCTGTATTCAAAATAAAGAGATAAGATTAAAGATGGTCTACATCTACGAAAATTATTGTGAAGAAACAGACTGTGTAGACCCTTCCCGCTATGTCATCTGAAGGGTGCCATACAATACAGCCACACTATGGCGCATCGTGCACTTGTTGCAATAAAGAGTAAAGATAAGTAGCAGGCACAAGCATAATATTAAAGTAAAAGGAGACTAAGTGTACTAAGCAATGATGCTCCGGAAGTAAGAGAAATGACCCATGCTATCCTCGTACTAAGATACCTCGGTTTGTTGAATCAACAGCACTTTCTCTTTTGTAGATCAGTTAGATTAACTCAGACATCTTTCGATGCTTACTCGATCAACCCACCTTTATCTTCCCCCGTGAAATATTGGCCGAAGTGAGAATTTCTCAGACGTGTCATGATTTGGCCTTTTCAGTATTCTCTCCACACTAGATACATATATACAATTGTCATGCGATATCCAGGCTCACCACCATGGAGTTCCGCCCGCAGCGCTGTCATAGATGGATTGGTATATCCAGCATTTGCTATCGATGGTACCATTTGCAACCATGGTCCATCCTGTTTCATTTTTGTTTGGACTTCCTAGCGCCGCTACAAGATGATCCATTGGCGTGTCGATTCTCGGCCAACCGGGTCCCGTACCCCATGGATCCTTGGCAAAGCTCGCCCAGGCACCTTGAATGACGGTGCTCAGCTCGACTTCCTCCAACGTCGCACTCGAGGCTTCAAAAGTGCCAAACACGAGTGGCAGTTCGGCCGAGTGGTATACACCGTAACCTTCAATCTCGGTGTTTGGGAATGTTGCATTAAAGTAGTATCTCCAGAACGGTATGCCCAGCTGCGAGGTTAGGCCCGCGATTCTTGAAATTGAGCAGGTCCATTCAGCGTCCGTGTCAATGGCACCATCAGCATCAAATTGCGAAGCGTACCCAGAGTCAGACGTTGGGTAGGCAGAAGCAAGATCAGACTCGACGGGATCCAGGGTGGGATAGTCGGCAACAAACTCGTCGAGTGAGGTTATGGTTGGATCTTGGAACAGGGTGCCCTCGTTGGCAGTCTGTCCGGTCAAGATGGGAACTCTGGCGATGCGACCGTCTCTGCGAGCTTTCTCGGGAAAGGTCAGCTGCGTCACGTCATCATTCACTGGTGTAAAAGTCAAGGAGCTCGCGTTGGACAAGGCCGACTGGATGGACGAGGAGTCTACAGTACGCATACACGCGAGTTCTGCAACAGTGCTGTTGGTTGAGCTGGAACAGTTCAGCTGAGCAACGATCGAGTTCCAAGCCGCCAAGCCGGGAACATCCGAGGCTATATCCATGATGGAGGCATAGTCATACCATCCGCTTTCCACAATGGCAGCCCGAAAGGGAGGGTTCTCCACCATGGTTCCGACCAAGCGACTGACACTGGTGCCGCCGCTGCTTTGGCCAAAAATTGTGACTTTATTTCGGTCGCCTCCAAAAGATGCGATATTGTCCTGCACCCACTGAAGCGCCATGCGCTGATCGTAGAACCCAGCATTCCGGTCCTCCACCGCCAAGGCCGGCGAGTTTGAAAAGCCAAGCAGACTGAGGCGGTAGTTGATGGTCACGACAACGACATCCTGGTTGGCGGCGAGAAGCGTCGCGTTGTACTCCGCAATGGCACTGGAACCCGTCTTCAATGCGCCGCCGTGGATCCAAACCATGACGGCCCGTCCGCATCCCGGCGCACGGCCCGAGGGCGCAAACACGTTGAGATACAAACAGTCCTCGCTTTGATCCGTAAGCAAATCTGCGGACCCCTGCTGAATACAGGCATTAGGCCATGCCGTGGCCTGTATATCTCCTTGTCCACCATATGTCACGGCCGGCGCGAAACGCAGGTCGCCAATGGGAGGCTCGGCATAGGGGATGCCAAAGAATTGGTTGACTGTCGTGGATCCATTTCCCACCGATGTACTGGTTCCGATGACCCGCCCGGCCGAGATTGTTGCTGTCGGGCTGTCTACTGATGAGACAGCGGATGCCGTTACTGCATACAAGGAGGCAAACACAGCGACGTTTAGTTTCATTATGGCAGATATAGACTAGACAAGGACGAGGTTGCCCTCTCTGTGATTCTACTGCTACGCTGCGACATATATATGTGAATCTGGAACATAAGTTGGTCCGAAAAGTCTCGCATTACACAAGGGATGGTGTTATGGAGCACTATCAAATAATAATTCATTAAGACGTTCTGAGTTTAGGCCTCGTTGATATCGGCAACGCCCGACAGCCTTGCCCTAGATATCAAGATAAGAATCGTCGGTGTTGTTCCTGGGCGGCAGGTACGCGTGTGGAGATGAATTTAATTCCCCGACCATATTTTCCACTTATTTTACTTGGTTCTGTAAATAGCCCCGGACCCAGTGCCCACTCTCTTTGGTGTAGTCTCGGTCCATTGTCAGTTCGGTCATAGCGCAGTACCATTCAGGCTGGTGCAGCCGAATGTGCTGATGGAAGCTTGCGGCTAACTTCAAGTATCTTAATAAACATTTGAGATTTCTACTTTGGGATATTTAGGCTCAGTCTGCTATTCCTCTCCGGATTTCTGAACTGGAATTAGATTTGCAATGCTGTGATATTGAATAGTGCTAGTGGGAATAGCACAAATTGAACCTGAACAAGACAGTGTGGTATTAATCGCGATGCAGCACTCGTTATGTTGCTCCTTCTTCAAAAAGAAAAGAATTTAATCTAAGTAGATAAAATAAAATACAACAGGGAGAAACTTCTATGAACATTCGTAATGGGTATCAACAAGGTCATTTCCTCCCTCATGGAGCCAATCTTATCTCATCAGACCAACTCAATATTATTAGCATTATATCTACCGAGGTTAACATGAGCAACTCTCAGGGTTTAGGCTTCCTTAGCCACGGGTCAAACAGCAGTGCTTGATTTAAACGCGAAACTCGCGAAGTCGCGAAGCCGCGAGTTGTACAAATATATAGTATATTTCTCTGGAAGAAGCCGAGTTGTCCGATCTATGTCCGTTAATTCTGTGCCGTGTCGAACAGCCGGCTACCCCGCGTTCCCCCACAATCCGCTAATGCAACCTGACAGCACTGTTGTCGACACCGCTATGTGAAGTCATAGGCTTGCATGTTTACTTGCAAAAAGCTGAAACTTTGTCGTTTTTTTCATTTTACTTTTTACAGGACAGGTTGTCTTTCTTTCGATATGGCTATATTCACCGTTTCAGCTTTGGCTTTGGCTGGGTACAGTCTTGCTGTTTATGTCTTCTACACACTCTATCAAGTACTAGCTTCTCCCCTACGTTCCGTCCCGGGACCATTCTTGGCTCGATTCACCAATTTATGGTATTTGTATCATCTATACAGGGGCGACTTTCAAGTTGTCAACCAAAATCTACACAAGAAATATGGTGAGCAATCATTATCCTGCTGTGGTTGCATTGTACAGCGTCGGAATGCCACTTGGCGGCGACTAATTGTCTACCTCCAGGTGCAATCGTACGTTATGGTCCGAATCGGTACAGTTTCAACTCCCTAGACGCCGGTAAAGCTATATACTGGCACGGGACGTCATTCGAAAAGTCGGCATGGTACGAAGCTTGGAAGAATCCTAAGCAGTGGACACTTTTTGCCGATCGGAATATCCGTAGGCACGCGGCGAACCGACGGATGTATCAAAACACATACAGCATGAGTTCATTGATAAATTACGAGCCACACGTCGATGAGTGTGCCGACCTCTTCTGCACCAGGCTCAATGAGCTGGCCGAGACTGGTTTGACTATGAACATGGGACATTGGCTTCAGTGCTATGCGTTCGATGTGATTGGCGCCATCACTTATTCGAAGCGGCTTGGATTCTTGGACCATGGACTCGATGTGGGCAATGCGATTAGCGCACTGGAGGGATTTCTCGGCTATGCCACGTTGACTGGTGTCTACGCGTCAATACACCCGTACCTTTTCGCCATCAGGAACTATCTCGCGGGGTCCAAAGGTACAGGGCGGGCATACATACAGGCCTTTACAAAGGAATGCATGGATAAGCACCAGGCCAACGCCAAGGTCCTGAGCAAAGATGGGAAATCCAGCTCCGGCGACGCAGCCAGCGAAGAGGGCATCGATGCAGCAACCGACTTCTTGACAAAATTCGCCCTTTCTCATACCAAGAATCCCGACAGCTTTACAGTATACCACATTGCAGCAGGGTGCGATCAAAACATGGCTGCAGGCTCCGACACGACAGCCATTTCGCTTTCGGCAATTGTGTACTATTTGCTCAAAAATCCAGCCTGCCTGCAAAAACTTCGTGAAGAGATCAATGAGCTACGAACCGCGGGCACGATATCAAGCAATAAAATAACCTTCAAGGAGAGCCAAGATATGCCCTATCTCCAGGCAGTTATGAAGGAGGCACTTCGAATGCACCCTGCCTTGGGCTTGCCTTTGGAGAGGGTCGTCCCAGAAGGTGGCGCAGTCATTGGCGGGAGACTGTTCCCGGAAAATGTGAGTAAAAAAGCTTGCTCGAAATCACCAGACCTTGGATGCTGACGAGATGTTCAAGTCAATTGTCGGGATCAACACTTGGGTGGAGCATCGGAATCCAATCGTCTTTGGGACGGATGCTGATGAATTCCGACCGGAACGTTGGTTTACAGATGATGCTGCCAAGCTTGCCTCTATGAACAGCCATTGGGTTCCGGTAAGTGTGACTCTTTGTACCCTGCTTGCAAGGGCGGCGGACCATCCAGTTGCATTGCTAACTGCTCGTGAACTCAGTTCGGCCTTGGGTCGAGGACTTGTATTGGCCGCCATATTTCAATGTTGGAAATGTCGAAGCTTATTCCACGCCTGGTTCGTGATTATGATTTTGAGCTTGCCCAAGAGCTGTCGGGCACCTCTTCTACTTGGTCGACTCGGAATTACTGGTTCGTGAAGCCCACCAACTTTTCGGTCAAGGTCACAATGCGCGAAAAATAAAACTAAACATCTGATGGGACGGATTTGTTTTGCATGAAAGAAGGAGTGAGGTAGGCAAAATCACAATTTGAAGCGGGGTTGAGTGGATAGCGTAGCCTCCTAGGTACTCAGTGGCCTGCCTTCATGATTGCTCTGCATTCAGGTTGAATTTCCAAAGTCAAGAAAGTTCCTGTCATTTGACAGAATCTCATATACGAATTAGTAAATCGTAGCTTTCCCTTCTTATTCAACATGACCTACTTTGTACTCTGGCTCCAATTGAGTGTTTGCAAGTTGGCAAAATTTCAAGTCGTTCCATAGGTTTCCCCAGCTGTCGCGCCGGGGTCCGCGCTAAACATGGTGGTGGAGGAGAAATCGTGGGGAAGGCGGGCAGCACTACAGAACAGCTGTATTTGCGCCTGTGACGCGAATTCACTTAGTGCCTCACCTTGGCCCTATTCAACATGGTCATCATGGCCCAGATGGCGGCAATTGATTGAGCTGCATGCTCTTGCTGCGCAACCTCCCTGATTGGTCTATACAATCCAGAGAGGGTACTCGCTCGTAAGCATGCCGGTCGCGGGAGAAGGTCAAGAGGCTCCCGTTGCCAAACCGACGACCCAGGTCTGCCAACACTGCAAGGTCCGTCACCGGAAGTGCGACCTCCAGGAGGATGGCTGTCAACAGTGCAAGGATGCCGGCATTGTTTGCGTACGCCAGTCGTCGCTCAAGTTCCGTTACCATCCAATGCAGAAGGCCTTGTCGCGCGCATCCTCGCGTTTGTGGCGTCCGTGTCCGCTCCCTCAAGGGCCGGCGCAATTCTACGACGAGACTCCCGAACTGCGCGCATTTTACCTCGAGGAGAAGGAACTGCCTCGCACTCGGTCCAGTAGACGGTTTTCACCCTCCGTTTCACACGAGTCCTCAAATCAGAGCATGCCAGCCAACAACGTCTCAGAGGATGGCGTCAGTCACAACCATGTCATCTCTCATTTCCCGGAGGATTCCATGTCACTAGAATATCCGATGGACGACACTTCGCCCTTGTCTGAGTACCTGATACAACAGTCATCGCCTTTGCATGAGCAGCCAGTGGATACTTGTCCACCTCTGACTCCAACCGAGGCGCTTCTCATTCGCAACTTTACCGACCACATGGCCCAGTGGACCGACATTGCAGACCCCTTTCGGACATTTGAGACCGTCGTATCGAAGCTAGCATTGACAGATCTCATAATTCGAAACGCCGTCTGTGCATTCTCGGCTCGTCATTACTACCGCGATCAAGTGGAAGATGGCAATGCGATAGCTCTAGACTATCAAACTCGATGTCTCCAGCTTCTCATACCGTCCATGTCCGGTGGCCAGAAAATCACCGAGAGTATTCTGACCGCTGTTGCTCTATTGAGACAAAATGAGGAAATGGACGGTTAGTCAATCACCATGTTTTTAGATTCCCTTGATGAACTGTCACACCACCCCTGAAGTAGGGCTGGACCGTGAGCGCCTCTATTGTCTTCGCAAGCTAGGCGGTGATTTAATTTGCGTCGTTGAAAGCCTGAGATTTACACGCATGTCTTGACAATATTGTTCAGCGCAACACGTGTATCAAAGCTAACTTTGAATAGAACAAGACAATCGCTTCCACTTAGAAGGCACTTCTCGCATCCTTAATATGGTTCCCGAATTTTCAACCATTGGCGGAGTTGGCGAAGCCGCATGTTGGCTATGCTTGAGGGAAGATATTTACATCTCTTTGACTACACAAACGCCAATCAAGACGGCGCTGGATTGTTTCCCGGATTGTATCTCAATTCGCCGCAATGACGATTATTCTTGGGCGAGCAAGTCTATTCTCAATCTTGCATTTCTTCTCAAACGAGCCTTCTGTGAACCTAGAGACGCCTCCCGTTTAGCACTGTCTGAAGCCGAGATCGCCGACTGGGACAAGTGCAAACCGACCTCATACCGGCCCATTCACGTTGAAGCTCGATCACGATTGGAGGGTCGCTGCTTTCCAAAGATATGGATGCTGCTGCCATACCACGCCGTTGGTTTACAATATTACCACATGGCCCAGATCGTCCTCAACGCAGTGAGGCCGCGAGAGGTTGTACACACTCATGCATATTTGGCTGAGAGCAGAGCGATAGCGCGGCGAATTCGACATCACCTGTTCATGGTACTGGGCATCGCTACTTCAAATGACCGGGCCGAGAATACATGGTTTACTGCGAGGCACTGTTTGGCGGTGTGGGGAGCATATTTACAGCATCCGGCTGATCAAACAGCCGCTCTCGAATTTTTGGAGAAATGGCGCCAGCGATCCGGATGGGAAACCTCTGTGCTCGTTCAATCCCTCCGACAACAGTGGAAGGAGAATAATGAGGACGATTGAACACTACCAAACATTTGCGACACATCTTTGTTGATTCTATGTACGTTTTTCAGACAAGTTTCAACCCATTCATACCTTGTAAGGGGGCGGAGAAATGCCTTCTGTTAGTGCCTTCAACCGAAGTGCAAGGACCTTTGACTGGAAACGAGTCATTGGAAGGAAACCAACCATAATCCAGAGGTTGTGTACTCCCGTCTCCCTGAAAGCACTCTTGAACTCGCCTTCTTCATCAATGCCCCACACTGGACCAACGCTATTGGCAACCTTGGGGCCTAGTGTGTCACGAATCGAGTCGTTAAGGTTTGAAAATCCCGTTGCGAAAACGATGAGGTCAAACTCGCGCTCCCGACCACCGCTCAATATGACCTTGTCATTCGTGAATCTCTCAATATAGCCCGGCTCGACCTTGATCTTTCCATTTATTATGTGTTCACACGCACCAGCATCGAAATAGAAGCCACCGTTCCGGGTCTGGCCCAGGGTGCTGTTTCCTGTGCCCCTCTGGCCGCGCCACGTCCGCAAACCTCTAGCGTTCAAAGCGTCAAGCAGAGGCCTGTCGAGATCCTCAAGCTTCTCCGCCATGCGCCGACTGAGCTCCTCGCCCGGTCCAACCGGGGTAGAAAAAAAGATGCGATCGTGCTCCTCGGGATCGCGACGGTTACCCTTGGCGTCGGGGCCGAACCCACCCAGCATCCGAGGTACAGAGTGTGTGAGCGACATGACATAGGTGGGGGAGCGTTGCAAAAGGGTCACGTCAATGCCGCGACGGGAGCAGTCGAATGCAGTGTCAAAGCCCGAGGAAGAGGTGCCTACCACGCAGACCTTTTTGCCAACAAAGTCACGCGAGCTGTCGTGAGCGGAGGAATGTCGTATCTCACCACCCTTGAACTGGTCCATGCCAGGAATATCAGGAAGGTAAGGGACGCCGCAGAGGGAGGTGGCCATGACGACGTGTTTGGGACGCACTGTCCTAGTTTCCTTGCCGCCCTTATTGATCGTAACCGTCCATCCGCCTTGCTCGTCTTGCTCGGCCTCGATGACGGTGGACTTTGTCCAAACATTTAATTCTAGCGCGGAAGCGTACCACTCCATGTATATGCCCTGCTTCTGTGCAGGCGTATATGTGGGCCAATGCTTGGGGTATCGAAAGTAGGGTAGATCGTCTGCCCAGTGGGGGAAATGGAGAGAGAGGTACTCATATCTCTTCTTCCAGACATCGCCGACCTCGTCGTCGCGGTCAATGACCAGACAGTCGAGATTGATCGCTTTGCACCGCGCGGCTAGAGCAAGACCACTATGCGCTTGTTAGTATACCATGCATTGCTAACGGCTACCTGAAAATGGATGTAAACTTTACTTTTGTCCGCCACCAATGATCAGAACTTCTGGCTCGGCCGCGTCCACTTCAGCCGCACGCTGAGCCTCCCAACTAGTTGTCCCCGTCATGTGGCCATCAGCAGGAGCACGTTCTGGGCATTGCTCGAGTTGCTCGGCAACGGTGTGCATTGTATATATTTTCCAGCCATCTTGCGACAGCACAGCCTTGATGACGGCCGAAGCGACAACGAGCTCTGTCTCAAATGACACGACAAACTGTAGTAGCTCAAAGTCATCATAAGGCCGCTCAATCGAGGGCGCGGGTTTGAGAAAGGCAAAATTGAAGGCTTTGGTCGTGGGAAGAAGGTCCTGGGCAGCCTTTAGAATGGCCGGGCGGAAGTTGAAGGTTCTCTGGTCCCAGGTAAATGAAAGCTTGTCACGCCATACGCCTATATTGGTCAGCTCTCGTCATTTTGCTTCTCGATTTGAGGATCTTTGGATGACAGGTGGCCTTACCGTACTCGAGAAAGAGGTCTGCAAATGCTTCGGCGTTCCCAGCGCCTAAAGCGTCAGACAGTCGTTTGACGATGCCCTCGGCCTCGGCCTTTGCGTCGCAGTCCTGGGGAATCCTGACGCCGAGGACACTGGTTGTTGGCAGAGCATGGTTGAACTTGAAGTCGTACATGTAATCATCTGCGACTGGAGGCCGTTCCGTGGTGCCATTTACCTCGGCCAACTTGGACGCAGCCCTGGCCTTGAGGGCAGAGACATCATCAATGTGCTCGGTAATAGTAGAAGGAGCCATTTGTCAAGTTAAAAGTGAATAAAGTTGATGTGGAAAATGTCATATTGATTTGGAGCGCGACGTTGCTCGCTTTCATAGGCGTCGCTGCGTCGTTATTGCACCGCCACCAAGACTGGAATCACGCATCATATGGGACTATAGGCTCGATAATCATCGGCTTTCCTCTATGCCAAGCCAGAACATTTGGTAGGATCTTCCAAATGGGGAGAATTTCCTTACATATTTTGCAGCTCCAACTCCAGTTCCTTGGGGATGGTAGCTAGCCTTTTACTAAGGAGGCAATTGACGCCCAGACAATGGTCACGCGACCCCATATTCAACGCGGTAATTTTCCCCGCCAGGGGAATACACTGCTAGCATTGCGGGGTGAAGTACAGAGTATGGCGCTAAACCCCTGTGTTACCCCACGAGCAAAAGCTGGTTCGCGCGGGGTAATTGCAGTTGGACCCTGGAGGTCAAGTACATGGCCATGATCAGCTACGACTAATAATACATGTATGATCGCATAATCTAGAGAAAATAGTTAGTTGTAACGAAGACAATTGACTGGGAAATACTTGCCAGCTGAATGGAATAATCTTGAACGAGCGAGTTTCCGGATTTGGCCAATGTAGCAAGTCTGCACGGCAAGCCATGGGTGCGTCCAAGTGTACCTAGCTATAGTCAGGACGAGGAGCCATGGCAGCAACGCCGAGTACTGCCTCGGTGGTATTCACAGCAACCATGGATCCCTATCAATGAATGCGCTATTCTACACAATCTAAGCATTGCTTTTCATGTTTCTATACGCTTCCAGGTGGATTGAATCCCAACAATAGCCAAGGCAACCGTTCAATTGAGGTACGCAATAACAATTTTCAGTCGTGGTACCCATTGGTTCTGCTATCACACGCGTTTGCAGCAGCTAATACCACAAATGATGCAAGTTGTGACCTTTTCAAAATGATGCCATGACTTCAATTCAAATTTTATATCTCAGCGTTCTAAACTCCTGGTATGCACACGCACCGTGGCCCTATTTGGCCTCCACGGGACCATACCAGTCGGCGAAGCCGAGATCAAATCCCCACAAGGGTGTGTTGATGCGCTTTGCCTTGCCCTTTGCAGCCAGACCGTCCAGCAAGGCCAACTCTTGTTTGCTGAGCTCGACGAGCTGTCTGTTGTCCGAGATGCGCTTCTCGCTGACGGATTTGGGCAGCGCAACCACGCCCTTGTTGGTGTGGTAGCTGATGAGAATGGTTGCGGCAGAGACGCCGTGTTTTTCTGCAATTTGTTGGATTTCCGAGTCCGACATGAGCGGAGCACCTGGGAAACAAAAAGTAAAAAAGTCAGCTTTTTCACTCAAGAAGAAGCTTTTGGGCGGAAAAAGTTATTGCTTACCAGCGGAGCCAAGAGGCGAGTATGCTTCAATCAAGATGCCGAGTTTCTTGCAGTACTCTACGAGCTCGTGCTGAGGCAAGTAGGGGTGAAGCTCAACCTGATTCACGGCGGGCACGATCTTCCAGGTCTTGCGCAACTTCTCGAGGTAGTCAATTGACCAATTGGCGACGCCAATGGCCTTTACTTTGCCCGACTTGTACAGATCCTCCATCTGGCGCCATGTCTCGCCCTGGTCCCAGGATCTGTCTACTGAGCGTGTTCCGTCGGGGTTTGTGGGAAGCAGGTCACTTGTCTCATTCTTTTTTGTCATGTTAGTGAGTATGTTTCAAAAAGCTAGTATCAGATTGAAACTTACGGGCACGAGGCGAACGGGCCAGTGAATGAGCTGGTATACTTTAGCGATTGCAAGTTCCAATAATACATTTTTCTCATCTTCTCACATAAAGGTCGAGGTAATCTGTGCCCAGAGCATCCAGGGTCTTTTGCAGGCCCTCTTCGGCATTGGTTTGGTGCGTGTTCCACAGTTTGCTGGTGATGAATATGTCTTTGCGCGGGATCCCGCTGTCCTTGATGCCCTGGCCAACTTCGTGCTCGTTTCCGTAGATTCTTGTAGCTTGTTAGCACGGCGGGCTAGAAGCATACTCGGCTGCACTGCTACTCACAAAGCCGCGTCAATGTGTCGGTAGCCATCCTTGAGAGCGTGCGCGACTGCTTTGCGCACTTCGCCAGGCTCGGACCGCCAGGTTCCTACAGCACCAAGACTTGTCAGCTCTGCAGCTCTTCATCAATGTGAATGAATGCAGGGATTGCTAACCAAGGCCCACAGCAGGAATCTCTGCACCAGTGTTGAGTTTGAAGGAAGGTGTAGCTGACATGGCGGTAATGTGAGTAATTGACAATGACAAGTGGTGAATTGGAGGAAATGAACAGGACTGATCAAAGACAAATGTAGAACTGACAGAATGAACATTTTTTGCACTATATCACTGTCACAAGGATATGACGATGGAATGGATACTAGTGTACCACTTTACCCCAATCGTCTCCGCACGACTTTGCAGTGGGAGGGGGAAAATGCCAAACCTGGGGTGTTTTCTCCCAATCAAGCGATGTTCCCTTTCCAGGGACGACTCATTCCGTCATTATAGTCGATATTAAAGAATCCGCCGGGTCCATTGGATGGAATCTCCGAGTCTCCGACGTGCGCCGTCAAAAAGAGACAGTGGATGTGACTCGAAACAGTCATGCGCCAAGACGTCCGCTAACCCCGCCAATGCACAGGCCTCAACGAGCCTCTCATAGCGGCTAGCCCAGCGGGATGAATTGCTGTTTCTGAGCGTGGGTGAACTCCAAGCGAAACGGGGAATTTCGCCCACCTCTCAAGTTGTATAGTGTGGCAGGGGTCCTAGCAGAGTAACTCTGCCCGTCTTGCCAATGAAGCCTCTGACATGGGGGTCCATCTATAGTAGCGATGGCACTTGTACAATGGATGGAATTACATATATTCACAAACACGCAGCACCTTGAATGGTTCACGAAAACTCCCAAAGACGGACATTTCTTTTTCGTCGCATACACCGATTTAAGTCCTAATTCTAACCATGGCCGTTGTACCTCGTCTCAAGCTCTGCCTCCTTGGCCTGGGCCGTCTCGGTGCTCTTCGTGCCAAGATCCTCGCCTTTGAGCAGCCGCGCATCGAACTTGTCGCCGTGTGTGACACCAAGCCTGGAGCCGATGCATGGGCAGCGGCCAATCTCCCGCCCTCTGTCAAGTTCTTCTCGACTCCAGAGGATTGTTTAAAAAACAGTGGTGCGCAAGCCGTCTTGATCTCTACGGCGACCGCCACCCATGCCGCATTGATATGTCTCGCCCTCGACTTGGATTTGGTAAGCACTTGGGTTCAGAGCTTCTAAATATTGCTGACCATGTTGTAGCATGTCATGTGCGAAAAGCCCATTTCCGTGGACATCATCACCACCGAGGAGGTCGTGGCAAAATCTGCCTCCAAGCCTCATCTCAAATTCTTGCTTCCATTCTCGCGCAGATGTGAGAGCTACCCAGCAACTCCGATATCACTGCAACGATGCTAACACGTGATAGATGATGATTCTTACCGTGCCACAAAGGCAATGGTGGAAAACGGTCAGTTGGGAGAGATACACGCAGTTGAGGCATCTTGCCTTGATCCTCAGGACAAAAATGGTCAGTTTACTAGAAATTCAAGTTACATTGTGTGGAGTGATAAACTGATGCCCTCGCAGCTTTTTACGTCACATTTTCCCAGCAGTCAGGAGGCATATTTGTCGATGCTGGAATCCACCTTGTTCGTCTTGCCTCCTTAAAGACTTTTGGGCTGCTATTTTGTACTGACTTGACCTTAGATTGACGTTGGTCGGTACTTTCTCGACGTGGAAAATAATATTCCCAACCCCAAGAAGCAAATCAACCGCGTCATTGCCTTTGGTCAACAAGCCGTATACGGCGAGCTGGCCAAGTTTGGCGATGCCGACAATGCCTGGGGACTGGTCGAGTTTGCCAATGGCAAAATTCTCCAGGTCACCTTGAGCCGGACCATCACCAATGGTTTCGAGGCCGCCACCCGCGTCTGCGGCACCAAGGGACACTCGGTTATTAATGGCAACTCGACATTGAACCGTGTCGAAATTCGTGATGAATATGGCGTGCGCACGGCCTCGACCCCAGATGCTTTTGCTCTCTATGATAAAACCTTTATCAACGATATAGCAGAATTTGCCACTGCTGTGCTCGAGGACCGACCGCTGTCCTGTTCACCCCAGGACGCGTATGAGGCTGGAAAAATTGCGTGCGCTCTGCAACACTCTTTCCGCCTAGGCGAGCCTGTTTATTTTGACGAAGTTGGCCAGCCTATTCTCAAACCCCTCGCACTTAATTAAAGAGAAATCGGCTTTCGTAATTGTATCGAGCCATCGATAGATATTTCAAATCATGCTTTTAGTCCCATACAGTCTAGATATAGAATATTAGTGCCGCAGTACTGCTAATCCTTGAACCTGTCCTCCTACACCATTACGACACCGATATTTAATTGACGCGTCTTCTCTTAATTTTCTCTATTCAGTTGTTTGATGCTGAGATATTTACAAGCCGTCATATATTAGCTCTGATATGAATGATGGGTACTCCGTGAGTTGTATTACTAGGGGCCGCGAATCCGGATCATGGAGCTCAAGAGAGATGGCTGTAATGATGGGGTAAAATGACTCAAAACATCAAACTGGCGGCTCAGCTATCAATCATAGCCCCCCTTGGAAAGACAGACATGGCCTGTCATTGGATCAGCTATTATCCGCAGACACCATGCGGAGTCCTCGCTACGCCATTCCCCTACCTGAGGAGCCCTCCCCCATGGGGTATTTTAGTTTTGGACCAGCATCACTGGCGTTGTTTTGCCGAATCAGGCTCAAGCGGCCCCCTGAAATGGCCACCATCTGTGGGTAGTCTCCGCGATTGCGCTGGTAAGCGGCCAGAATTTCCGTTTGCAGATCATCAAGCGTCGCGCCCTTTTCCAGAGACAGGATACCATGGTCGCCTCTCATGTACCAAGTTCATTGATCTTATCTGATTTTGTGGGGTTAAGAGGGTAGGATGGCTGTCACAACCAGTATTTAAGATCAAGCATCAGACGCATCTTAATTGCCTCATCCTCGCCAACCTCCGAGCATACCTGATTCCGCTTCCGTGGTGTGGGACCAACAAGCATTCAATATCCATCCGCCACATCCAATCATCATGGACGCCTACAAGGACAAATCCCAACCCGACTGCCAAGTCGAACACAATGAGGCACCCACTCATACAAAGGCCCACACCGACTTGGATGTCCTCGCACAGGATATACCGTACGGACCAAGTGGCGTAAAGGGCATCCTCTCTTCCGGACCATACATACTCTCTGCCGCGTTCCTGGCGTCTCTGGGCGGCTTCTCCTTTGGCTATGACCAGGGCGTCATGGGCATTGTCAATGTGCTCCCGCAGTTCCACGCCGTCATCCCGCAAGCGGAGACGGCATTCGGCAAGGGCTTCATGACGGGCATGCTCCTGCTCGGTGCCTTTGTCGGCTGCTGGTTCTACCCTTACATCTCGGATCGCTGGTCGAGAAAAAAAGCTCTCTTGTTGAGCTCCGTCATTTTTGTTATTGGTGGAGTCATACAGACGGCTGCGTACGATTACGCTACGCTCGTTGTCGGACGGACCATTGGAGGAATTGGGACGGGAACACTGGCTTTAGGTGCCCCCGTGGTAAGTCATATCCATATACACGTCCGTCACCAGCTCTTTCATTGATATCAAGTCAGTACATCTCTGAAGTATCCCCGCCCCATCTCCGCGGAACTCTCCTAGTCTTGGAGTCCGTCTCGATCGTTTCCGGCGTCACGATTGCGTACTGGATCGCCTACGCGTGCAAGAACATTCCCAGCGACGCCTCGTGGCGCGTGCCCTTTGCCCTGCAGATCATTTCGGCCCTCATCCTGGGCGGCATGATTCAGCTGTTCCCTTACTCGCCCCGCTGGCTCGCCATGCAGGACCGACACGAGGAATGCTTGCAGAGTCTGTGTCAACTGCGGAAACTCCCGGATACCGACGACCGCGTCCAGGCAGAGTACCGGGGTATCCTTGCCGAAGTCAAGTTCCAGGTCGTCATGTTGGAGCGTCGCCATCCCGGTGTGCGCGGGCTCAAGTTGGAGATTGTGCAGTGGCTCGACTTGTTTGCGATCAAGCGGTGGAGGCGCACTGCTGTCGGCGTGGGTGTCTGCTTCTTTCAACAATTCCAAGGTATCAATGTGAGTTAAACCCGGTCTGAAAAGTGCAAATATGGAGAATAAGAGAGATAATAGAGAGAGAGAGAGAGACAACACTCGTATTATGGCACTGACAAGTCTAGGCATTCATCTACTACGCTCCAACGCTCTTTAGAAGCATTGGTCAATCCGATGACATGTCGCTCATTCTTTCCGGAATCTTCAATGCGCTGCAAATAGTCGGTGTGTGCATTGCCTTTGTGCTGATTGACAAGATCGGCCGGAGACCGCTCGCGATCGGGGGCGGCCTCGGCAACATGACTTGCTTTGTGGTGATTGCGGCGCTCGTCGGCACGTACGAAGGCATCTGGGCTGACCACACCAGCGCCGGTTGGGCGTGCGTCGTCATGGCCTTTTTGTTCATCATTGTCTTTGGCGCTTCCTACTCCTCCCTCGGCTGGGCTCTCCCACCCGAGGTGTTCCCGGTCGGCATTCGCTCCAAGGGTGTTGCGTTTGCCGTTGCCATTAATTGGATTTCAAACTTTACAGTGTAAGTCCCGACAGCTACGAGAACAAGTATTGGTCGACCCCATTGACTAAGAAACAATGACAGCGGGGTGGTGACTCCGCCCATGATTGAAAGTATCGGATACGGTACCTACATCTTCTTTGCCTGTTTCTGCGGGTTGGCTGCAATTTGGGCTTACCTGCTTGTCCCAGAGGTAATAAAATCAACTAATTACTCGAAACAAGAACATAATACTAACACTGTTTTGAAGACTATGAACAAGACCCTTGAACAAATGGATGAAGCATTTGGAGATCTTAGTGGCCACGAAGAACAAGAGGTCATGAGAGAGATTATGGAGGATAATAATATTATCGGTGTGCAAAGAACTGTGTAGAAGCATTTCAAAGATTTTACACTTATCCAAAGAAAATTACAAATGAAGAACGAGTTTGTATGAAGTTCTTAGCTACCCGCGAACACAAAAGCCATGAAATTCCATCCTCACACAGAGAGTAATGTCCTCCACCTGAATGTAGAACATTCCTGGCTGTCATGGTCGATTTCAAAAATGTGCCTACCATCACTTCCAACCGTGACTCCAGCTTCCCTCAGACATTATCGCCCACCATCTTCGGCTCTATAAGGGCTGAACAGCCTATTTCTCGTTTGATTTAGTGTGTTGTTGACACCAAACAAGTTGGGGTTTGCCTCTTGTTGTAGTGGAGGTGTTGAATGATCTGCATTGTAAGGACGGATCTGTTGTTGTCGTTCTTGTTGTGACGGTGGTGGTGGTGGTGGTAAATAGGCGGGAGAGCTGTAAGCCTGCGTCAGCGGTGGCTTTTGAGGGTGGCGGCTGTTTCCCGGCGGAAATTGGTTCGAGGGTGGCGACGCATGTACTGAACCATGATGAGCTGGCTGATAGTGGCTTTGCGTGTCTATTTGACTCGAGTAGCTCGTTTGCGACGAAAGTGGCGGTAAACGCGGCGGTAAACGCGGCGGTAAACGCGGCGGTAAACGTGGAGGTAAACGTGGCGGTGATTGGGGCGGCGAGCTCAGCTTTGTATTGTCGTTACCTGGGTTGTATGGAACATAATCTTTCGGTTGTTGAAGAAGCATAATCCTTTCTTGGCTACTCTGCGGCTCGCTGTAGACCGACCCTTGAGAGTGATTCTGCGTCCCATATGTAAAGGGAGCTGGTTTCCTTTGCACTGGGGCCGTAGTGTTTCTCTGTGGCAATTCATCATAATTGCGGCCAGCTTCGGTAGCTTGGTGATGATCACTCCATATCGGCAGAGGATGGTTGTCAAGTGTGGTTTCTGCTTGTTGCTCCCAAGTCTCACGCCGCTGAGTTGGCTCATGGGTTGGAAATTGGTATAGCTCGTCGGCCGGGATCATGCCAACGGCAGAGTACAAATGAATGTTTTCGTTTCTGGGCATGGTGTACAAACCGAGTTTCTCTTGATCTTGCTGAGGCATGTTTGATGTTTCAATCTCATGGCGAATGTTGTCGACTGGCCATAAATTCTCTTCAAAGATCGTCTGATTGGTGGGTATCAGCGGATCAGTGGTGTTTGCAGATAGGGACATGGGGAATTCATCTTCTGGTTTGGACCCATTCTCTTTGGTATCGGACAATTTCAGATCAGTCTCGGGCTCCTTTTGTTCACGACTTGATTCCACTCGTGAATTGTGGTCTCTCATATTGTCCTGCTGAGCCACAGCCCTAGCTTCATTAACGACACTGATGATCCTATGGTGGCCATCGCCCATTTCCTTCCTGATGCCCGACAGTATGGTGGATGTATGCTTGATCAGAACGCTCAAAGTGTCCTCGGGGTCGTCCTTTTTTGAGGCTATCTGCAGAGCATTCAGCCCATCATTGTTTGTATGCATAACATCAGCGCCCTTGGCTAGCAAGAAGTTGACAAACTCGTCATCGGTTGAGGCCGCAGCTGCAATAAGAGCCGTGTCGCCATTGTTATTCGTGGCATCGATTTCTGCACCAGCTTCAAGGAGTTGTTCCAGAGGCTCTAGGCTCGCAATTCCTTTTGCGGTAATGATTAGGGCGGTATCTCCATCCTTGCCGCGAACGACGTTGACATTGGCGTTGGCAGAAATGAGCTTGCCAATGATCTCAATCTCGCAGTTGTCTGCCGCTGCGATGATAGGATAACAATCTTCTCCCCCTCCCAGGTTCGGGTCGGCGCCGTGCTCTAGTAAAATGTCGACTATCTCTGTGTGCCCATACTCACACGCTCCTTGGAGGGCCGTCTGTTGCGGAAATCCTGGGTTTTCTGTTCTCGCATCGACCTTGGCACCTCGGGACAATAGTTCATTTACAATCTTAATATGCCCCTCTGTTGCGGCTGCTTGCAATGCCCAGCCTTTATCGGAATTGACATCTGCGCCGTGATCAAGCAATAATTTCAGAATATCAAGCGTTCCGTCATATGCTGAAGCGGTGAGAGCATTGCCATATCTATTTTGAGTTAGCCTTAAGTTGTACGCACTGATGAGATACTCACCGATCACCCTGGGCATTAGCGTCGGCACCGAACCTATCCAACAATAGCCGGACTCTGTCAATTTTCTTGTTGTCCGTGACCTTGTACAGAGACTGATCGATTTTTTCAGCAGAGATGTTACCGCTTGTGTATTCCCAAAGAGCTTCCAGAACCTCCAAGTCCTTTGTCCTCGTGACAGCTTTGTAAAAGACTTCGTCGCAGTTGAGATTTCTCCTCTTCTCAAGGAGAATCTTTGTGATTTCCCAGTAACCCTTTTTTGCAGCCATGTCTAGGGCGGCTTGATAGTCATCGTCGCCATGTTCGAAAGGCAGGAGCTTGTTCAATACTTCGAGGCTTCCCACTTTAGCGGCAGCAACCAATGCTCTGCTGTATTCTTCAGGCGCAAGCTGGTCTGCATATTCTTTCATCAGGTACTCCAGCATGGACACATCTGATAGGGAAGCAGCTTGTGCAAGTGGTGTCTCGATACCATCGCGGTCAATTGACAACTTGACACCGTGATGCACTAGAAGCTCTATGGTGGCTAGATTTCCTGAGGAGATTGCCGAGTTGAGCACAAGTCCTGAATATTCGCTGAATGCGTTTAGGCTCGCGCCCTGGAGAATGAGCTTTTTCATAACTCCGATATGACCATTCTCCGCAGCCAAATGGAGAGGCGTATCAGCCATCTCTTTCTCGTTAGCGTTGATCTCTGCTTTCCTATGGAGCAACTCTTCAACCATATCTGCATGGCCAAACATGCAGGCTAAACAAAGCTTGTCAAGGATTCCGGAGTTAGTTGAATTCCATGGAACCATAAATTACAAGTGCTAACTTACTGGAGTGAAAGACCATTTGTCGGGAACATCCAATTCGTCTTGGTGTCCATTCTCAATAAGTACCGTGAGCAAGCGTCGAAATCCTATTGCTGCAACGACATGGAGTGCATTCATACTCCTAGTATCGTTGTACTTGAAATCTGTCGTGTGCCTATCGTATTCTGCCATCCACCGGCGTCTCACGAGTGACCCGACTTTCCAAAATTCATCGTCAAGGCCGAGATCGTCGGCAAATCCAATGGTTGCTCTACTGCCATGATGTAGCCAATTCCTGACCATGTATGGTAGTGCTCCCTTTTCTTTGAGATGCTGAGCTTCTGGGTCTGAATCAGAATCTGATTCATATTCCTCTGAATCCTCATTGTCTTCGGTTGAGGTATCTTCATTATCATAGCCTTGACTATCCGCCTCAGACTCTGTTCCATCGTCCGAATCATTGTCGTCATCACTGTCGGTATTACTTGCAATGCCAGCTTCTGAGCCTTGATCTTCCGCATCAAGATCTTCGGAAGGAAGTGGATGCTCTGTTTCTGGAAAGCCGAACTTGTCTTTCAAGTACGCCAATGATCTTAATGACAGGAGACCATGTTGTCTCGCTGTTTCCTGAGCTGATAGTCCAAGCAACTCTTCACAACTGTCGACGAGGTGTTGCTTCACTGCACTATTCATGAAGCCCACCTTGTCTTTCATGAGTACAAGTGGCCTGCACATTTCAATCAACTCCCTGATTTCTTGGTCATGGTATTCAGATCCATAGCACAAGACAGCAAGTTCAGCTAGGGTCGGCTCCTCGATGGTAAGTATGAGAGCTCGAAGCATCTCCTCGATATTTTCCCTCTGCTCTCCTGACAATCTAAAAATTCGAAGCCACGCGTTCTTGAGTAAAGCACTGAGCTCATTTGGCGTCTCTTCGAGAACTCTCCGCACTCGGACATCACTTTCAGCCTCGGGTAGCTCTTCGAGTTGGAGACAGGCAATGTCTATCCAGGATATGTTCTGCGCCCTTTCACCGATCAGGCTATGAGCAAACCAAGCAAGAGCGTTGTTGTACTTCTTGGTGTCTTTCAGCTGGCCCACCTTACTTCTGGCGTGTATCTGCAGTGATTTTGCGAATTGGCTGCCAAACCTTTGGTCTTCTAGGTTGATGACTCGAAGGCGCTCGAGACTTAGGGCTTTTTGGATTGCGTATGTTGGACGGCTTGTAATGAGCCATTTTGCCATGATCCGGCCAGGTACCATGATTTGACCGTCATCAAGCTCAAGACTCAATAAGTTCAATAGCTTGAGTGTGGAATCAGAGTCCTCTGGAAGCAGGTGCAGGTTGCTCAAGACAATGTAGACACGGTTGCCTGTAAACTCATCGGCAAGAATGCCTTGTAATGCCTTCCACAGGTTCTCCACACTAGGCGTCGCGCGTGACTTGGGCGCCCCTCCATTCTTGACCTTCTCCTTGACAAAGTCTTTGGCGTGGGTCGCCAGGACTTTTTGCTGATCAATGAGTTGCCAAATTATGGATTTGAGACAATCCTCGGCGGAGCAGTAGTCCGTTCCTGCGACGCACAAGAAGTACGCAAACAGAACTGGTTCACCGTCCTCTTGTTTCTCAACAAGATTCTCCACGTCAGACAGAGCGGCGAGCATAGCACCTGTCTTGCCCCTGCCCTCTGGGGCCCGGATCCAGAGCCCGTCGACCTTTGCGGCTTCACTTTCGTCCGTCTCCGTCTTCTCAACATTTGCGAGCCATTCGACATAGTCAGGCTCCTGAGAAATAAGAGCCGATTCCTTGAGCCTCTTGGTCAGCCCTTTTCGGATGCTGTCAGGCTGTAGTCGTGTACCATCAAGCGCACCCCTTACACTCTTGAAAGCAGGCCAATCTATACCGCGTGCGGAACCCAATCGATTTTTCGCTGTCTTCTTGGCACCGTGAATTATCCGTTTCAAACGACCTTCGACCATGTTCCACCGTAGATCTTTGGCGCTATCAAACTTGACAAGGTTTCTGTGGTTGCTTGCTAGACCTTGATTTGGCACGTCACCCTCAAATATTGCAGAGTCCCGACTGACAAACTCTGCAATGTCCTTGGGTGTGTAGCGCTTGGCGAGACCAAAGGGATCGGGTAGGCGGGCCATTTCGGCCAAGTCTGTAGTCTGCTCTTCCCAAAAGCACAAGAGTTCGATTCTATACTCTGTCTTGGCAGCAACTCGTCTGAACTCGTCTCTTAATTCTTGAAGTGCGCTGTTACCGGGTTTCAACATGTCCATTAATTGTGATTGGTGGGCCTTGTTGAACTTTTCTGCATAGTAGGCAAACACTACAACGCTCTGAGTTAGTGATCATTCCACGTGTACACCAAAGTACAGCGCATTTTTGAGTTCAAGGTGATGCTAAGGATGCACCTTCACTACAAGAAGATGAACATCCACTAAACGGGGTAGGCAAGTCGAGACACGTGGATTAACTCACTGGATCCCCAAGCGGCGGCCGGAGCTCCTTTGAAAGGCGTGCCAAAGAACACTGCGGCCGAGGTGGCCTCCAACATGACTGGGAAGTTCTCTTGCTGCGCGTTCATCATTGTGATGGCTTTAGCAATCACCAAGCCACCCATGCTATGGCCAATGAAGACAATCGGTCTCTGTTTACACTTTTCTCGTTTGGCTTTGAGAGCACAGAGAAGCGTCATGGATATATTTTCCATGGATTGAAATGGAATTTTGAGTCGACCTTGCCATGCAGACTCGTACATGAACAAGAGAATTCGTGCTTTTGGGAAATTTGCACGAATTCCGTCTGGACTTTCCATCCAATTCCAGTCACCTTTGGTTGCTTTCCAACTTTCTAACGGATGAGCTGCCAGTCCAGGGACAAAGACAATACTGACAGCATTAGCCAATATGCTTTCGATTGAGGCCGTAATCATACTCAATGCTTGATTTTTGGTTATCATTTTCAGCCGGATATACCACTTTCAGGCCTTGCTGAACATCGTCATATTTTCTGACTCGATCGCTCGCGCCGACTGGCCGCTTTTGGGTGCTTTCACGTCGCAAGGACATGATGTCTTTGTAGGAGCCGAGCTAGATAGTCCGTAATGAAATGAAGGAGAATTAGGCGGAGAAAAATTTGGCCACGGTGCAGTTTACAGATACTTTGTGCCAATTGCAACAAATGATAAGTCTCTCATCATTTCCATATCAACTCTGGGGTAATTGGTTAGTATCACACTCATTGCTGTTTCTTTTCTTTTAATCAAATCTTGCTTGCTGATGGGAACACGTGATGTAAGCAACAAGTCTTACAATGTCCCCAGAGGTGGCCGGCATGGTGGGCTGAGCCATTGTGGCTCATGGATAAATGCACGATGTAACCCTGGAAGTATGCATTGGTAAATCCTTTTGAAAAGAGCTGACCCAAAGCGGATTCCCCTCAATGGAGGGCAAAAGGCTGCGACCAGGTATCACCATGCGAGTCCTGCATATGCACAGCTGACCGAGCTCCAGCAAACATGCAATCAAAGCAATTTTTCTATCCAGCTCATCAAATCTTTTCGTTTTTCACGTGCATGGAACTGTGCTACTTATCGCATTGATACCTCTTTCTCCCCCCACGCAATGGATGGGAGCTGGAGTCAGGTGGGTACAGAATACAAATCTTAGATTGATAAAAAGAATGTTTTCCACTAACGTGATGCAAGGCTTGCCCATTCAAGACGCGGCTATTGGAGGCGGCAAAAACCGACGCAGACCACGATGACCTCGAAGTCCTTCTGCCTGCTTCACTTCGCATCCGTGATGAGATTACAATTCCCAGGCTGGAAGAGACGCGATGGATAAAAAAAGAACTCGACTTGACGAGGCTCAACCAAATGTTTGGCTACTTGTGGTTGGCGGGTCGGCCCATGCCGCCCCGACCGCTTCATTATCAATTGTTGCTCGGGCGCGACATCATGATCACGGAGCAGATGGACTTGCACCTGGTTTGGACAGGCAGTCGAATGTTTCTCAAGCCTCTTCCTCGATTCCTGCTCGAGCCACAGTTGTGGACCCAATTTCTGTGCTGTAAACAACAGTGCAACTGCAGGGGAACGAACAAGCAGTCAGCGGAGATTCAAGGAGCCGAGTGCAAGCGGTCGCTCTGGAGAGCCGCTAATGGTTTCCTCTTCTCTTATGCGGCGCTGATCAGCTACGAAAGTGATTTTCGCATCGCCCAGGAGAAGAACCTTATTCCGCCCGAGGTTTCCTGGCTTGCTTGGAGAGCCTTTGTGCGAGAGCTGAAAACAGAGGGTATCTACGGCAGGGTGGACCCCCGCTTTTTGTATGGAGAGCTGCGGCTGGGGCGACTGAGCAAAATCCATCGATTATCGCACTTGTCATTGCGGGGTTACTCTCAAGCCTGGAATCAGTACGCGTCCCTTTTCGAGACCAACTTTACTCTCATCGCCTCGGTCGTTGTATACGTCGCCTTCATCCTGGGGGCGATGCAGACTGGTCTTTCAACATCATACGCAGAAAACGATGCCTTTCAAGCCGCAAGCTGGGGATTCACAGTCTTTTCTATATTAGGACTTGTCATTGTCACGGTCTTGGTATTCTTGTTGTTTTTGGCCATGTTTGCCAGCAATACAGTGGCAACATTGTCATACCGAAAGAAGAGGATGCGTGATATTTCTAATCATTCGCAAGGCGTATCTACAGAGCCTTGATATTTAATGCGAAGAGAATCAAGTCGTGACAGGGATAAAACGGTATCAGTGAAAACAAATCAAATGACGGAGAATGCGTAACCATTATTATGTAGAACACGGGTCTTAGCATGGCCTTTCCTTTTCAGGGCTCTACAATTAATAGACAAGATCAAACATTTCGCAGCCCTCGCTTCAATAAAACTGTTCACATATGTCATTGGCTTTCATATGAGTGAGTGGAACGTGGTGAGAGAAAAGTTCCGATCACGTGCACTCTGTTTTTCCGCCAAATAGCGGCTCCGTGGATCCAGCCACAACCAGTTTTGCCTATAATTACGAGGCCTGTAGAAAGATGCATAAAACTTCAAAGTTAATGACAATCGTGTCGACTACATGTCATCCATCCCCATCTTGACATCACAAAGTCACCATGGATAAGAACAGTAGAGTTGTGATTATTGGGGCAGGCCTATTTGGTCTAAGTGCCGCCCACCAACTCGCATCGGAAGGATATCGCAATATCCTGGTTCTAGATAGACACATGCCACCAGTAAGCACATCCTGCTCTGATTGCGAATGCATTGCATGTTTTCACAAGTCTAACAATTCAAGGCTCCTGACGCCTCGAGCAATGACATTTCGCGCATTGTCCGATTCGATTATGCCGACGAGGATTATTTGGACATTGCTCACGAAGCATACCAGAAATGGCGAGATAACCCCAAGTATAAAGGAATCTTTTATCCCACACCATACATTCTAGCCTGTAACCAGAGCGCCTATGGCCGAGCTTGGGTTGAGAAGACAACTGCGGCACTGAGCAAGCGTAACTTGCCGTTTCAAAATCTGCATGATGGAGATGATGCGCGCAAAAGATACCCTGTCCTGACTGGACAACTGGCAAACCCTGGCTTTGTCGGCTACACTAACCATCAAGCTGGCTGGGCTGACGCCACAAAAGGAACGACCCAGCTCCGTGATGAATGCATCCAAGCGGGCGTCTCCTTCATCAGCGGTCGTGCTGGCACGGTTGTTGGATTTGAGATTGACTCAACCAACAAGATCACAGCAGTACAAACTATGGCTGCATCTACCTTGGAGGGCGACTTGTTTATTCTCACAGCTGGTGCCTGGGTCTCAAGCCTGGTCCCCATGTACGGGTCGGCGCTGGCCACAGCTCAGGCACTGGGCTACATTCGACTCACGGATGATGAGATGGAAAATTTCAAAGACCTTCCCATCTACGTCAATTGTGCAACCGGTTTCTTCAACTTTCCGCCCCACGAGGAGACCAAGATGCTAAAGGTGGCCGTGCATGGATGGGGCTATACCCGTAGTCCCGAGAACGGTGATCTTTACAATACGGGCAAGGGTCAGGACCTCTCCATGCCGCCGTTGCCTCCACGTGCCCAACGCGCCAACTTTGTTCCCGGGGAAGCGGAAGCGCGACTGAGAGAAGGTCTGCGGGAGATTTTGCCCGAGCTAGGCGACCGGTCATTTGACAAATTGGCGCTTTGCTGGTACACGGACACGCCTACAGGCGATTTCATCATGGATTATCACCCAGACTACAAGAATCTGTTCGTTGGAGGCGGCTGCAGTGGACAGTAAGAAATTCCGTATCTCATTTCAAAGGCGACGGCTAATTTTCAATGTTACAGTGCGTTCAAATTCATGCCAGTCCTTCCAAAGTACATTGGTCAAGCCATCCACAAGACACTACCAGATCAATTGTCAGCAAAGTGGCGTTTCCGCAAGGAGTTTCAAGGCAAAACTGATGCGTTCTTGGGCGACGGAAGTCGTGGAGGGCCATTACGAAGAGAGCTGACTCGCCATGAATCTGCCAAGTTATAAGCGGATGTCTAGACTGTAGTTCTTTGACAACCAAAATTGCATGCAGTCACTTCCCATTTTGTCACTATTCTGGCTTATGGTAACTGGCATCGCAAAATTAGGTAAATGATATAAAGAACTAGTAGTGCACAGAAGGACGAGGAGAAAGTAAAATACTTGATTTCGGCAGCTAAATAAATTCCAACGCTAGGCATGATGTATACTACCTCCTCCTAGCGCGTGGAGTTGCGGTCACGTGGTCGGTGTTTAACCTAGGTTCAGATCCACCACTTCCGGAATTTCGATCAAACCTTGGAACTTGAAAGGATTTACGGACATTTTTGCAAGACAATTGCCGCTCCTTCAATCCAACACATGCTCATTTTACCTGCCGGAGTCCAAGTGCACCATGGTCAATGCTCGATCCCTAGAGCCGCGAAATCGCCACGCGTGTGAGCGCTGTCGGTGGGTTCTGCCTCAACCTCTATAATCCGCGGAATAGTCGCATTACCTAATCCGGCTGATCTTGCCCACTCCATGCCAATCAAACAAACCAGATCTGCGCCGTTGCCATACTGACTAAATATTGCTTGACAGGCAGAAAAAAAGCAAATGTCCCGGGCAAAAACCTACATGCTCGTTTTGTGAGCGAGCTAAACAAGAATGCATCTATCTGCCGAGGGGTCATCGTGGTTCAACTGTGATAGGCAATCATGTCGTGAAACAGTAAGGCCTTTTCCTATCGAGAGCATAGAAGTGACCATGATAAGTGCCAAATAGTCTTGACTCTAATTGAGACTACACAGAACCACAGACAAAGACAGGTTTCAAAGGCTTGAGGCCCAAGTAAGCCAACTTCAAAGTATATTACAGTGCGTATCCCACATTTCATTGATGAGTATGTGGGATCATTTACAAATCATCGACAATAAAGTTCGCTTCCAAGAACTCCGACAGATCAGACGCACATAGAGAGCATTAGAGAAAGTAACCAGTCCGTACAATCTTCTCTCATTTCGCCACCGCATCTTATCGCTGCAGTTTCACCAAGCAATCCGCCCACTTTCTCAAAATCCCAGTAAGTAGCCAGATTCCCCATTTCCTGAATTTGTCTTACATCAAAGTTTTTCCGATAGGCTGACACCTCCCGAAAACGTACTAAATCATCTCGTGCAAGTATATCGAGAGATGGTCCATCTTCAGCCACTGCCGTTGTTCGATTTCAATAAGCTGCAAACCTTGCTTCATTCTGCCCCATCGTATTTGCTTTGGAGCTTCTTGGCTTTGACCGTACACTTTAGCAGTCATGACTATTATCGTGATAAAAACCTCGAGGCTACAGACTTTTACACTCGATCTGCAGAGCAGATCATCCCTACACTAGCCTTTGAAGGGATCCCCAAACTAGATGTACAGCAAAGTCTTTGTCTGTTAGCAATGAAGCACATCCTAGGTAAAAGCAATCACTGTCTCGAAATTCAATTGTAGAGTGACACTAATTTTGCATACAGCTCGTGATCCTGCTCGAGCATGGATGGCGATAGGAACAGCTTCAAAGTTGGAGATGCTACAAACAGCAACACAACGGGAGATTCACGACGATAAAGACCTCATTTCAAGATGCCACTGGAGTATATTCATCCTGGAACGACTGTTCTTCCCTCAGCTGGTACAGGGAGTCTCATCGGGTTCACCTTTCCAGTTTCCGCAGAGCGCCCATCGACCACCTCCTCTTTCACGCAATGTGGAAGACATTGCTCATCTCGATGGCTCGGCAACCGACGATTTCAAGCCCGACGATCTCGGAATCAATGCCTACTACATCAACGGCTTGTCTGTATGGGCAGATATTTCGCTTTACCTGCACAAACTACGAACCGGGGCCATTGAGCTCGAGCAGCCGTGGTTGCCCAACTCGACATTTACCAAGCTCAGCATGAAGGTGTACGAATCCGAGTCGAGAATGTCGGACCTTCACTTACTTCGGTCCGTTCATTTCCACAAGCGATCGCCAGCCGAAGTTAAAGAACAGCAAGAGTACTGGCGACCCTGGATCGTTATGCAGCTCATATTCCATGCTGCTCCTGCCCTCATTAACCATCCCTTTGTCCACCTCTCTGCCACGCGACGAGCACGTTTACCGCAGTCTCGCCATTTCCTCCAGCAGACAGTTGACAATGCGCTTTTTCACTCAGGGTGGGTATTCCGCCTAATTGAGACGTGCGAGGACCTTTTATTCGACCTTCACGATCCACTGATTGGGCATGTCGTAGCGGCGACAGCTACCATAGCATGGCTTTTTCAATTTGCTGCGGATTCTAATGTTTCTGCACGTGCGAAAAGGGGATTCATGCAGTGTGGGAAGCTGTTGAGGAGACTGGCGTTGTTATGGCCCCATATTGCACGAAAGGTTAGTTCCTGACTATAGCCTTGGGATTGATCCATGCATAGATCTAACTCATGTCTTGACAGGTCGAGATTATCGACGCTTTGCAGGCTATAGCCGATGCAGGAGTCCCCGACGGTGAAGACCAAAACAGACATGTCACTTTGCCACTCCCAGAGCTGTGGGAGTTGCTTGACCCCGATGCCTTTGAAATATCACATAGCAGCCGTATCAACTCCAAGAGTAGTGGTGCTAGAGGAGCCGGCGAGCCACGAGATGCCAGGATCCGAATGTCTACCCATTTTGTCCACCCCCTCGACGAAAACTCTGCAGGGCAACAGTCACGCTTAGATGGCGCGAGTTTACCGACAAATTTGTTCACGCCCAGCCAGGAACCATTCGAGCAGCTCTGCATGGATGACTTTTTCTTCCATTTGCAGCCCGACCAGTTTCAATGGTGATAATCATGAGAGATTTGCTCATCTAGACTTCACGGATGTTTGCGTCAAAGCGGGTGAGACAAGCTTGTGACACCAACGCCAGGATTTCTCAAGATTTTTTCAATATGATATCCTGTTTGGAGAAGGAAAATATCTTCTGATAATCAAATTCGAAAACTCCAGGATCACAAAACAATGCTTCAGGATAAGAGAGTCGCTTTTTTTCTCGATCAATGACGTGAAATCAAAGCTTGTCATATTGATGCACTCAATCAGGTGCATCTATTCCCCTTGAACGAAATCTCGGATATGATCCTCACACCAGTCGAGATACTCGCTCGCTCTATTCGAACTACCCTCCTCGACAGATCTCAATGCCAGGATTATGTCTTGTCTCTGTCCCAGATGCTATCTGCCGTTACAAATGGCATAGCGACCCGTTATGCTATCTTTTATGGTGATAGCGTCGGAAAAGGCCATCCACAGGTACGTGTTGGCGCCGTGAACTGCATCTCTGTCAGGGCATGCTGCTACCACTGTACGGTAATGGCCAAAGAGCATGCTCGCAATCGTTGGGAAACGATCACGAACCAGGACCTATATGCCTACGGAGGAGGACAGTCTGTACCATAATAATAATCAATACATTAATTTTAATAAAGAGCAAATTATATAATCATAATTATAGCCTTTTTAGGAGGGGGAAGGGGGGGGGGGGGGGGGGGGATAAATAACACTGCAAACCGTTAATTGAGATTTTAAATTCTTATTTTTTTGATTGGTTCATATATCGGGCTAACCATTATTCCGCTCGTCGTAGCCGCGAGTGACATATTGTGAACTTGCAGTGCTTGCCATTAAATGAATGTGACCTGTAATGCTGTTGTACATGTCTCCACAATTGCTAGTGATGTACCATCCAACAACATGCTGATTTGATAACCCCGCCTCTTGATGCTGTCAATCCTGCTAATCCTGCGCTAAAGACATTAAGCACAAACTATAATCAAGAGCTACTCATGAGTTTTCACTGGATTTATAGGCGCCTCAACGATGAGGCTTCGACTCGAGAGCCCAAACCTTTACACTATCGCATGGATAGCCGCTCTCCCCATCGAACGAGCGGCGGCAACGGCGTTACTCGACGATCGTCATGACGCGCCTGAAGGCTTCCACCAGCATTCATCCGACGAGAACTCCTATACCTGGGGCCGAATAGGCGAGCATAACATCGTGATCGCCTCACTCCCCGCTGGAGTCTACGGACTTGCATCCGCTGCGACGACCGCACTGGACTTGATCCGTTCGTTACCCTATATCCGAATCGGTCTGCTAGTGGGCATTGGGGGAGGCATCGCTCGGCCTGATGCGGGACAGGACATCCGCCTTGGCGACGTCGTCGTCAGCCAGCCTGACGGTACGACCGGAGGGGTGGTACAGTATGACCTAGGAAAGGCGAAAGCGGGCGGCACGTGGGAGCGAAAGGGCTCTCTAGATAGACCACCTCTCGTACTTCTCAATGCGCTGGCAAGTCTACAGGCGGAGCATGAGTTCGAACCGTCCAAGGTACCAGATCTGCTCCGAGCAATGTTGGAAGCCAAGCCTTCTATGAGACGGCCAAAAAGCGACTATACGTATCAGGGGGCTGAGAATGATCGACTTTTCGAATCGCAACACGACCATATTGGCGGCAGCAACTGTGATAAGTGCGACCCGACCTGGGAGGTGAAGCGTGACCCGCGAGAGTCGACTGAACCAGAGATTCACTACGGGATCATTGCCTCTGGTAATAAACTCGTCAAAGATGCAGCTACTCGAGACGGTCTTTCGGGAGACACCGGACATCAATGTCTGTGTGTGGAGATGGAAGCAGCGGGCCTGATGAATCGGTTTCCATGCCTGGTGATACGTGGGATCTGTGACTACGCGGATTCTCACAAGAACGATCGGTGGCAGCGATATGCGGCTGCTGCGGCGGCAGCGTTTGCAGTAGAGCTGCTCGGGTTTGTCCCGGCTAGAGAGCTTGAAGCAACAGAAAAGGTCGCTAAGGCCATACAAGCACGTTAGTACCCACGATATCAAACACTTCAAAGATGTTCAGTCATTAACCATATTGTAGTGAAACAGAAAGTGGACACCGTTGGGTAAGCTTCAATTGATGCAACTTGGATACCATTATTTACGACTCCTCATAGCACCTTCATTCGGAAAGTCGACCATGGCATTACTTTGGATCGTCTACCGGTTGTAGAAGAGGCCTCTTTCGACTCTCACGCTGAAGCACACAATCCAACATGCTTACCAGGTACCCGGGTGCAGTTACTTGAAGACATTTCTCATTGGATCGACAGTCCCAACTCGAAGACGATATTTTGGCTTGATGGTATGGCAGGGACTGGGAAGTCAACTATATCGCGTACTGTTGCTCAGAGACGACACGAGCGTGGTGATCTGGGTGCCAGTTTCTTCTTCAAAAGAGGAGAGATCGATAGAGGGAACCTCACTAAGCTGGTGCCTACTCTAGCTCGTCAATTAGCCTCGAGAATCTCGGCAGTTGAGTTTGCCGAAGCCGTTAAAAAAACACTCGTTACCGATCCAGAGATTATCAGGAAAGCTGTCGCTCAGCAGTTCCAGGAATTGATCCAGGAACCTCTTTCAAAAGTGGAGCCAACAAACACGACACCATTATCATTGGTCATTGTCATCGATGCTCTGGACGAGTGCGAGGGCCAAGCCGACATAGAGCTGCTTATCGAACTCTTGTCTGGTGTACGCTCCACGTCCTCCTTATATGTTCGAGTCCTTGTTACTAGCAGGCCCGAGCTACCAGTGCGTCTTGGATTTCGTCATTTCAACGACGATAGTGACTATCGATACCTGCAGCTACAAAAAATCCCATCATCGACTATCGAGCTCGACATCTCTGTATTTCTTGACTATGAATTTGCTAACATTTGCAAACGCTTTAACTCTTGGGCGAAAGAAGAGTTGCGATTGCCAGCAAATTGGCCTGGAGAAGCTGACTTGAAGACACTCACTATTGCGGCCTCGCCGCTCTTCATCTTTGCCGCAACGATTTGCCGTTTCGTAGAAGACTCGTATCTCGGTGATCCGCGGGACCTACTTCAGAAAGTACTCGAAACTACGAGCAATTTACATACCTCGAGACTTGCCAAGACTTACTCGCCGGTTCTGGAACAACAAATTATCAACAAGTCAGAACTTGAGAGACACGAAATTATCAAAAGCTTCCGCCTTGTAGTTGGCACCATCATCACGCTTGCAGACCCTCTATCTCAGCGGGTTTTAGCATTGCTTCTTGACGTCGATGTTCGGAAAGTAGCGGCAAGGCTCGAGGTTTTGCGTTCCGTTTTGGACGTTCCAGACAGTCTTGACTTGCCGGTACGCTTGTTGCATCTGTCATTCCGAGATTATCTGGTCACAGAAGAGAGTGAGTTTCGAGTGAACGAAGAACTCACCCACCAAAACTTGGCCATAAACTGCTTGCGTATCATGCATGGCAGTCTGAAGGAAAATATCTGTGATCTGCCATTTCCTGGTGCATGCCGATCCGAGTTGGACAGTCAACACATCAAGAGCTGCATACCCCCAGAGCTACAGTATGCTTGTCTTTACTGGGTGCATCACCAAATTGCTGCGAAGCATAATTCAGATAATTATCAACAGATTGATGACATTTTGAAAAACCATCTCCTCCATTGGCTTGAAGCGATGTGCTTGATTGGTCGCTCTGGAGATATTCTTGATATGTTTGGAAAGCTAGCGATCTGGCTAGAGGTAAAGACCGTCTGGGACCCTGGGAGCGGATCTGGCTGACCATGAATAGGAGAGAAACCGCCAGGAGCTTCTAGCCTTTGTCAATGATGCGATTCGATTTACCAGAACGACCGTTTTGGCGATAGACGAAGCACCGTTACAGATCTACTCGTCGGCCTTGGCCTTCGCACCTAGTAAGAGTCTCGTCCGGCAATCATATGACAAAAACGTGCCAAGCTGGCTCTCGGTATTGCCACAGGTCAAGGAAGATTGGGACGCGTGTCTTCTGGTGATAGGATGCCGGGAGAGAAACAGAACAATAGCGTTCTCAAACGATTCGACGATGATAGCATCGGTCCCTGATTCTCTTCCCGGCACGATAAAGATCTGGAATACGCAGACAGGGAAATGCCGGAAAGTGCTAGAAGGACACCGCGGCTTCGTGCATTCTGTGGTATTTTCGTATGATTCAACAACGGTGGCATCAACCTCCAACGACAAGACTGTACGAATCTGGAACACAAAAACAGGGGAATGCGAGCAAATCTTGGAAGGTCATAGTGATATCACCAACTCCGTGGTATTCTTGCATAATGTTCAAACGGTAGCATCAGCCTCCTGGGACAAGACAATACGGATCTGGAATATACCAACAGGTGAGTGTAAGCAGGTGCTGGAAGGCCATACCAACATAATTATGTCGGTGATGTTCTCGCACAACTCGAATAAGATTCTTTCGGCTTCTTATGATCATACCATACGGATCTGGAACGGACAAACAAGAGTCTGTGAGCGAGTGCTAAAGGGCTACAACAATTGGGCACACCCAACAGTGTTTTCCTATGATTTGAAGATGGTGGCGTCAGCGTCAGCATCTCATGGCAGTATAGTGCAGATCTGGAATATGCAGACAGGGGAGTGTGAGCAAGCACTAGAGGGTCATAGTGGTCGAATCACCTCCGTGGCGTTCTCGCATAACTCGCGGATGGTAGTATCTGCTTCGTCGGATGACACGATTCGGATCTGGAACACACGGACATGGAAGTGTGAGCAGGTTCTCAAGGCCCACAGCTCTACTATCACATCCGTGGCATTCTCTCACGACTCGAGGATAGTGGCATCGGGCTCCTTCGACAACACCATCCGGATTTGGGATGTACAAATGGGGAAAAGCGAGCAAACACTGGTTGGCCATAAGCGCCCAGTTTGGTCGATAGCGATCTCGCCCAGCTCGGAGATGGCAGTATCCGCCTCATACGATGGAACTTTACGGATTTGGAACACGCAAACGGGGAAGTGTGAACAAGCACTAGACGGCCATAGTGAAATGGTCAAGTCAGTGGCATTCTCACATAATTCGATGATGGTAGTGTCGGCGTCTTCCGATCACACAGGACGGATCTGGAATACACAATCCGGGAAGTGTGAGCAAGTACTAGAGGGTCATACCAGCGAACTTGTGACAGCGGTTTTCTCACATAATTCTAAAATGGTGGCATCGGCTTCTTTCGATAAGTCAGCACGGATCTGGAATACGCAAACGGGGAAATGTGAGCAAGTGCTTGGTCACAGCGAAGGGGTCAGATTAATTGTGTTCTCGCACGACTCAAAGATGCTGATTTCGGCTTCTGCTGATTATATGCTACGGGTCTGGTGTACGCAGACTGGAAAATGCGAGAAATTATTTCAAGGTCATACTAGCGATATCACATCGGTGGTGTGCTCGCATGACTTTCAGATTATGGCGTCTGGTTCTTATGATAAGACAATACGCATTTGGGACACACAGACGGGGGAGTGTAAGCAAACTCTCGAAGGTCATACCGGTAAAGTTATGTCAATAATATTATCGTACGACTCAGAGTTGGTAGCATCAGTCTCTCGAGATACAACGGCAAGAATCTGGAGCACGAAAACCGGGAGGTGTGAAGAGATTCGCTACGTGGATACCTGCTCAATTTCAGATGTCTTCGAGCCTTCTAGCTGGAACGTTGTCGTCGATGATATTTTGTCTTCCTCGACCAACCGTCCTGCATTTTTCGAATCTAAGACACCTTCCCAACATGCAAAGGATCTGAAACTTGGTTTGCGTAATGGTACCTGGATTACGCTGGAGGGAAAAAACTTGCTTTGGATTCCTGCAGATTTTCGCGAATTTCGCCAAAAGGTTGCTATCTATGCAAACACAGTTGCGATAGGTTATAGGTCAGGAAAAGTTTTGCTGTTAAGGTTCTCAGCGGCACAAATAGCAAAATTGTAGCGTCGCATAGCGGATATGTAGCGAAAGCTCGTGCAACTGTTCTTTCAAAGAGTCAACTGCGGCGCTATTGAGGCGGTAGTGGTAATTATTCGACTTCCTCTCACAGACCCCGCCAGTAAAGATACATTTCCGTACGATCTTTCCACCATCGTCGTGCTGATACTAGACCCGAATGAGTTTGATTTACCGGGTATTCTAAAGCCGTTTGTCTCACTACTCATGATTGCCCCCAGTCTCAGGAGTGATGACTCGAGAGCCGAAGTAACGGTTGCAAGCCTAAGGGCCTGTTTATCAAGCACTAAACCGAGCAGAGAAGTCTTGTTGACGACAAATAAATCGCTGCGGCACACAGCCATTAACCCTGAATTAAAGTTGCTCGTGGATCACAACAGTCGGAATCTATTCAAAGAAAGCAGATGACCTACAAATTCTTAAGCTCTACCTTCTTTCCGATCACCCATCAAATACGGCGGGCAAATATGTTTTGTTCTGATCTTTTTATTGACCAGTACAGGCGCTTTCCTAGGTGCCAGAGCGCTCGTCTCCGTTTACAGTACCTGGAACCAGGTTCCTGTCTCCAGCGTCCTGTCATTCTCCGTCTTGAACCTTCAGGACAGTCGCCATTACAATTGACCTAATTCTCGTTCTATTCTTAATTGTCCTGGATATCATGTGATAAATACACACGCTATGAAGGAGCGATTGTTTCTTCCATCGGAGACTATAGCCAATAGATTAGTGATCCTTGGACTAGAGTCTCTTATTTGAGTATGCCTGGTTTCTCATTATCATCATCAAATGTTGATGCAGATTCTTTTCGGAAATCTTCCCCAGCCATAAGTAGAAGCCAGACAAGAACATCAGAAGCTGATGACAGCTTTGAAAAGGTCGCGGGAATAATATAATATTCACGTGGGAAGGCCATATATCTCTGTTACTCTGCTTGATTGTGTCACCATTGGAAAAGAGAGAGGACAAATCGCGCCCTTGCCCAGGCTGTCTGGAGAGTTTGGCTCAGAGCGGCCTCCACTACGGGTCCAGTGAGTGATTAGTGGGTATTCGGTCAGTCCCATCGTCACTCAGGTGCACTCCGCACAGGCTTCCTGGTAAGCCATAACAAGTCATCGATAGCTCGGTCTCTTTTCAAAGAAGAGAATGATTTGGTAGTGTAATCGAGGAGGGAAGAGAGACTGTCCATTTTCATTCAACGCCGTGAAGGTCAAGATAGCAACCGACCGGTGGGAAGATATAAGAAGAACGAGAGCCAGAATGCTCATAACCATGGACCAAGCAGTGGATTTGTCATATGGCCTGAGTGAAAAGAGCAGAGATGATAGATGAATTGACTGCTTATTGCCTATGAGACCAAGATTTGGTGTCGGCGTGAGGATCGCAACTCCTAACCGTGATTATTTATTACAATACCCTCATGTCGAACGGCTTTGGCTGTATGCGTCAATGTGTCAGCGCAGGTCTGTATCGACCAATCTTCCTACCCCTATACCGCCCTCTGCCTTCTACCCTTCACACTATTGCAAAACAACTCTGACATATCTTCGTCCAGTTTCCGTGCACACCCGAACTTCAACTCCCGAGATCTTTCTTTATACGGTAGCCTTTATTGATACAACACCAACAACCAAATTAAACATGTGCCATGGCCACCATGTTTAATAGTAAATGATCTCACTCAGTACTAGTCAAGAGGAAACACATTCAATCAAGTCCAGTTCAAGATAATTTGCTTTTCATGCTCTTATATACCTAGTTGCCCTTGGCCAGACAAACTAGGTATTTGTTATTGGATATCAAACCACTTGACCTCCAAGTTGTGACGCTGGATTATTTCCAATAAAGGTTCGTTGGAAATATTGTCAACATAACAACTTGCAAGATGAACCCAGTCGTCTATCTCTCTCCTCAAAAGGATAGGAGATCCACAGCCGTTCATTAGACATAGTGTGTCGCCGATTCGCGCGCCAACCCTGGTGATGCCGCCATACCCCATCGCCGTCTTGAACAAGCAACAGCCCTTTGTTTTGATCCTTAATTCCATTCTCAGCTGGTACATGATTGGTCCTATCATTTCTAGCGACTTTGATTGATTGCTATCAGCACCCAATAAACGCGAATCGGAGGAAAGAGCCGCTATAATGTCCTCATCAGACGAGTGTGCAGCCATGGATTTCACAAGGAGTAATAATTCTTCCAGGGGGAGCCCTGTACTCATGTAAGCACTCAGCTGTCCTGCAAACTGCAACCCGCCCCAGATCATGGTCGACAAAAATATAAGCTCAAAAGCGTGAGTAGGCCAAAGAGCAGGACTGAATTGGGACTTAAGATCGTGCATGGCTGGGCCTTTGAAGTATTCCAGAGGCGCACTATCGTCCAGGGTTAAGCATTGTGTAATAGTGTCACAGAGAGCCCCTCGGATCTTCAAGACGCCATTTTCGAAACATTGGTGCCTCGCGTCATCGAAATAGCAAGTGCGTTTTGGTAGGAAATCAACGGAAAACTGATCTTCAGAGGATGCATTGTTGAAATCAGGTAGCCAATACGGCAGCCTATGAGGATTGGTCTCTCTCGTTAGTGCCCCGGCATTGGCCAGCGTCGAACTCAGAAATTTATCTGAAGGCTCGTTCCGAGAAGCAGGATCCGTCTTAGAGAATACAGCGCTGTACCAATCCAGATATACTTGCCGAACTGACAATGTATAGTCCACTCTAATGTCCAGTGGAAGAATGCCTAGTGTGGCATACATCATATCCCGAGGATCCGATGCTTTGCAGTCCATGTGCAGCAGAAATATCTGAGATGAACTCATACCTCCAGTTCCAGAGTGTCGATGCGAGATCATAATTTTCCGCAATTTTTGTATTTGTATTGCGAGTAATATATCGTTTTGCTTCAAGGTGGCCCAGACCTCGGGTGCTATTGCTGCTGGCTTCAAGTCGGTAACCTCCGAGTGACGCAGCATGGCCGTCGTCAAGCGGCAGAATGCATATAATGCTGTCGCCGTGACTGTCGAATATCCGCAGATGAACACATGGCAATCGATTCGATCGCTAGAAAGAATCATTTCTTGATACACCCATATGCGACTCCAGTACTCAAGTCTGTTGAGAGCGAATATCGCTGACCACGTTGGGTTGAGCTGGTGTATTGGAGTATTATTCCATTGTTCACACAGTTTTGGCGTCTCGCTGACTACGCGAGTGAATTTTGCGACCATTTGGGGACTCAAGTCAACACCAAGAGCCTGGTTTTGATGATACATTGTCTCGCCTTCTTCCGCATCCATCTTCGTCATGATTTCATTAATGATCGCAATCGCATGCGGCGTGGAAATATCCTTTGGTCCTGCCACCCAGCTGTAAACAAAAGTGGCCTGACTGTACACGTCTCCCATCATGCCGACCTGGTGGCGCCTCTCGTCCAGATCTCTCTGGTTGATACAGAGCGCGTCCACCCAAATGCGCAGCTGCTTGCCGTTGCCACGGTTCATGTGATTCCCCCGAAAGTGCCACAGCGCCGAAGCGAGGTTGCGTGTGACGTCACGGACCTGGCCATTGATCACGACGCGATCGACACACTCGGCGTCGTAATCGCCCCAAACGTACGAAAGTGCAACGTATTCTGGTTCCTCCAGCAGTGAAACCGTCTCCAGCTGGCCGCGCACCACTTCGCTCGGATCGAAGGTTTGTAGCACCGTCAATAGTCGGATTTGCTTCCTGTCTCTGTCCAAACCTTCTCCGTACAAGGTTGTCTCGGCGGCGGATGTCATGATCAGAAAATATCAAGACAACGGTAAGATAAATTAATTCTAGGTGGTTGACTGTTCAAGGTCGGGTATGTAGTCGGCGACGAAATCAAAAGTACAGTCTTTCATACAACAAAGTACACGAAGAAGGCGGGGTAGCAGAGCGCCCTAGTAGGCAGCCACCACAAGCCTTTAAACAAAAAGAGACAAGGCTGAAGCTGAAAATCACCACCATAACAGGGCGTAAGACTAGCAAATGGCAACCCACAAAGCTGCAATGCTTGGATGCGAGAAATTCACGAAATGCTATCATCCTTTGCAGTGTGAACGATGATGAATCCCCGGTGCGGCCCAAGACTGATGAATGCCGACGACTTGACAAGTTGGAACCGTTTTTCACCATCAAACTCAGCTTCGCAGAGATCGATTTCTCCTGCCAGTACTTTTCTTGGCAAAAGCCTGGTCACGATCATTCTTGCGGCATCACTCCGCTCATCTGGTCCCATGACTTTGAAGCCCAAGTCCGTACTGCTTAGAATGAGCAAAGAAATGTTTATTTACTAGAGTTCTCGAACCCTCTCGCAAATGGTTCTGGTGCCTCCCGAAACTAGATTGGCTTTGCCCAAAAAAAAGAAGAAGAAGAAGAAGAACAAGGGTTCCTTGGTGAGTCTCATGATCCCAACCTTATCTCTGTTTTCTGTGAGCAAGTCATATAGATCCACAACACGTGCTTCCTAGGTCTGAACTCCAGTGTTCGCTTCAGCTATATACCCTTTTTTCACAAATTTAAGACCATCTGTGATCAAAACCGTCCAAAAGGGATCGAAAGAGCAATTTTCAAACTTTACTTCTCGCCTCGGCGTATAAAACATCAATATGTGCTGTTATGATTCTTGAGAATCTACCAACATTGTATGCTTAGTGATAAATTAATAAAGTGCATCTCCATCGATTATCTGATCCCATATGATTTCGCCGCCTTGCAAGTCGTCCTCGTTTAGAAAAGAAATCTTCTTCTGCTTGTTCATGACAGATGCCAGGATCGTGAGGCCTTTTGCATCTGGCTGCAGCTGTTCTCGTGACCCCTTTGCCAGCCCAATAATAATAGATAACTGGACCCATGGCGGTCGTATTCACTATATTAGAGCTTCCAAAGTGGAACTCGCTAAATATGTGAATAACCTTAAAATAATTCTTAGCAGCTGCCTGCTCCGGTCTTAAATGGCTGCCTGGAATGTAATTAAGCTGGGACCATGTTAAAATGTGGATGTTAAGCCATTTTAACTTTGCACGGTTTTGAGATTCCCGTGGCATGATTTCCCTTGGCGACTTATATAGACGGAATAAATGTATAAAAGTGGAGTAGTTCACTAATAAGGTTTTTTTTAGAGATAATTCTAGCGTTTCACCCGCTGAAGTATTACCTGTCCTGTAATGGCAGTGCAAACATTTATATGCCTTAGCGTAAATTACTCTAGGCGGTGGATCAAGCTGTAGTCGGGAGTCACAAAACGAGCTGGGAAAGCAAAGGAAAATCCCCAAACGAAATCGTAGTAGAAGCAGTTAATTGAGTGGTTGAGTTATGTAGATAGGACTGTCCCGCCAAGTAGAGAGACACGAAAGCAGGTATTATAAACAGTGGCCCAGTGGCCGTGCCTTCCCGTATTTCCCCTACCAACGGCGCCAGTGCTAGAGTGATCGTCCAATGTTATGATAATGAGTTACCTAATCAGATTCTCCAGTCCATAATCAATAACGGTCAGTCTCATCATTATAAGAGAGATGAGCTGGGATCGCATTTGCATCGGCCAACAGTTAATACATAGCGCATGTCCAGTGAGTCGCTATTTTACTCGTTCTTGTTTGCATTTGGCCTTTCCAAGGTCACGACCTGTGTGATAGAGAAACGATTCTCGAGAAACCTCAACCAATATGGGTTCTTTCATCCGCTGCACCTTTCGAAAATGCGCAATCTTTCTGACACTTATAACCATCGTTTCCACCATTATCCATCAGTTAAGCTATCTGGAGCTGAATGATGTAACAGACACGATCAAACTCCTGGATAAATGCAATGCCAAAGGAGCTACCCAGCTTGATGATTATCACACAATCATGAGCCGTAGCATCCCAGATACGATTCATCAAATTTGGAAGATCACCGACACTACTACGTACTCTTCGCAAGCGTCAAACACATTCTGGCAGGACAACTTCGGCCCCCTGAATTACACAGTAACACTGTGGACGGATCAAGAAATTCAGCACCTCATAGAATCCGAATACACTTGGTTATTATCGACGTACAAGGGATACACACAAGACATTCAGAGAGCAGACCTTGGTAGACTTGTGGTAGTTCACGCTAAAGGAGGAATATACGCAGACCTGGACGTGTTCCCTAGGAATCCTACTGCGATCGACTGTCTTCGCCGGTCCGGGACACAAGCTATATTCAGCCCTACCTCCAGCAACTCAGGCTTTAGCAACCACTTTTTCATGGCCGAGAAAGGTTCGATGTTCCTGTATGAGACGCTACGCACAGCCAAACAGCGTGGTGGCTCACATCATAGGCGGATATTGCTCCCATACCTGCAGGTGTTCTGGTCGACCGGACCGATCATGGTGACGGCGGCGTTCCGGCAATACTGGATTTTACGTGATGCGCCAAGAGACGAGGTGGCACTGCTAGATCATGAGTTCACGAAGAGGATGGTGGGACACGCCGCAGGAAGGTCATGGCACAGTGCAGATGGAGTCTTTCTCAATGAGTTTGCCGACCACATCAAGTTGATAGAAACATGGGTCATCTGGTCTGTCGCAACCATTACGCTGGGAATAGTGGTTGTGAAGACGTGTCGGCTTCTCAAAAGGGGCTTTCCATTATAAGGCAAAAATCATTCGGTCAACCATTCGAATTGTTAATTGATTAATGTTACGCGCAAGTTTTAGTAGAAGATGCCCTTGACCCCTGCAATATAGCTGAGCCAGGAGTCGGGGATAGCTGTGAAGGTGCGGCACAGCGGTACCGCCGCCTATTTCCATCTTACCAGGAGGATGTTTGCTTAATTCAGTATAGTCGCATGTAGAGAATTGCTTTGGAATCGCAAGCTCGTGCGATATCCGCACACTCGGGCAGATGATCATTGGAACGACAGTAAATAAAGTCCCATGATGGGGGCATTGTGAGTCGGACGGATAGTATCGATGAATAGGTAACAAACGTTTTAGTACACTACAATCTATTTTAGGAGCAGTTAAACATTTATAATAAAGAATCATATATACCTATGCGTCTCAATCGATTATCTAATCCCATGTGATTTTGCCGCCTTGCAAGTCTTCCTGGGTAAAAAAAAAAAAAAAAAAAAAAAAGGAAAAGGAAAGATTTTTTTCTGATTATTTATGACAGATGTTAGGATCGTGAGCGCTTGTGCAGCTGACTGCAGCTGTCCTCGCGGCCCCTTTTCCAGCCCAATAGTACTTCATTCTTTTTACAAGGGTTCGTATCGGTAACAATTACCCCGCTCAGGTACAGTCAGAGTACGTGATTTGCATCTGAAGAAAGGTGTAAGGCTGTCTGTTGATTGACGCGGAGCTCGGTGACGACTTCAGGCGCTGAGTGTGCTGGCAGCGGTGTCTGTTGAAATATGGCGACAATATCCTCCTTGCAGCTGGCCATTGACGTATCTAAAGTTCTTCAGCAGATTACACAGTATTTGCAGACAAACTCCCAGTTCGATCCGTTCTGCGCTAGACTTCAGATCATACTTGATCAGATTATCCCAAAGCTTGAGAATCTCCAGAGCAATGAGAATTATGAAGTTTCAGGACTACTCAGTGGGCTTGAAGCCCTTTGCGAGGTACCTTTCTTTGATAGCCCTTCTTCTAGGTCCGAAATACCAAATCCTTTGATACTAATTGTTCACCACTGTAGTTTGCTAGCATTTCAGAGAATTCCAGCGCCCAGTATCCGGCTCTGGAGCTTGTTCTGAAAGATCGTGACTATGCCACCACTGCCTTTCGAAACTTGGCGCATAACAGACCACATAACAATCAGAGGACGAAGCTGGTGACTGAAGTCGAGTCTTTTCTGTCTCAATCTTCTGATGATGACAAAGCTGGAGCTATGCCGTCTCATGCCGACATACAAGAGGCCAGTGGAACTCTCTTGGGATGTGGCAAAGAGCTTGTGGTTTTGCACGGAATACTGTCCACCTATTGTCGATGCGCTCCGTCGGAGAATGGAGACAGCAAAATGGTTGCTCAGTTCAGGTTGCGCAATAAAAAGCAAGAGAATGATGATACCAACGTATCCTTCGGCATGCTCTTCATGGCACATCCCCACCAAGACGAGAGTGCAGCTGGGCTTCAACCTTGCTGGCAAGATACGCATATTTGCATGCGACGAACTGTGTTTGTCCTCTGATGCCTCATGGGAAATCAGAAACATGCTAACAAAACTTGGAGAAAATTTTTAGGAAACAAGCATACCGATGGCATAGAGATTCAATCGGACTCGGTCGACTCCTTTTGCAACTACATCTCAGATCAACTTCAATCTGGTCCAACCTTGCTGCATCTATCGGTTGCGAACAAGAGGCTGTACTTTGAACAACACAGTGATCAGGAAACACAGTGGGTGATTAATCAACCCAGCGTTTCTTTGGGCCAATTGCTGGATATATCATCTCATTCCACAGACGGGATAACCGGAAAGCAAAAGGAGGTCCTGTCTTGGCTGCTAGCCAAGGCAGTGTGGCAATATTACAACTCGCCTTGGATGGCTCAGCCTTGGACTAAACAAGATGTGCATTTCCTCGGTGAACGACGGCCCAACCCCAATGACATCGCAAATGACATTGCGGGTATTTATGTCAATGAGCCCCTGCTCTCGGTTTCAATCTCCGCAAGTACACTGAAAGGGAAAATGCCCAGCTTACCATCGTTGAGGTCACTGAGACACAAGATCCCCAAGATCCTTGGCCTTGGCATCATGCTTGTCGAAATCCAGCTTGGGCGTCCGATTGAAGATTTACATACAGAGGATGAATGGCTCAAGCACTGTCTTGGGGGGAGGCCACATCTCAACACCAATTACCTGATTTGCAGAGATTTGATTGGGAAGCCAGGGTTCTTCCATGATATCGCGTACCCCTTAGAAGATCTTATCCGGCATTGTATCAACCCTCAAAAAGTCTTCCTTCCAGTTGCTCGCAATGATGAAGACGTCCAACAGGCCCTACATGATCTCGTAACCGCGCTTGAGGGCTACATTACCTATACGAAACCTGATAATGTCAAGCCCCTGAACTTGCCAATCTCGCCAATCTCAAGCAAGTCAAGCATTTTAGAGCCTCGTGATTCGAGGCAGTCCTTACTGCCAGTCGGGAATCATTTCTGTACTGCACCGCTGCCAGCAAAGAGAACAGCGGAGTGGCCTCAGGGCCAAACGATGGCACAGACGTTAGTCACTGTTCAAACTCGTATCTCTGGCGCGCCAGATGCTGACATGATATAGACATGGGGGCTCTTCAGGCTGGTTCGAGCGAATGAACAGCCTCAATTATATCCTTGGCCGCGCTCCTAACGAGTCTTATGAAAAGGTTCGCATTGCAGTCCTTGATACGGGCGTTGAACCACGCAATGCCGTGGCAGATTATCTTGCCGGGTATAAGGACTTTGTCTGTAAGGGCGACAAGAAGCAAGATGAGAGCGGGCATGGAACGACTACTCTTGAATTGATTTTCAACATGTGCGGACCTGCTGATGTGTACGCTCTGAGAGTCTTCAAAGCAGATGAGGCGGACAAGGGGACTCGAAAACTTACGATTGAGGTAAGTCGAACTAAGTTTGCAGCCCAAAGGGATATTGTCTTGGTACTTACACCGTTATCCCGCAGGCCATTAAATGGTGCATAGACAACAATATTGATGTCATTTGCATGGCTTGTGGTTTCTATGGTTTTGACCAAGCCCTATACGACGTGATCAAAGAAGCGTCTCGCAAGCTACTTATTTTCGCTGCTCCCACGAATGTGGGCAACGCGGGTGAAATCACATATCCCGCCAAGCATCACCAAGACGTATTCTGCATGCTATCCACAACGGCCGACGTCAGATTGTCCCAGCTCAATCCGACACCCTCCTCACTACGTGGTAGCTTTGCGATAATTGGCGAAAATATTAGGACGCCTGACGGCGGAGAGAACTCCGGCACGTCACTTTCGACGGCCATTGCCGCTGGACTTGCTGGGCGGCTGCTCGACTTCGCAAGACACCACGCCTGTCAAGGGGCAATTGGCGATTTGATGCCTCGCATGCAACTCAAAGATGGTATGAGCAAGATATTTGAAGCAATGTCGATACGTGATGGGATATTTCTATGTCTGAAGCCCTGGCAACTCCTGCCAAAGACGATGAGAGACCAGGTTCCTTTCAAAAATGTGGATTTTTCCAGTGAAGAAATCAGGAAAGCGAGAAGCGAGATCTGTCGGGACATCTGCAAATGTCTGGAAGAACTGTAAGACAAGGTATCTGTCATGATATCAGTTCCTCATATATACACGCCCAAATATGAGAATAATGGTCAAAGTCCGTCTATTGTGACAAAGAACTGCTGTTCGGTGCCATTCCAAATCTCAAACATTTGTGCATCCTGGAGGCCTTCTTGGGCTAGAACAGATACGATATCCACATCGTCTGGCCGAGGCGCCATTACTGAACCCAATTTTCCTCGCGGTTTCACAGTCTTGACGGAGAGGTCGGAATCGAAGATTCCTGTGGACACTTCGCTCAGTCGATATGCCCAGACAAAGTCTGTCTTGAATTGGCCGGTAATTGTGGCTTCTCTTTCGTCTTTAACTTTGGTCGTCACCTCTAATGTCGCTGAGGTTGGTACATCACTGTTGAGGAGGAAAAATTGTCAGTAGAGCTCGGAAATCCTCGTCGATAACCAGATATGTGACTCACAGACCAGGGCCAGCTCCCTGTTGCGCTTTCGCAGTTGAATGTCTCTCACGCGTTGCGCCACGAGCAACCATCAATCCGCTAATCATATAAATTTTCCAGGCACCCAGTGTCTTGTTCTTGTCTATCCATGCTTTCAGCTCAGATGACTGCCGACACTGTTCAAGATAATGTATCGTCGGTTGTACAATGTATGTTTCCATATGGTCGACGGTCCACTCGCTGCCCATGATGCGTGTGAATGCCACACCTGCTTCAGCCTTGATGCTCATGCCAATAGCAGATGCAATAGGCACACTAGCATTGCCAGACAGTTCGAGGCCTTTTTCAGTCCTATTGGAGAAGCAAAAGTCTGCGATTTCAGTACGAAGTATACGCATGTCGCGTGGGAATGGAAATACACCGCCTGTGTTGATCACATTGTCAATCTTCTTGGGTCCCGGGATGAAGTGACCCAATCGTACAGGGCCCTCAGCCTCACCGAAAGCCATGCTCTCATGCTTGTACTCGGGGGCAGGGTAGTGCGTCTGGCGCAGTACAAACCAGCACTTCTCCATTCCGGATTGTGACTAGAGGTTCTTATTCTGGATTTGGCTCAGAGTATGTCGAAATTAAAGTTTTGCCCTGATTTTTGGTCTGATGGCAGCTTATTCATTCTTGCATTCCATATGTGTTTATACAGCGATAGGACATGCAGGGTGGGGCTTACCCCGCCCGCCTGCCATATTACGGCTCAGGGCTGATCACACGTGAGATATTCGTTTCTTTTTGCGCCTTGTTTCCTTTCTACTGTTCTACTTCTCCTGAAGGGCCCAGCCCGGAATCATCAGAAGATTCTTGACATTATTTGTCCATGAAAGCACTCACGAGAAAGAGCGATCGACCTTCACCATGTCTCACTCAAAGGAAGGCGAGCTCGGGCCCCACTATAACGACAGCGGCTATACGCAGAATAACCACATTGCTCCGGCAGTCCATCAACAGTTGCTGACGCCAGATTCTCCTCTTATACTGAGCAATCATGCCTCTCCCAACAACACCTCGCTCACCCCGGCTGACTCTACGACCAGCTTGTACCTCGTGCCGAGCGAGTTTGGTGAATATGACTGGAGCAACGACGACCCATTCTTTGGTGCCAACTTTGACATCGATCGTGATCGTGGGACACCATCTTTCCTGGAAGAGCAGTCCCCTTTCAATTCGGGATCTCAGACAAGCTGGAAAGCGCCGCCCACAAGCGATCCTTCTTATGGGCAGCCTGATGCTCCTTCACCACAGGGACAAAGTGCTCAACAGGTCGAGCTAGATGCCGAGACAGATCCGCAGTCTTCCAATCCCGACAAGGCTGACTCCAATGACATTCGTCATAGAACCGAGGCATGCAAACATTTATTTGAAAGTTGCCAGACACTATGTAACGATGAGCGGGTTGATAGACTGTGCGCCAAATTCCACTGGTGGTCATTAGGTATCGGGGCATCGAAACACGGCCATTCCTCATTAGACTATCGTGTTCGAACCCGAGAGGATATTCGAGACAGAATTGTGGATTTGCTCGACATGCTCGCTATCTCGCTACAAAGCTGCATTAGTATCAGTAAGTCGACACAACATGTGCCCCAGGTGATCTTTTTGTCCATATTTCTTTTCTTCCAGTTTCCTCCTATTTTGACTCTCTCGTCCATTGAGCACAAACCAGACTGACATCGGCCACAACAGCAGCAGCCAGCGGAAAGGAGCAGATAACAATTACTGCCGGCTCTGATACTGAGCCCGATCATGGCCACTCTCGCCTTGAAGAGACCATGGACTACATCCGCTCTAATATAGATTATCTTCTAAGACTCTCTGCTGCGATTCGAAAGTCGGGGACAAAGTTCAGACACAAACATGTCGATGAGCTTCTGGGTGATGGGAAAGTTGATCTCAGAGAATTTGGAGACTATCTTAGAAACCTAATTCTTTTCGTCCCAACCCAGTTTGCCGTCGGAAATGGTAAGACTCCATGCCTTAGACTGATATACTTACGTGTCGAACTGGTCTAATAGAACTCATATAAAGCACACCAGGCGTATCTTGAATATCCGCGGCGTTTAGGCCCGATACAGGAGCGACTCATACAAGCGAATCTCGTGCGAAGAAACCGATTTGATCACTATTACAAGATGTCCCTTAAGGAAGATGCCATGTCACTGATAGCCGGAGATAGTAGGGATCAAGGCTCAAGTCCACCGCGAAAAGTGCAAAAGTCTATCGGGGCCTTCTCGGTTGATCGATCTGCCATATCCTCCCGGACAGCCACTGAAATCGGTACCTTTGTAATGCCAGAGAAACCACGCAGCCATCAAACGAAGTCAAGCAGCTCTCGAGTCTCTCGGAGTGTGCTCAAGCAAGACTATCCAAGGTGTCCAGTTACGGGAAAAGACTTTTGGTGTCCATTTTGTGCGCAGCCACTCGACAGTTCTTACTCCGATCCAAAGAAAAACATGAAATGGCGGTACGATCTCAAACTCAATCCTGATATATCATGTCTAACGACTATTAGTGGTCATGTCTCGGAAGATCTGAGCCCTTACACCTGTATATATCCAGACTGTGACCAGGCAGATGCCATGTACGTCACCACAGATGAATGGAGAAAACATCTCAAAAGTTGCCACAGTATGTCGCGTTGGATATGCGACATTTGCTGGCTTGAATCCAGTAGCCCTGGCGACTTCGAGTTCGACGAGGAGGGAAAATGGCGTGAACACAGCTTATCATGTCATTCTGGGGAGATTTCCGTTCAGGATCTCGATGATATCGCCGAAGAAAGCAAACGGGCGGTGGTACCTTCTATCGCATGCCCACTGTGTTACGACAGCACAGTTCTTCTTCAGCCAGATGCCGATAAACATATCGCCAATCATCTACATTCCTTTGCCTTACAGGCTTTGCCTTGGACTGCCACTGTCCCTGATGATGAAACGAGAGCTTCCGATGGATCGAACACCGGAAGGCCCTTGTATTTTGAGGGTAAAGATGATCTTGCAGAGATAGACTGGAGTGCACCATATATTCTTCAAGACCTTGCGCCTCTCCTAGATGAGTCTATTTCTCGTTGTCAACACCTATCTCGATCTATAGATTTCGAAAAGTTGCGTGATACTTTGAATAGTGTACTCGAAACACTTCACAACTTGAAACAATCCCTCTCATCCTTGAGTATTGCACAAGTTGGTGAAGCAGCTGATCCCATGATCAGATTGAATACGATTTTGTCAAGGCATGATGACAACGAGTTTATTACTTCCGATATGCCAACACTTGAAATTCTCGGGGTCGACCTCGAAGAAGCACATGGTTCCTTGCAGGTAATAGTAACGAAATCGTCCATGAAAGCAGCTATTGAGACGGACGCCACTGAGACTACACCCCCTGGCAAATAGCGAGAACCAGACTTGCAGTCCACTCAGTACAATATAGGATGGAGCCAAAACACGGATACGGCTTCATACTCGGACGAATCAGCCGCAGTCATATTCAACGATGCCAGACTTGAAGTTCCTTATCCTTCAGATTCGGGCTACATATCCAGCAGGGCATACAATTCAACAAATTCAGGCTCTGATCTTCCAGGGCCATCCTCCGGGTCAAGGTATGTTTTCTCTTTCAAAGTCTGGCTGTAGTAGATGAGACCCTGATATTTTCCAGGCCGGGTTTTCAGCAGCTTTTAGAACATTCCAATCGGAGATCGTTTCGCTGTAACTCATGCGAAAGGACGTTCCGGACTCGTATGGATCTCGAACGTCACAAGCCTACACATGATCAATGGCTCGAGGGTCAAAGGGTTGAAGAACTATACCACTGTCGTTGCGGTGTACAAGGCCATCGTAAAGATAACTACAAACGCCATCAAAGATCTTGCGTCCCGAAGAACTTTATACGCGACACGTTCATTTGTAAATGTTCTTTCGAGACTAGTGAACAAACCGAACATCTGCTCCATATCGAAGTATGTCGACACGGCACAAATCCTCGAGGGCGGCCTCCCCGTTCCAGGGCGGCAAGCGAGCTACTTGACGACTAGATTATATTGGCTAGGGATGGGAAATCTCGTTGATACAATTCTTCTCTTGAATACATTTTTCCCGGTATCGATGATACTGACAGCCATTCAAGTCTGCTATGTAGAGAAAAGATCATTGGATAACACTTGGAAAGGACCATAATCTGTTTCTCTTCGTTTCCGTCCGAGACCCAGAGACTCGTCTTCGGCTCGTTCTCTTGATCAAGGATATTGGAAATTGTATCTGAGCTCAATATACAGTTTCATCAAATTTAATCGCGCGAGTTGAGGTTGAGTACGGTGTCCCGATAATGCAAGCAATACCCACACATGCATAAAAGAGGGAGTATAAATCTAACGTCATGTCATGTCGCCTGAGTTCACGGAAAGCTGACCGTATAGCTGTTGTTATGGAGGTTGTCCAAGTTCGATGCCAATACCACAGGCATGACTTAGTTGTCTTTCTATGTTCTTGTCCCCCATCCTAATCTTTATGAAGCCTACAATCCTTGCATATGGTATATATATGGTCTGTACCACGTCGGCTTCGTCGGAGAGGAGAAGAAAAAGAAGGTTTCGGCAGTTGGATATGTATGGACGGGGGTCTGTGTTCGAATTGTGAGGACCGAGCGCCCGACCTAGCCATTGGGTACATTCAACGAAGGCGCAGCTACAGACTGTGAGTCACTCTGATACCATTGAACGAGTTCTGTGAAATGACGACCATGATGGGCAAGCGACATGTACTTTAATCGGGGAATCCGGGGATCGGCGAGATTGTATTATTTTCGACGAGGAGCTCGGTAATGGGCGGCGGTCGACCAAGGCATCGGGTAGAATGTTCGAGAATGTGTCGACTACTGGGAACAAACAAACAAAGGGATGGGAGGGGGAGGCCTACCATCTCCAACATAACTGGCTCTCCCCCTCCCTTGCTTTTTTCGGACAATTGTGAAGGCATGTCCATCTTTTTATACAACTTTACCCGGGACCTTTTGTAGGTTTTTACTAAAGAGCGGAGACGGTCCCTTTAGGCAGCCATGGGCTCGGTTGCCTACCAAGAACCGTTGAAAAGATGGGAGGCATGAACTACTTTCTCCTCCCGCTTACATAGCAACAGGCCCGTGATATAATTGGGCAGTCGACGCGGGTATATCACATCATTTCTCTGGGGGGGCGCGGTCCATGTCAAAATATTGCATGCGACTGGCTGCTTTCTTGAGTTTGAAATTTCTTGATTTTTCATTGCAGTTCCAAGCTGTTCAAGTGGATGTTCAGATTTCGTCCCAAGTATAATGCTTCAAGCATAAAAGAATTTTTATGCAGGCACTGCCCCCTTTGGAACTTGTCCCTTACTCCGGCTAGAATCGACGAATCCCGAATCACACACACACACTCTTACGGAATGAAAATGCTGCCTTTGCAGGAAATGTGCCTACATCACATGCTCTCCCGGTGGACATTTCGGAAAGGCCGTCCAAAGAGAAGACTTCATTGTGGCATCAGGTGTGCACCTATACACGCAGTGTTGAGGGGTTAATGTGTATCCGTACATGGATGGGCATGTCCGTAAGGTCTTTTCTTCACGTCAGTCGGGCGACAAAGAATGCAGGTAAGTTCCATTTATAGCATGGTCGACGGTCCAAGATAAGGCTGAAAAAGGCGGGGAGGGGGCCCAACCTCACACAATATATATTAAAACCCTCTTCAGCTCCTGGAATCATCTCTTCTTTTTCAAGTTTTTAATGGACTGAATAGGAGGCATGGTGTTGGCAGCATGTGTTTGTTGCAATACAAGGGCATGTACCACTCGGACCAGCCACAACACCAGACTAGCATCGGCTTAAACGGGGATTGGCTGTACGACATCTCGCCACGACGAGGCGCAGCTCGCACACGAAGCAAACCTTTTAAACACGCACTCCCTTTCAATTCGCCTTCGGAGGCAAAGTGTGTCGCAATAGATACGAATGCCCATTTCCACTCAATCATCTCTGTTGCTTTCATGGAATGACACGAGTCAGCTCGGTTAGGCGACCAACGAGGACCAGCACAGACACGTGGCGGCGGGCTCGGGCTATTAAGGGCGCATGTCACCGACCAAAACAAAGAACAAACGTTTCAAAGAGCAAATGAAAAATTCCGTGAGAGGAGACTGTTTCTATTCCTCATCTCATCTGAAGTCATCATGTCAGCCCATTGACCCTTCTTCTGGATACAATCTTGGGGTCCCCGGAAATCTGTTCAATCCTCATGATAAAATCCTAACCCTCCCTTGCAGAACGCCCAACAAGTCGGAAAGGCAAGAATAAACGAGTCAGTTGCTTTGAGCGCCTCCACCCAAAAATCTGCTTCCACCTTTCCCATCATTCCATACTCATAATACCGGCCCAGACCATTGTCTGATTGTGGCCGAGCCGTTTCCCTCATGCTCTGCTGGATCAATATGCGAGAGCGTGCAGGCCATATACGCCAACCCTTCGCTTTGAGCTGCAGAGTGTGATGGAAACCGCATTCCGGCATTCCAAGAGAACCAAAGCATCCATAGATGATCATTGTGGTTATCATGAGAAGAACGAAACAGCATCGCTAGGTACAGACCTCCTAGAGTGTGTCACACCTCGAGCTTGCATCCATGTTCCGGATATGCAGTCTGCATCAATCCGCCCCAACACCCACCATTGGTACCTGCCCGTGGCCGAGAAAACACATCGCTTGAGAATCCTAGGCCTGCCTACTCTCTTTGGGTATCATCATGCGTCGTCGCTAAAAACTCATGTAACAAAAAAGAGACAGGAGAAAAATCAGTGCGTCAAATCAAAACATATCCCCAACGAAAAAGAAGAAAAGAAAAAAAAAGAAAAGGGGGAAGAAATGGAAAAGGAAAAGAGGAAAAAATGACAGAGAAACCGATATAGCAGAAAACATTCCCGAAAAGACAACAAGAAAACATCATCTCTAACCACATCGGCATCAAGAAACAACCATGACCCGAAGCTCCGAGAATGCACTACTCATGCACGCATGCGTTTGCCCTCCCTGACGAGGGCCAACACATACCGCTCTGTCTGGATGATCAGTTGTAGATCAAGCACCTAGCCTTGTCAAAAACCCGAGGATGTCCTTTATCTGGTACCATCGTTTCAATGCTTGGGATGGTGTCTGCGCGATCCGTCTTCTCGACGTCCTTTGCGCTCCCGGTCTCTACGTGGCCTCCCTTCTCTGGAACTTGCGATTACCACGTCTTGGCGCTGTTCGTATTGCTGTTCGTACTGCTGTTGGCGCCCAGGGGGCATCCAATCGTGATCATAAATGTCCGATACACGAGCTCCAGGACCTTCTCTCCACGATCGAGCCTCATCAAAGACTGTCTGGTTGACTAAACCAAGTCTCTTGAGGTGTGCGAGAAAGGCGTAGTCGGGCCTTATTTGGGCAATGCCGTATCCGTCATAAAGGATGTGGTTGCGAATATGACGGAGACGCTCGCAAAAGTTGGTCGTTACGTCCAGGTGATTTTCAACGACATCAAAGACGTGGTCATCACAGTACCAGCAAGCACATCTGCTCGGTAGCCGGTACCCGAGATGATCAATCATGATGTGGTTGATCCACTGGTCAGTATCGTCAAGTTGATACCTATTGTCACATCCATCGTACCCAATGAACTCGCAGGGCAGAATATTATCTCCCTCGCCCAATGGATCGGGACCCAACGAAGGAGCGGTCGACACGCTGTAATCGGATGTGGGGGATAGAGAGGCAGAGTATAGAGAGGAGTCGTCGTATGCACTGCTCTGGCCGGTCGATGACGAGGTGGCAGTGGATGCCCGGCGAGGGTGTGCTTGTGCTGCTTTGTACTGTCCGGTCATCGTCACGACGGGGGCACGAGAGCGGGTGTGCTGGGTCGGCGGGGGTGGACTGAAGGACGATCCGTTCGGTACCAGATGACGATCCCGAGAAGAAGCTCGGTGCTGATGATGGGCTTTGAGGAACTGGTTTATACCGACGTCGTCGATTGTTGCCGAGTTTGATGATGATTGCTGCAGACGATACATCGTTGAGGGGCGGGCACCTGCTGAGGGCCACGGCCTCTCGTCACAGTAGGATGGGGGTTTGCCCGGATCGGAAATCAGACTGATCAGCGCCCAATACGATGGGTAATAGGCGGCCGACAATCTGACCAACAACGGAAGATGATCAAGCAAAGGAAGCCAATGTTGGGAAATACGCAGACAACAGAGCAACAGATGAGGCCTGGGGATGATGTTCTGGGTCGTCTTTCCAAAAGCTGTCGACTTTGGGCAAGCAGCTTGTGACTTAGGGGACGCTGGTGGGGTAAGAAGGGAGGTAGGTACAGGCGAGCGGCAGGGGTTCTCAAGTTGGGGTTCAGAATTAATCGAGGCACAGCTAACGGATTGATGGAGAAGACGACCGAGTACTACCAAAGGAAAATCCGAATGCACAATGAGACTTGATAAAGGATTCAAGCTATTATATCGCAGACGGGGCACACGGCAAATCAATCAATCGACCCGGTAAATTGATCCGTCTACAACTCGGACGACGGCGGGAAGCCTGGAGGAATATATACACTAATTTCGACCCGCAGGAAATAGTCCAGCGGTTCGTTTAGTATCGCTTGGTTTCGGATACGCGTGGGTTTCGCAGCGTTGCGTGAATGGAGAGCGCGTAATGTATGCATGGGGATAACATGCCATACGCTGCAGTTGCACACGTATTCCATGGGGAATGATGCTGCTGCTACCTTACTTACCTTACCTTGGCCCTCTATACCGCCCATCATATCTAATCTATCCGAGCTGCATCCTTACCGGTAAGTAAGGTAGGTAAGCGGCAGGAGAACACTTTTTGCATTCACCCTATGTACACACTAATAGCGGACCGCTACAACATTGCAGCCAACCCAACGAACCTCGGTCTGAACTACTTTGTGTAGCTCCCGTCAGTAGTGCGAGCTTACTTTTTTGCTTGATGGTTCACAAGAAGATGCTGTTGTTGTTGTTGTCGTCGTCGTCGTCATCATCATCAACAAGTCCCATCATTTGTATAAACGACTGCGATGATCAAGGAGAAATGACGCCGATGATCGACAGACGGTCACAGGGATACCTGAAACTTGACGGTTTCCTCGGCGCTGCCCGGCCGGAAACCCGTCAGCAAAAAAAGACCCCCCGGTTCAGCGCGAAAGCGACTGGGCTTGATCAGCGCAGTATACCATTTTCTGCTAACAAGCTCAATTTGTGACATGGTTCAGCCCTACAGGTGACGCTACAGTTTGTGGAGCAGATTGCAACGTCTCACGTTTGTCCAAACACGGCCAACGTTGCACGATAATATGCTTAATTCCCTTAGCATACACTCGAGCCTTGACTTGCCAGAAGACTGGCTTTCTTTCAGACGGTCAGCGAAATTCGATCTTGTGTGGAAAGCTCAGAGAATCAGCAACCCCGCTAGCTTCCGGCTACGGCCGATGACTATTCCCTGGATGCAAGGTGCAGTATAGGCAATCGACGGTGCACATGGATACAATCGACAACTTGGGCTGCAGCGATCAATGCACTTACTCAACCTTGTATAATGCATACAGCGTTACACCATTTTTGGCCACCCAATCAATCACGATGTTACGAATGTTTCGAGCTGAACGGATCTTCAACCCCAGTATTCCAGATGCTTGGCTTGACTCATTTCGGGTCGTCATCGGCACTCGCGTTGTGGAATGTACATCAAGTTAACTCGCCATTCACATCCTCCTCCTGCTGCTCTTCTCTAGGCGGTAATACTCGATTGAGATAAGTGTTTTTCGTATCCTCGTTGTTCTGAATATGGGTGCATCCAAGTCTACGGTGCTGCTCGGTAAGCAGAGCTATTCGGGGCAAACGTCCGTATCCGCACTTGGAACAGCACAATACTATATCTGCTTCTATCAAGTGCATAAGTAGCATACAGAATTCAGAGAATACAATGACCAAATAACCAAGACATTCCCGCAGTTCCCGACACCGCGAGCCGTGTTTGTCTTGCACATATCTTCTTCAGTAATTAGTCGGAGTTGCCTAAAATCTGACAGGCCTAAGAAGGGACCAACATGCTGCTGCAGGCAAGGTACTGCCCAAATGGGTTGGGCTGTATGCGCTGGCCATCCGACATCCACTCTGTATAATTGGGCATTTGATGCGAGAAGAGGGGTTCAGTCGGAAGAATTCGATCCGCAGAGCCTCAATTCACATGGCAAGCGCCGACATCTTCACTGCTTTCCTGCTTTGCTTTTTCCAAACCCCGAGGATTCCGTGATGGCTGTTCCGGTTGGGCACTCTCTTCTAGGATTTCTCGCCACGTTGCGGAGCACGTCAACACGCACATGCTTGGGGAGAGCCAAGGGAGCGTTTCAGTGCCAGCTGTCAAATCAGCAGGTAGCTGTGGTGCGCAATGAAGCCCACCGCGGTACGACACACAAGATGGCGAGTGCTCACCTCGCCTGCTTGGGGAATGCTTGTTCAGCGGCATAAAATGTTAAGTCCACCGCTCTTCCGTCACATCTGGAAGCTGATTGGGTATACATGTTATTCGGGTCTACAAAGCACTCTGGCTTTGGACACTACATTGCGGAAATGGGCGTGAGAACCATGCTCGTCTCCGGACTTTGTGACGCTGGGGAACGTGACGCAGCATATCTCCCGGTCAATGAGGCTCTCTTCATCCTCGCCTCCAATATCTTCCATTTCGGAAGGGTCAAACAATGTCTTTTGATGTGGTAGAATTTGCGGCATTGTCACTTTGAACGCAGCTTTCTGTACTGCCAGCCTTCTTGATAATTCAACAGAAGTTTGAACGAGACTGCGTAACGCTTGGTCGCGTGCTTCTGTTGTTTCGACATCCGTGATCGGTACCAAGATCCGGTTTACCCTCGATATGACATCCTCAACAACAACAGTTGTCTCTGCTTGTAACTTTTGGGCAGCTTCCTTCCGAACCATGGTCAGAGTTACGGCACGCCATTGATTGGACGACTCCTCGCCACCTATTTATACATTGTAAGCTGCAGACCGAGGTTGATCTTTCAATCTGGTTTACTCACTCAGAGATGCAAGACATTCCTCTGTTTGCTTTAAATTTCTCGCCTGATCTTTTGACAATCCGACAAAATAAGCACCAAATATCATCTCAACTAATATCGTAGAGATGATGGATTGCAGTAGCGGAAGTTTGGCAGTTTTAGATAAGTCTGCGTACATGGGAACGAGTTGAGCAAGTTCATCTTGGACAGACTCGCTCGCTTTTGATGCGACTGAGTAGGAGTCAGTACTCTTAGCAGTTGACTTGACCATCACTGCCCCGGAATCGGCTGGACGCTATTGATTCTGATCAAGAAAAATGCACTTACCAATCTTTGCCCGTCTGAAATGTTGAATTGCCCACTCCTGCAGACCGTTTCCTAACCTTGCCATGTCTCCAGCAAAGAGGTCATCGCTTTCCTGCTCCTCGGTGCGCGTGCTTGTGCTCAGCCACTTCTTGAGGCCCATCAGATCGGTCCTCAATCTCCGGATCTCGTCGTCGCGGGCATTGATCTCGCGCTTGAGTATCTCCCAGCCCTCCTTGAGCTCCTCGCGCTCGCCCTCGCGGACGTCAATCTCGGCGCGCAGCAAACGGAGCTCCGTATCGGTGCGCAGAAACTGCTGGTTCAGCGCCGAATGCTTGGCCTGCCAAAAGGCGGCCGTCTCGCTCTCGTTTTGGGACAGGCGCTCGACCTGGCGGGCAAATTCGGCCTCGATCTCGACCAGGCCGCGCTTGAGCTCGGCAATCTTCTCGTCCTTTTCCCGCAGCAGCGCAGCCGTTGAGCCGGAGCCCGAGCCCGAGCTCGACGAGTAGTCCTTGTCTTTGATGCTGCCCTCGCGCTGCTCTTTTATGCTCCCTTCGCGTTGCTCCCGGATGCTGCTCGCGTCGTCATTGTCCGCAGCCGACGAAGTGGAGGCAGACGAGCTGCCGAGCTGGGCCCGCGGAGGTGGCGCGATGATGCTGCTGCTTCGCGACGAGGCGGCAGAGCGGATCGTGTTGTGAGAGCTGTTGGCGGCGGCTGCGGCAGCACCCCGCCGCTTGTCGGAGCTGGTCATTTTCGAGGAGGAGGAAGGAGGAGAGGGCATAAAAGGGAACTTTTTATCAAGTCAATTGGGGCTTCTACATGATCCAAAAAGGAATCCTTTTTGTTCTACTGCACAATGTCCGTTTTTGTGAGCATACGGCCACGGTGACAAGACGATTCGCATCTGCCTGAACAGGCTGATGTGTTTACGTTGCGATACAATCAAGACGAAAGTGAGAGTTGAACTATGTTGCCCGCCTAGCTAGATGGCAGCTAAGCACCAAGTGATTGGATACAAGCGAGAGTCCTAGGCTGCCAATTGAACCCCTCAGTACAAAATACATTACGGAAGGGTCCTTGAGATAGGTCAAGTAAGCAGCTGCCTCCCTGCTCCGTCCCGTCTTTTAGGGTAACCGCACAATACCTTAACGAACCCCCAAGTGCAGCCCCTGTCAATTTGCATGTTAGTGGCCTTTTAGCGACTTCTCTGAATGCCTTGACTCTGGACGCATTTCGCTAGGGCTGAAACTCCAGGGGTTGCTTAATTAGGCCTCTCAAGTCCAATTTGATATTACAGCTCTTATTCGTTTTTAAAAGGCTCAGGCTTCAAGAGAGTCTACTGGGCTCGCGCCCTTTGACACACTCTAATAACCAAGGATTCTCTGATATCTAACCTATAGGATACATATATAGTCGGGCTATATATCCCTTGATATATACGTATACATATATAAAACCACTTGCACTCTGTACATTGTTCAATGCCATGCCGTCACTTCATCGATGGATGTTCACGTTGTTCCATCAACATCTATTTCAGCCTCAACCTCATAGGCCTGGTCCTGTCCGTCTTCTGTCTCCTTGGCCCCCATGCGGCAAATTGCAATCTTTTCAATGGGCACATTCTCCATCCAAACGTTGTCCTCATACCGATCTAAAATGCCCCGAGCATCGATTGTGATCTTTTCTCGCTTCTTGCCACCGCCCTGATGGCGGCGGCCTTTGATGTAAATGGTGTTTACTATCGTTGCGTGTAGCAAGAGCGGCCTCTTGTCGCTCATCATGAACCCAGCCTCTTCGAATGCCGCCTTGAGCTTTTCACAGAACCTCTGTAGGGCGCCGTCTGCGTCCACCGGTGACGAGTAGAGCGTCGAGGCCTTGGAGGCCGACTGCATCGAATGCAACCCCTTCAGTGTCACCGAGAGCAGAGGCTGGGCAGGAGAATCTTTTTGACCTCCGACTACCTTTCCCTGGCCCTTGATAGCAGCAGCAGCAGCAGCAGCATTACTCATTGTAGCGGCTCGAGCCTCGGAGAGCATCTTTGCGGGAGTCAGTGTCTGGAGCAGCTCAACGGCCTTGTCGACACCCTCATTCCGGGGAAAGCTCATAACGCCCAGCGTCAAATGAAGGGTGCCGACGGGTCTGATGGCCCCAGCGGGCACAGCAAAGCTGTCCGGACTCGTGACATCGGCGCTAAACGATGCCAGACTGGCCGCCAGTTGGTGCCGCGAGGTCGCGGTAACGAGCGGGATGCACAGGAAATGGGTCGGAAATGGTTTTGGCGGCATGGTGATTTTTTTTTTTTTTTTCATTTGAGGTTATTGGCAAGAATTAGGGCCGCAGAAAGGGCGGTTCTCCCTTGAGAAACAACCTGGTAATACTTTTATGGCAAAGTGACTATCGCTACGGTCAGTCAAGCTCGATATTCCTTTCTGAGATCAGATCATCAACCTGGGCCCACGGGGAAAGGCCGGTGAGTTTTCATCTATTTACCTGACCTCCAGGGTCTTGGAGTATATTCTCCCTCTTTTGCTATTGTGATCAAGTCCCTTTTTAGTGTGCGGTACGATCTGTCATGAGATCAAGCGTCGTGCTTTCAGTCAATTGAATCCTGCCCTTCTGGGACTGTTGTCTCCAGGATTTACATCTGCATCCCCTTACACAATGGTGAATTTGGCATGTCCCCTAAAGGTCGGTGCGATGCGAGATGCTCAGCCACAAACCCGTTTCTCATAAATGTAGCCTAAGAAAAAGAGAAGGAAAAAAAGATACCCAACCCCCCGCACTGAGCGGGCTGTATGTGGCTTGGGTTGAACGGTGACTGGGTTCTGTAAATCCGAATAGGTAATTTTTATCGTATCATGTATTTACGTAGTGCTTGGCAAAGGCGCAGCCCAAGTTAGGGAAAGAAATGCAACCCCTCACTTCATTTTTAGGCTCTTCAAGCATGGGATCCATAATCAGGGATCCGCAGTACCCAAACGGTATTGACAAAAAGTGCATATGTGCATCTCACGCATCTTTTGAATTTGTCGATACATCATGGCCATTTTTAAACATGCGCAATGCAAGTCCAATGCAAGCATGCGTTTTCAGGTCTTCTCTCTATCTCGGCTCCTGTTGCTGAAGGATACAGGAAATTCTGCGCTTATTCTATGCTCCAACGGCTTATTACGTCATTGTCGCATCTGCAGATATGACGTAGAAGGGATCGAAGTATCTGCCGGCAAGCGATGTCGTCACGCACAAATCTAGTCGTCCATGTATGTATGTATGTGCCTTCAATCAGACGATCGATGCGACAAGGTGAAGAATTCGTGTAATGTCAAGATACATGCATGTGGAGATCCAAGTAGGTAGACCATAAGCGTAGAGTTGCGAGACAGAATAAAAGTCATAAAACAGCCTTGGCTGTGAACTTGCATTTAATGCCTTCTCCATAGCATGGCTGCTGCTGTCTGATACTACAAAACCGGACCAGAAGACCCTCCTCTTGCAATATTCCTGTCTGAATCCTCATGATACAAAACCCTCCCCTCGAATGCTCGAAAGACCGTCGAAAGGCTGTAGCAAACAAGCTATTATCCAGACCATCACGTCCGATCCAATACACGTGAGCTGGAGGTCATGGTGGTGAAGTCCAGCACCAAGTCTGTCTCTGGCAAATGTCACTTGACCAGCAGACCGGCCCTCTCTATTGACCTCGGGAATGCCATCTGCGAGGGCTTGTCCCGTAGACTAAAGCCCCAACTTCGTCGCCATGCGCAGCTAGTGGCTGGCATCCAATTTTTTCTCTTGGCCTATGCGCATCACGACGAAGTTGTTGAGGGAGGTGAATTCTTGAAGAAGTTGTTCAAGACTGTCTCAGCTTCTTCATACTCCTCCTTCACCACCTTTAAGGTCTTTGTGATCTTCTCCAGGCAGACCTTTTCATCATCCAAGGGCGATCCATCCTCTTTCTCCTTCTTTCCATAACGTTGGATCTTCTCACAACTGTCCTTGATCTTGGTAAGGCCCAAAGTTGCTGAAGATCCCTTGAGAAAGTGTCCTAGTTTGGAAAGTTCTTCCAAGTTCTCTTCCTCCCTAGTACAAAAGACAAAAAGGGTCAGCGCAATCCCAGAAAAGAGAGGTGGATGATGAACGACTGCACACGAGTCGCAGCGCTCGGGACAGCTGGCGCATAGGGATCGGTGTTGCCAAGGTCGGGCGACTCACAAGGCCGTGTCCATCTTCTCAAAGGTCTCCTGAGCTTGCTCGAAGAAGCCTTCAACGATGGAAGTGCTGAACTCGCGGGTGGGATCATCCTCGTCCATTTCCAAAATCTGTGCAAAGGTCACCGCATCGATGGCGTCTCCGAGATCAGGGAGACTGGCATCTCCTCCGTCGTACTGTCAGGGCAAAGAATTGCGGTTAGCGGCAGTGCCAATAGCCGGCCTACAAGAAGCATAATGTTTCTTGGCCAGCTTGTTTTTTTGTTTTGTTTTCTTCTCGACTTACGCTGTCACTGCCCATTTTGCTATATTTTATTCTTGCCTGCTACGCAAGCACGATTTTAAATCTTTTGAGAGGACGCAACAAGGCTGGGCGCTATGACAAGTGTCAGAGGGGGGAAATTTTAAAAAAAGAGGCGGTAATGGACGCCGGTGTGCTTGGAGATGGACCCTAGAATTCAGAATGGAGCGGGAATGGGGGGGCTTTGATGGGTCGGGTCTAGGAGAGGGGTTGCCAGACGTTACTTGATTGTCAGAATCAAGCAGGCGTCGAAGCCGTGTGCGTAGTGAAGAGGGCAACGCGCGTGGAGGACCAGCACCAGCTTTGCGGGCAAAGAGCCTGAAGGGCTTTGGCCTGGCCTGGGGGAGTGAGTGGGGTGTGAGCGAATAGAGTCAGAGTGAGCGAGCCGTAGGCCACGCGGATGCGACAGTGTTGCGGCTGGCTTCTGGTTGGGCACTCAGACAGGCCGACGGCTGAGAGGTGCAGCGCCGTTCTTCCGCCCGTTCTGTCGGTTTCGAGCAGACAGACAACAAGGTTGTCTTGCACAAGTGGCTCAAGGGAGAGGAGGGGATATGTGTGCGCGCGTTCGTGCGGTGAGAGCACAACCAACGACGACAGCAGCAGCACGATTGGATGAGGTAAGACGAGGTCAGGTAACGATGAATGATGGGGAGTGTGGTGGCTTGTTTGTATCAGGTGAATGGTCCCAGGTGGTAAGTTTTGAAATGGTCGGTGGGCAAAGTGTTACTCACTACCTGTCAAAGAGAAGATGCGCTCCAGTCGTTTTGCAGGGCAAGGGGCCTTCAAGGTGGTGCTTTCAGTTGTTTCCGAGGCTCTCACGAGTCGCGGGCCTGAAGGAGGAGCTGGAGCCAAGTGGACGGGGATGATGAATCGAATGCACAAGCTTGTCGCCTGTCCTTCAACTCGATACTACTAGTCGCGAGACGAAGGACCCCCAAGTGGCACCCTGGCTGAAGGAATGGGCAGGCGAGAAAAAGACCCTTACTGGTCAGTAGGTAGGCAAGTTAGGTGATGATGGATGAGATTGATGGTGTGGGTTTTTTTGCGTTGCGCCCGGAGTCTTGGGAACTGATTGCGCGCCTATGACGGGCCCTGGAAGCACATGGGAGTCAAACTCAAAAAAAAGAAGAATCGCAGCCCCGCGTCGAGAAGCGAAAAAAAAAAAAGACAAGCGCCCGGCTGACGAAACTAGTAGTAGGTCTAGTTCACAAAATACACGAACCTCTTTTATTCTAATTTTCTCTTCTCCGTCCTCAACTTTTCTGTTTATCCCTTTCAAGCACAACAATGAGGCACGGTTCAAGACAAGAATTTGACGAAGAAATGGAACCCAGCCTTCGATCAATGGGGCTCGGGCTCGGGGGACTTGGGTGGCCCTGGACTGACTTTTGACAGAGGCGAGAGAAGGAGTGAGAGTGAGAGCAGTACACGCTAATAGCTGTACTGCGGGGTGGCCCCTCGACCTAGGAGACATGTTGAGCCGGATCGACTTTTTGGTGCCTTTCGTTACCAAAAGAATCAACCATCAAATCAGCCAGCCAGCCAGCCTGTGACTCCCTCGTTGCTCTGAGATACCATGAGAGCCCAGTTACTGCACCCCAGTATCATCAGGGTCGATCCGCCGAGGTTGTACACCGTGAGCAACTCTCCTGTCCCAGACTGTCTCGCCGGCAGAAACTCTCCTTATACACCCGCCTATTTTCCACGTCCGCCCCAACCAAGGACGCGGTGTCGACTTACACGGGATCAGCTCCATCCTGGCACACGTCAAGCGGCTGTAAACCGTTGTTGGTCTTGGTGGGATGTAGTGTTACTTGAACACCCATACCGGCTCTTCAGGTTCCATTTGTCTTCTGTTTCTCTTTCCCATGATACCTGCTCGGTCTTTTGCTCACTCTACGCCAACATTTTGGGTCTGCTTCTACAGTTTTTTTCCAACCTCTAGCCTTGCTCGTATGATCGATCGTCTCTCCAGGCTCCGGGGATTCGCAATCATGGCACGCAACGCCAAGTGGGAATTTTGGGATGCGGTGCCATCGCCTTGCTCACAGAATATCTATATAACATCCTGCACGGCTCAGTGATCGGCACCCGATGTCCTCCCTCTTTCCCGATTCTGCGCATAGAATCCTGTACGCCGCTGGTCCAGACCGACCCAAAATCACCACTGAGCATCTCTTGGTTACATCACATTGTTCTCCATTCTCCTGTCGAGGCAAGACAGCCGTGGATTATGATGAATAATGGCAATGTCAGTGCCATCCTGCCGACCACGCAGCGAGTCATGAATCATTCTTGACTTGGCTGCCTGCGGCCGTGTCTTGGGAATTTGATATTTGACAAGTTGACAACTAACACTTTAGAGCAAACGGCTTTAATTTTTAGCAGCTTCTCAAGCGTCAGATGGGCAATGCTCAATTCCAGTTGAGAGGTTTTCTCTTTAGCGCCGGATCCATCACAAAACGTCCAACAATTTTATTGCGGGCTCCTTGCAGGGAATGAAGGCGAAGCTGAATTTCTTGTCATCCGCCTGCCTGCCTAGATTTCTCGACAAGGAACCGCAGCGTAAGCATATACCAAACTTTGTTGTATCTGTGCAAGCCGAGTGTACTGGGATTGCCCGAGGATCAAAGAGCTCTTTGTTGTACAATGTATCACGGTATTGCGCAAGCCCTTTCTTTCAATTGTTATTACGATGGCCTCCGAACCGCGGTCCACCCCACGTGGATACTCACAAGAAGCTACGCTACATGTGCATAGCTCCCGACTGTGGTGGATAGGTAAACAGCGAATACTTGAACATGTCCTGGTTAGCCAGATCACGCGGGCGTCTCTTAGTTACTAGTTCCGTTCATGGCGACAAAAACCAACGCCAGACTTCTTCTCGAAGCCTGTCAAGTCAACGAACAATGCCGCGGCCAGAGGCGAGGAGGACGGTTCAATCTCGAATCTGCAGGTGGGGTATATACCCAATTTGTAGGCACGCCGACGTCATAACGCCCCGGAAATATTCGTCATAAGGTAACACCAACAGCAGCACGTCTCAATTCATCCTACCATAGTACACGCATGAACAGGGGGCCCAGTTACCCTGACCAACAGTCAGATATTGTCTACAGTGCAAAATCGCACAGTACACTACAGATTAATGATAGCTCCACATTGATAGGTCACAATCAAATGGCCGATTGCATCGCGGCTATGAATATTCCAGTCATATCATCAACTGCTCTCCCTTTCGACGCCGAGCTTTCGTGATGAATAAGTCCTGTAATCATTGTGCACATTTTTTGTATTCCAGCATCACTTCTTCCTAGGCAGCTAGTAGGACGCCAATTGCCAAAATATACTGGAACTTCTCAGCAATACTCCACTCCACGGCGATTCCCGACGGCCATGGCATTGGGCTTCCGAGCAGTTATATCACGGTTCCATGTTGTATGTGCCCAATCATAAGTCTGTACAATATAGGTCGCGCGAGGACACGAATGGCGCACAGCCCATATAAAAGAATACGAGAATCACGCCACAAAATGCATAAATTGATGGCTGTCTAGTTGTCAAAATAAAGGGTTCGATGTACTTTGCGACAAATTCCCCCCTGACGACCACCTTTCAAGCACGATCCTCCAGATCATCAGGGCAACAAAAGACTGTCAGCCAGCAGCATGGTTCTTTGCATACCCTAGAAAACACCGACAGTTCTTGGACGACGACCGTCAGCTCGTCGGTAATAAGCCAAGCCGCGATAAATAGCCTTATTTCCGGACCGAACTCGCTCCCTTTTTGGTGCTTGCTCGTTCGGAAAAAAGAATTTGAGGACATATATCACAGCTATGCATTGCATAGATGCAAATCTGCAGCTCCAAAAACCTGTTTTCGTTCTTCCTGAACCAACAGATGCCCAGTACCAGCATAACTCCACCTTGCTTCGCAGCTTGTATTGGCCTGTCGTATGTTTGATGTGTATAACATGACTTATGACAGTGGGCAAAAAAAGAAATACCGAGTGTATCATTCGCCGACTCCCAAGCCCGAGTTGCATTGTTGGCAGCACGCGTATGTAGCCAGCACAGAAAGCCTGCGTTTCCTACCGGCAATGCCACGTGCCGACTGCCCATTGCGATCCAGGCAATCCAATGACCATACAAAGATCAATCAGCACGGTCATATTCTTCCTGCTGATACGCCGCCTTTATCCCAATCCATGACTGATACACATACAATTTGCATATATTCTTCTATTCTGCGGAGGAGGAAAACAACGGAACAAATTTTTGTCCCCGTGAATGTTTTGAATCAAATCGTCGCAACAATGCTTTCAATTTGCGCTCATCATAGATCATAGGAGCACCTTTGAGGCAACGCTTAACAACCAAGCAGCATCGTTCCAACCACCTTCATCAGCCTTTGGAGGAGGTATTCGAGGTTCTGCGCCAGCCGCGACACCACCAAGCTGCCTGCTGCTTGACGTTCGAGAAATGAAAATCTCTCCCTCTTCTCCATCAGAATCTTCGCCTTCACCATTGTCAGACTCTTCTTGTTCCTCTACTGAGAAAAGAGACCAGCCAATCAAATTGCCCATCCAACCCGTGCCGGTGCTTTCACGCTTGACCAGCCTCCTGACGGTTGCCTCATCCGCCTGTGATGTATCTACTTCGATAGCTTCGAGTTTCTCGTCCAAGCCTACAAAGTCCGGGCCTTGAGTATATTCGTCGGAAATGAAAATCTCCTGGTTAAAGTAGCTTTCGTCTAATTGATCTCTGAGCGGCGACCGCGCAGTATTTCTGCTCCCTTTTCTGCTGTGCGAGCGGCTGCCCAGACGACTGCTGGGTTGTGTAGTAATTTCATCAATGGCCAGACTACCGCGACGGCTCTCACGTCGACTGGCCAGTTCTCTCTCTCGGGCCAGCTCCCGCGCATAGGCCTCTTCGTCGGCGTCCCGTAGTCCCGCGAGGCTGGTGGAGCTCTGGCGGGTGGCCAGCCAAGCCTGGCCCTTGGACTCGCGCATTTCCGTGCTGATCAGGGCCCCCGTCCGCAACATCCAGTCGCTGTCGTTGCGGTCCTCTATCGACAGTGATGTAGCTTCCTCTTTCCTCCGCCGCGATGTCGGAGTCAAGGCGCCCGTGCCTGAGCCTCTGTGATGATGCTGCTGTCCATGTCCTCCCGTGAAGCCCGCCAGATGCGAAGCCGATTTGCTCTTGCTCAGCACTTCGGGCTTGGGACCGTGCACCGAGGAACGGCGGCTACGGGAGCGTGCATCGATGGGAGAGCGAGACAACAACCTGGGCGTAGTGGGAGCAGATTTGCCCTGAAGGTAGGAGACATTGTACTCCAGTGGTGACGCAACGAACTCGGGCAGGGCGTCGGGATCTGTAAGGGGTAGCTTCGAGGTGAGGGGGGCCAAAGTCAAGTGGTTGAGATTGGTTGAGGAGCGGTTCTGTCTCCGAGCTTGGCTGGAATGCTGCTTATAGGCGACGTCCATGATGAAGTATTGTTTTTTTTCAGGCTGGGAATCTATTCCCAGACTATTAAAGTTGACAGTCGGTTTGAACTTCAATTGATGAAGAGATAAATTTGAATGCTGTTAGTAGTCAAAATAAATGGGACTTGTATTGAATTCCAAGACAAAGAAGAAGAAAACGATGGGGTCAAGCTCGAACGAGGTCGACAGATCTGGGGCAAGACGCCAATTTGATGGGGTGATGGGGAATTTTAGTGGCTGCAGATCGGTGACAGGGATAAAGGGAGAGGAGCTCTGGTCTGGGGCCGGGGAAGCTGAAAAGCTAAGGCCCTTTTCGGGCCCCTCGATGAGCTTCTGCCCAATGAGCATGGCGCCAACCACGTTGCTAAACTTTTTCGTGCTTCCGTCCTCCGCCGATGGAGGCCCTGGACTTTGCCTTGCCCAGGGTACATACCTAGGCCCGAAGAAAAAAACCACCTCGGACTGTGTGGGTACACCCCGTCATCGGCAATTCTCACAGTGCCAGGCCGCGCATCTCGCACCCGCAAAATTCTATCAGGCTTTTGCAGCCGCCAAGGCCAGTCAAGTGCTGTTTGTGCGGTATACTATCTGGGTATCACATGGTGGCCGCCACCAGAATAAATAGATAGATACACTCAAGATCACCAAGGATGCGCAACTTGAGGAGTATTCACTATGATGCCTGGCGGCCCCCGACCGACCAAGTCGGCGCCGAGCCTCCCACGGCCTGCTGTTGGGACCCGGCCAAAGACGAGGTCCTGGCCGCCTTTGGCCCCTCTGAGAAGGATGGCTACATCCGGCTGGTCAGGCTCTCGGAGCATGTGACTAGCGCAAAGCAAGAACACTCCAAGATGTAAGTTTCACAATACTCTTGCTGTCAGCTGGGGATTCTAGACCTTTTCAATCACGCGAGTGCATTTGCTCACACGACTATACTCTAGCGAACACAATCAGATCGCATCATGGGAGGCCCTCAGTCCAAACCCAGACCTCGAAGTGGACCGCATCGTGAGTCTACATCACTTTAGTGACACTCTGTCGTCTGTCTTGGTCCTAGAAGGAGGCGACATCGTGCTCGTCAAGGAGTACGATAATCCTGAAGATGGCGTCCATATTGAAATTATGGGCTCCATCGATGAGGGCATCACGGCCGCCAGCTGGTCTCCGGACGAAGAACTTCTGGCCATATCGACCAAGGCACAGACCGTGGTCTTCATGAGCAGGAGCTTTGAAGGCATTACGGATGCTACCATGACTGCGGAAGACCTCAAGTTGTCCAAGCAGGTATCCGTCGGCTGGGGTAAGAAGGAGACTCAGTTTCAGGGCAGAGGCGCCAAGGCGCTCAGAGATCCTACCATTCCCGAGAAGGTCGATGAGGGAGTCCTCAGCTCACAGGACGATGGGCGCGTCACAATCAGCTGGCGTGGTGACGGCGCATATGTGTCCATCAACACCACTGAACCCGGTAGCAGACGAGTTATCCGCGTTTATTCGAGGGACGGTGTCCTTGACAGCGTCAGCGAGGCTGTGGATGGCATGGAAGGAGCTCTAAGCTGGCGTCCATCGGGCAATTTGATCGCAGGTGTTCAGAGGAAGGGCAATGGAATCGACGTCATCTTCTTTGAGAGAAATGGACTCAGGCACGGCGAATTCCCGCTGCGGGCACTGGAGGGAAGAGATCTCTCAGTTGACCAAATTGGCCTCTCCTGGAACTCTGACTCTACTGTGCTTGCCATTACATTTGACGACCGGATACAGTTCTGGACCACTGGCAACTACCATTGGTACCTCAAGCAGGAAATCATTACGGGGAGCAAGTCGAAAGGCTTCGAATGGCACCCGGAAAAGCCGCTGCGTTTTACTCTTGCATTGACAGGTAAGCAATCATATATCGACTCTCTTCTTCATTCTTCGCCTACATTGTTTGTCTGTTCCTAGCATGGGTTGAATTAACCGTATTATAGACAAAATAATACTGGGCGAATATGTCTTTACCATATCTAGGGGGTCTCTTGCGCCACCATATGATCATGGAGCCGTTGCAGTCATTGATGGTAGAAACTTGAAAATCACCGCATTCAAAACGGCAAATGTACCACCCCCAATGGCCTTGTTTGAATTGGAAGCAAAGACCGCCATTGTTGATGTCAGCTTCTCTCCCGATCACACTTACATGTCTGTTCTTCACCAGTCTGGTGTGGATTTATACCAGTGGCAATTAAAGGGCCAAAGATCGTTGCGCCCGGATCTCAAGGCCTCTGTAATCTTCGATGCGCCGTTGTACGACATGACAGCACTGGTCAGCGCCGTAGATGTCAATGGAAGCGTCACAGTTCTAGGACATGGCCTCCATCCGGAACTACAACATTTTGCGTTTGACGCCTCATCCGGACTATTCGCCGCCTTGAATCGGACAAAGGCAGACTCCATCATAGGATTCTCGAGCTATCATGAGAATGAGCAAGAGTCGGGGCTCATTTTCCAAGACTACCGGCGCCGCTTTCACATGCTCCATACCGACGGAACTCATTCTGAATTCCTGCTCAGCCCTACAACGCCCCATCTCTCGGTCCAACTCCCCTGGTTCACACCCGTTCGAACTGAATCCACCCTGGGAAAAATTGCAGTGTACGGGTTGTCGAGAAACGGGCATCTATATGCCAACAACCGATTGCTGGTGAAGAACTGCACTTCGTATCTCGTTACACCCGACCATGTGATTTTCACAACGACCAATCATCTTCTAAAGTTCATCCACCGAACCGATGACATTGACGGTGAGCAATATGTTCTCCCTATGAGTACTAGGCCTGCTAACATAAACTCAGGCTTGGAAGTTCCCGCCGACGATCCTGAAAAGGATGAGAGATGCCGCAGTATGGAGCGTGGTGCCAGGCTAATAACAGCCATGCCTAGTAATATGAGTCTAGTCTTGCAGATGCCGAGAGGTAATCTAGAGACGATTTACCCCAGGGCTATGGTTGTTGCTGGAATCCGCCAATTGATTGATGAGAAGAACTATGGCCGAGCTTTCACCTACGCCAGAACTCAACGGGTCGATATGAACATTCTCTACGACCATCAACCACAGCAATTCCTCGAAAACGTGTCCCTTTTCCTAGAGCAATTGGATGATATCACATATGTCGACCTTTTCCTCTCTGCTCTCCGGGAAGAGGATGTTACACAAACCATGTACGTCAACACGAAGCCTACCAAGGGGCAAGAGAACTCGCTGCAGAATGGTATCGAGATGACTTCTACCACAACTCCGTCAACGTCATCCAAAGTCAACACCGTTTGCGATGCCGTTCTAGAAAGCTTGAGGGCTTGCAAGGCTATTGACAATGGTACACTGCAAAACATTATAACAGCAAATGTGTGCAAGAACCCGCCAGCCCTGGAGGACGGGTTGTTGGTGGTTGCTAAACTGATGCAAGAAGATGAGCAGCTGTCCGAGAAGGCAGTTGAGCACATTTGCTTCTTGGCTGATGTCAACACACTATACGATGAGGCCCTTGGTTTATACGATCTGGATTTGGCACTGCTCGTGGCACAACAAGGACAAAGAGACCCCCGAGAGTACCTCCCCTTTATGCAAGATCTGCACCAGCTCCCTGATCTTCGCCGAAAGTTTGCCATTGACAACCACCTGGCGCGGTATTCCAAGGCACTGGTACACTTGCAGTCCCTCAACGCCCACGAAGAAGCACATGAGTATACTGTCAAGCACTCGCTCTACGCTGACGCACTGAAGCTTTATCGATATGATGCTTCCAACCTGGCCATCATCACCCGTCTCTACGCCAAGTTTCTCGAGTCTCGCTCCCGCTTTCGTGAGGCCGGCCTCACATACGAGTCTCTGCAGGACTATGCTGCTGCGACGCGCTCTTACCGCGCGGCTGGCGTCTCGTGTTGGCGTGAGGCGTTGTTCACGGCTTCACTGCAGCAACCTGCACTCTCCACAGAGGCACAAGCAGACCTGGCCACGGCGCTCGCCGATGCGCTGTATGAAGCCAAGGATTACGCAGGTGCTGCCACCATTCAGCTCGAGCATCTCGCAAGCATCGAGACGGCCATTCGGTTCCTCTGCAAGGGCTATCAATTCGCCGAGGCTCTGCGCCTGACGGCTCTGCACGGCCGCCAGGATCTCTTGGAGTCCACCGTCGATCCCGGCCTCGCCGATGCTCTGGGATCCTCGACCGAGTTCCTGGCCGACTGCAAGGCTCAGCTCCGCGCCCAGGTTCCCCGCATCCTGGAGCTCCGACGCAAGGCGGCCGAGGACCCCCTGGCCTTTTACGAGGGCGAGCGAGCCGGAGGTGCCGACATCCCCGACGACGTCTCGGTCGCGGCCAGCTCGCGCGTCAGCACGTCGGCGTCCCTGTTCACGAGGTACACGGGCAAGGCCGGGTCCGTGGGCACGGTCGGCACGGGCGTGTCGAGGGCCACGAGCAAGAACCGCAAGAGGGAGGAGAAGAAGCGGGCCCGCGGCCGCAAGGGCACCGTCTACGAGGAGGAGTACCTGGTCAACTCGGTGCGGCGGCTGGTGGAGCGCGTCGAGGCGACCAAGGCCGAGATCGAGCGCCTCGTGTTTGGCCTGGTCCGCCGCGGCATGTTTGAGCGCGCCCGCACCGTCGAGGCCCTCATGCTCGAGGTCCTCGAGGGCTGCAAAAAGGCTGTCGGCGAGGTCTTTCCGCAGGCGGCCCAGCAGCAGCAGGACAAGCAGGCGGGGGCCGAGGAGGCAGGCGATGCCGAGGGTGTTGTTCCTGGCGAGGAGTGGAGACCCATGGGTGCCGATGCCGTACTGGCTGGCAATCTCGAGCAGAAGTGGAGGACGCAGCCGCCGCCAGCGGTGACCGCCATGGAGAGATTGAGTCTACTAGGTAGTTGAGAAGGTTTTTGATAATAGACGAATTAAAAGAGCAAAATATGATTGAAATTCTTTGGTCAAAATTCATGCGTGACACCGTCTACAAGCAAACGGTATAAATGAACATGAATCGAGGAACAGCCACGATGAAACTCTTGAGTCTATGTTGCTGAACGATCCGATACGTATACTCGGACTTAATCCGGAGTCTACCAGTTAACCATTGCCAAGTCTCGCGAGTATCAGTCTTCTCGTAGGGCTGAGATATTTGGCTACTATGTCTCGAGCGAGACCCTTCAAAAGACATCTGGAACAAGTCCCCCGTGTCTCATTCAATTTGACACATTTTGGAGCAAGACAGATCTCGGGCTGTACTGGTGAGGATTGAAGTATGCTTTCTCATTATACAAGGTACCAGATTGGTCGTTTTGTCTCGTTTTAGGCGGGATCTCCGTCTTATTTACAAATATGGTACAATTCATGCCCACCACATCTCTACAGCCGGTTTACGATTTTCTTCTCATGATTCCTCCCCCTTCACCTCGTCATCAACTTTTACGACGAAGGTGGTTGTGTAGGGGCTTCGGCACTTGACTCGGGCGGTATTGACGATGCCGAGGGAGCAGTAGCAGCAATATCGCTAACACCGGCTGCGTTGAGCGTCCTCTCCCGGTTCTTGGCAATAACCCTGCCAATCTGCTCGAGCATCTCGGCCGTCAACCTCGGCTTGCCCTTCTTCTTCTTGCTGTCGCGCGTGGCGCGGTGGAGCTCCTGCAGCGGCGTGCGCATCGAGTCCATGAGGTAGACGCGGTCCTTTTCGGCCTGCTCGGCCGCCTCGCGGGCCGCAATGTACTCGGGCTCGTGCCGGGTACGGAAGCGCGAGTACTTGTTGCGCAGCTCGTCGAGCACAACCTCGGGCATGGGCGGACGCAGCAGCGTGGGCACAAAGGTGCGCTCCTCGACGTCGATACGCAGCGTGTCGATCTTGTGGTCCACGGCCTCCTTCTCCTGCCGCTCCGGCCACGGGATCGTCACGTTGAGGCCGGGCACGACGCGATCCCACTGCGACATACCCGTCACCTTGTCGAGCATGAAGTTAGAGTGTCGCAGCTGGTTGATGATGACGTCTTTTGTCTCATTGGTTTTTGGATCGCGGATCGGGTGAACTAGCCGGACGGCCGAGATGGGGATTGGGAGCTCGATGTTGATGGCTGGGGGCTTTCCCTCGCCCAGTAGGGCTATTGGCATCCGCACATTTGACTATCATTTTGTTGTCAGTCTCCTGGACCATGTAGCTAGCTAGTACCGAAACACCAAGGAGATGGAATTGGTTCGCCTACCTTGTTGAGACCCTCAACTATGACCTCCATCTTTTCCTTTTGCAAATTTGTGATCTTGCCAATCTGGCCCTTATCCGGTCCCTCGAGCAGCACGACCCGATCGCCCTCGACGAGGTTCAAGTTCTTGGCGCCGCCCAGCCAGGCGCACCGGGCCTCCTTCTGGTAGTCCTTCAAGTTCATGGACGTCTGGTACCGGGCCTCGGAGATGGCGCCGTGGACGCCGCTGCGCTCGCCAATGTTGACATTGGGGGCATTGGCGCCGAGGTTCCAGTCGTCCTTGATCGCCTGCTTGGCCCGGCCATAATCCTCAGCTAGTTGTGCCCTTTGGTATTTGACCTCGTCCCGCTCCGAGAAGCGCTCCTTGTTCCAAGCCTGTCGGTCCCGCCCGGCCTTGCGCTTGGCCACGACGCGCTCGGCCGTGGCCACACGCTTGAGAATCTTTTGCATGTTTCTTGTTCTTCTCTTGTCCCAGGGAAGAAGCCGCCTCTTGCTCCGGTCTCTGTATTGTGGGGTGTCCCGAGGGGGGTGAAGGCAGACGGGCCAAAGGCGATATCGAAAATGCTCGTCGGCTGCAATGCCCGTACGTTGCACCTGGGGCCAAAATTTTGGGAAGCTTGAAGCTAGATGCGCAGGGGCCCGGAACCTGACCTGATTAGGCGCTCTATCGGATAATCTTGCTACCGCCATTGGTTGTTTGCAGTATTTGGTCCCACTATTTTCTGGTTGCTCCAATGGGGGAGATTCAATGCTATTGAGTACTGAGCAGCATTGATTGAATTCATTGGCATTATTGCATACATTAAACACCAAGTATGGTATTTGAATCTATCATACAAATATGAAATCAATCGCACGGCTAATTGACTACATTTTCAAGATTTGTTGTTGGAAAATTTTAGAGACCTCCATTCATGTGACTTTTGCCCTGCAGTTATGCTGAATTCCCTGTATTCCGAAAGTACAGGTTGGAAGAGTGCGAAATGTTTGTGACACTTCAGTACCTGCTCATGGCTAATCAATAAGATCTTCTGACGCAAGGCAGAGAGCAGTACCAAGACTCAGGTCGTCGGATAATTGAATTATATCGGCTAGGGTTGACAGGTGGAATGATTTAGAATGTAATCATATTCACTTGCAGACATGTTGAATATTTGACTTATTGTAGATAGAAGGCACGGTTCCGTCTAGTAGCTGGCAAGCGAATTCATGTCTGAAATCTGAGATCTGAAAACGCCGCTCGTAGTTCATTGAGCACTGCTCAGTCTCTTTGTTCTTGAGGCATTCCAGGAAGTTCCCAGTCCGTAGAAGCAGTTGAGACTTGACGATCATTTCAAGGACCCCCCGTTAGCTAATGTAGATGGTCGTCATTTAAAGGTCGGGGGTGCTAGCTTGATTATAGATCGGTTTCAGAGGCTTGGCTTCCGCCCGTTTGAAGCCCTTTAGTAGGTGTAATACGCCGACTAAAGAGCGAAACCGAGGCAAAGAGACATCGAATGGGGGAAGAAAATGAAATGGTTCCCTCCTTCGCTCGTCAAGAAACCACGCGTCAATTCAACGTCAAAGAATGAATAGGGCTGCAGAAACTGTCACTGGTTGACGACCGTCATACCGTCCATCTACACTAGATACGTTGACAAGTGGCTCAAGCGCCTAGCTCAGCCTCCACAACCGGACCTGATGTTATTAGACGTGGGGCCGTCGTAAATACAGTAGGAGCAGACCATGGTCAAGAAAGAGCCAAGAGACAAGACGTGCGAGCAATGAGAAATGACGGGTGACCCGACGTTGTGTGTTTTTTCAACTCCTCTCCAACACTCTGGTCAAGCCAGTACTCCAGCACTAGAACAGCTGTGCCACCATCGCGTAGCTGGCTTGGCTGGAGAATGCCGCGATCAGCGTGAGGCTCGTGTAGCCGACCCTGGGCAATCGGGGCTCGGCGAGAGACTCAGCAGCAGCTCCCGGGCAGTGCTCAAGGTGCTTGCTGTGCTGTGCTGAGAGGGAGGATCGATTCTTCTGCACCCTCCACCCCCCCTTCCCCAACATTGATGCACTTGTACCCATCTACATAGTAGTTAATAGTTCATATCTTTTATGTCAGCGCGCCTCCAAGGTTGAAGCCTCAGGTGACTTTGACGAACCAACCAAAGAGGAGGGTCCTTCTCTGCTCTTTGTTTGTGCCGTAAATAAGGTGTTTCTGATCCACCTAGAGACATGTCATATATGTAGGTACATATCCAACTATCTCCGGATGGGTGATTATGACCGGCTGATTTCCGTTACAGGTGGATCAGATATGCAGCGAGGGTCTTGGTGGTTGTCTTCTAGTCGTAGATGCCAGAAGACGCGTCCGGGAAGAATGGAGAAGAGATCCGCCAAACGGCCTCGGATGCGGGTATCGATTGGGTGTGTGTAGGCAGACATGTCTATGCTCCTATGCAACGGCCAGATAGGTGGTAGTATTGGCATATATGATGGGGTCAAGCTTGCTTGCACTTGCATGTGTATCACACACGTAGGTGACAACGCGGGATGCTCCGTATGCATCACCGAAAGAAAGCTGTAAGCATAATGAAGCATACATGGCACGAGTGTGAAAAGGTATAAATGTACTCTGTAGCCAGCAACCACAAAGAAAGTTGTACATGACAGAGTGCGACCAGGGATGAGAAGATCATACCGTACGTGGTAGTTTAAGTCAGGCACTCGGCAACACAGGCCAGGAGGCCAGACCTGTGGGCGGCTTTGGCAAAGAAAGCTTGACTTGCGTGGAGGCCGCCCCCTTTGTCTCGGACCAGAGACAGGAAAACCGGCAACTTTTGAGATGTGCTTTGTTCCGAAAAATAAAAATCCCAACGGTAGTAAAGGGTCAGGAAATGTCAATTTAGATTCATTAGTGGATGAAACCACCCGTAAGACGCGTGTCTTGCAGTGGATCATTGGCAGTACCAAGGGATTGGCAACGCCTATGTTTGTCAATGGTTGGTGACAACGGGACAAGGCACTGTGTTCAGTTGAGTAGGAGTGCCAGTAGGTGACAGGGCAGGACAGGATAGGGCAATTCAGACGCGGGCAGTGCCAGCAGGTAGCTGCTGCTGCTGCTGCTCCTTGCGAAGGGGGAAATGACTGTTTTGGGCGGCCTGTTTACGGCCTCGGGCAATTGAATGACGGGGTGTCTTTACTGATCGCCAACTGGTGGTAGGACGTTAGTTGATGCGTGCGTACCTAATTATGGTAGCTGGGTACTAGTTCTGGGAACCACGTTTGTAGGACTGGCGTTGTGACTGATCAGGACCATGAGACCGATTGTCACATTTTATGGGCCGCTAGACTAGCTATCATGTATGGGCTGTTCTGATAAAGAGAAAGAAGGATGTATGACAGACAAGAAATTGGTCAAGAGTGATAGGAATAGTAAAGTGACTACATTGCTTAGAAGTTTGACGCAACAATTGTGCTATTTCAGGGCCAGACAGACAACATGGAAAACAAGGTCGGTTCGTTTGTTGATATGATGAATCCAGTAAGTGTAGGTAATTCGTAGTTCAAGATAGGTTAGACGAATTAGAGGTACCTACGACCAGACCTAACTACTTGGTTGAGGCATGTACCTCGCCAACCAGATGCAGTAAACGGGGAACTTTTCAAGGCAGTCAATCAATCAATAGGACGCTCGTTTGTGTTGGTCGGCGTCCTGTTTTCAGTTTAGTCGTCGTCCCCCATGACAACAAAAACAACAACAGCGCCGTCTGTTTTTCGGGTTTGTACACCTCTGACGCAAGATAAGTGTTCATATGCGATTAAGAAGAAGAAGAAAAAAGAACACACCAAATGATGCAAGGAAATAGAGAGAAAGTGAACCCTCCCCCGGGAAAAGAATAGGGAAACTATGCCAGCCTCAATCCTGGGGCAATGCAAGCCAGCAGGCTCATTCGAAAATACCGTGTAGGTCAACAATGTTGGTACATTCAAACTTTGGTAGTGTAGGGGGCAGTAGGACGCTACATTTTGAGTGCGTTGGCCTATTACGGGTGCTGTGTCTCTGCTCGTAACCTGGCTGTCCTGGTAGATTCCTGGCCAACTAATTTTTTTTTTAAGAGCTGCGAGTGCCTGACCAAAGACCCTCCCTCCCAGTCTTGTCAGTTCCCAGTCCGTTTTTCCCCCCAAATCTGATTTGATCCCTCCCACCCAAACGACGACTTGAACCCCCCCGGTCCAACCTAAGGTAGCCAACCCAGTCCCAAGTCCCCATTCAATTCCCAGTCCATCCACGCTGCCTGCAGCCAGCCCAGCCCAAAAAGCACTGACCTACCTGCTCTGCTTCCTTGCCTGGCCTGACCCGACATTTGCTCCTCTCCTTGTCGTCAATTGCAGCATCGCCCTGGAACCTTTCTTCTCTTCACACTTTCTCCCATCTTTCTCCCCATCTCAACGACAACAACCAAACCATCTCTACTTCTCTCGTTTCCATCAGCGACACAGAGGAGTCTTATTATCACTCGCGATCCCGACGGTACATACCTCTTTTACGAAGCCCCGTCGACTTGTTCTCTTTTTTGAATACTAATCTAATTGATTAGTATCTTGCAGCCTCGAGCTTCTGTTCCTTCTCTCCCCTTAATCGCACAACACATCCACAATGGCTGAGATCCGCCGAAAGTTGGTCATCGTCGGTGACGGTGCCTGCGGTAAAACTTGTTTGTTGATGTACGTCGTCTCGCGATCTCTTCTTGCAACGCAACGTTTATCCGTCTTCCCTCTCGACCGCTCTACTGACTCTCTCCAATAGTGTCTTCTCTAAGGGCACCTTCCCCGAGGTAAGATAACGAAGCTCAACCCTGAATGCCTGCCTGTCTGCCTGCCTGCCGCCTACGTCCTCCCGATCCTACCTGTTTATCTGGCCTGCCAAGCCCTCAACGCCCGCCTCATACTGCAACAGAGGCACAAACTCACCACGGCCATCAACTCTATCTGCTCTATTTACCGCGACGCCTTTCACAAAATCCACCATCGCCGCCGCCCCGTCTCACCGGCGACCCCCGTCATTTTGAAATTCAATTCCATTCTTTCGCGCGCCTTGCATAAGCACGCCAAATTAACAATACATCCTCACAGGTCTACGTCCCCACCGTCTTCGAGAACTACGTCGCCGACGTTGAGGTCGATGGCAAGCACGTCGAGCTAGCTCTTTGGGATACGGCTGGTCAAGAGGATTACGACCGTCTCCGACCTCTCTCATACCCCGACTCCCACGTCATTCTCATCTGCTTCGCCGTTGACTCGCCCGACTCGCTTGACAACGTTCAGGAGAAGGTCAGTTTACCGATAACGCCGAAGATGATAAGCCTCTTCATACTGACACGTGCCAAATATAGTGGATCTCCGAGGTTCTGCACTTCTGCCAGGGTCTCCCCATCATCTTGGTTGGTTGCAAGAAGGATCTGCGACACGACAACAAGACCATCGAGGAGCTTCGCAAGACCAGCCAGAAGCCCGTTTCTCCCGAGGAGGTAAGCCATGCACTCGCCATCTCGAGATCTATCCCCCGTCATTTGCGTCTAGTGCTAACCAGGTCTTTTCCAATCTGTGTGTAGGGTGAGGAGGTCCGCAAGAAGATTGGCGCCTACAAGTACCTTGAGTGCTCGGCCAAGACCAACGAGGGTGTCCGGGAGGTGTTTGAGCACGCTACGCGCGCTGCTCTTCTGTCCCGCAGCTCCAAGAAGGGCCACAAGGGCAAGTGCATGATCCTATAAACGGTCAACCATGCAATTTTCATACCACCCACATCGTCGGCGTACCCTTGTAATATATCGTCATCTTTCCCAGTTCACCATCGGGCTCTTGCGTGCTTCGATTCTCGGATGATAACGGTGTCTCTACGATGGCATGACGGTATCACCAATGGGGAGCTGGGGCGTTGTGCATCATTGGTCAAGGCCGGAGTTTGATTCGTCTACCGGATATCTGCTTGCTGCCGGCGTGCTGCTTTGGACAGAAGGATGTTCTCATTGTCACTGCTCCTCTTTTCTAATAACGTCGAGGGGGTGGTGGACCAGCCCGGATACTTGGTAAACACGGAGGGTCAGTATGTGGTGACTGCCCCTGGTCCTACAGCCACTGCTGCTACTACTACTTCTGCTATTACTATCACTGGAAAGGGGACGAAGCAAGGTAGAGAGTGGCGGTTGTTTTTTTTATTTTTTCCTGTCTCACAGGCGCTTAGCCGTCTGCAGTCGCAGGGAAAGGGGGGGTGGGTGTCATCTTTTGGTGGTGAATTGGGGTCCGTCTATTGTTTTGCAATCCGTATTTGTGTGTCAAGACTGGCGAGCCATGGCAAATCCTTGAGAATACGGCTATATCATAAATCTTTCTCCTTTTCCTGCTAATCATTCATGTTCTGAGTTTGATTTCAATGGTCTTGTTTGCCCTTCTTTTTCCTTTTATCTAGACTCACATGGTGTGGTGAACATTGTTATTGATTCACGGATGAAAATGACATGCTCCAGTTGTGTATTCTGATTGTTACCTCGTTTGCCATGTTTGCACTACATATCAGGTCTACACAGCGCAGTACGCGAATAGCAATTATTAGCAGCCTCTCCTACGTAATTGCGAATGCCTAGATTGATGTTCTGGGGTTGTGCCATGCAAGGAGGCGTAATAAGGACCAGTAAGTCCTTGCCTAGGTATAGCCCGTCATAATAATCTTCCGGTGGTCAGTCATGCTCGACACGACATCACACGAGCATATAGGCCACCACTTATACAATCTATACAACAGCACATGGTGGCACACGTCTTCAGAAAACAGGACTTGCTATAAGATTTCAAGGACTACTGAGAACGATTGTATTGGCAGACTAATGAGGCGATACAGGGAGATCAAGTCCTACAGAGACTTGCACATGAGTCATATCAAAGACGTGTAGTGGGTAGTCCTCAACAACCACATACCATCCGTCACCAGAATGAACACGCAAGAAGGGGACAGGGATGAATGAAAGACTTTGAGAAACGAGTGGTTTGTCCCCTATAGACGCAGGACCATTTCATCGATTTCCTGTTCCTTGCTGATACGCCGCCCACCATGCCAGAAGAAAATGCAAACCACACACCCTCTCCCTTTCCTGCTCTCAACGCCTTCTCACTCCCAATCACCAACGATCACACCAACTCAACAAGAAACTCCTCGCCAATGCTCGATATGCCTTTGAAATTTGCAACTCATTCGGGAAGCTCCGTAGGACTGGTGCTTCATTATTGAGACATGATTGACTGTCGTGTCTCTTACTGGGGGCAAGACTGTTGACGATGAATTCCTGATTAGCATGTTGGACTTACTCAAGCAGACAAGGCCGTAGAGGATTTTTGAATAATGAATCAAGCATGATTAATCCCAAAGAAGAAGAAAATCATGACCAGGGAAACACAGCAATGCATGTCCTAGAGTCAAACTCATCCCCAAAGAAAGGCCCACCACGGCTTGACTGGGGGAAACATTGCGTGATGCTCCAAAGTAACTCTTCAAATGGGAAACAAAGGAGGTGGCTACTTACGGCACCGCAGGAGCTGCAGGACTTGGTGGAACCGCCTATAGGAGCACTCGGAGTTAGTGGACAGTGAAATCCGGAAGAAGGAAGAGGGGTTTGGTAGGACAGGCGCAAAAAGGAGCGCTCATGGAATATGAATCATGTTTTCGAGAGGAAAATGTGTCCTCGTTTGTCCAAAAAAAGACCAGATAGGTAAGGAAGTAAGAGACATACTGAAGCTGGCTCCGCACTTGGGGCAGGCGCTGTTGTGCATTTTGAAAGTTGGTTGTGGTTTCAAAAGTCGGGTGACCTAGCTATATCTACAGTCAGATAAACATGGTATCAACAGCACTTGTTCACTTCTCGATTCATCAAGTGGAGAAGAAGAAGAAGAAACGGAGCGAGGTATCGCGCAGAGGCCGACTCTGTAGAGTCTCTTTTCGGTTTTGAGCAACCCAGTGAATGGGCGTGAAATGAGACTCTCTCCAAAGAGAAAGGAAAGCTCATCATGCCCATGAAGCAAGGAACCTTTGATCCCCAAGCGAGATACGAGGATAGCACACAACCATGGAAACTTACAATTTGTTGATTATATTTGGATCTTTTGGACGCAACGTTGTGAACAGAGAAACAGAGATGCAAGTCTCAGCAGGGGTGGGAGAAAAAAAGAGGTGCGAAACCCCCCATCTTATTATATATACTTACAATGTGGCCCCCATAAGCGGGGTATAGCGAAACCACTATCATGTGTTTGAACAAATACAAGACACCACACGCACAGCACACAGAGACAGAGACAAACAAGACGAATGCGCATGCGGCGGTCATGGAAATCCACTTTTAAAAAAATACTTGGGTACACTTATCCCACTTGGAATACGACCTACTTAGGTACATGAACCAAGCCCACCCACATATCCATACTCTCTGTCTGACCATGTCACTTATGAGAGAGGACCAAAAGAAAATGGTCAAGACAATTGGTGGTAGATAGGTCTCAAGAAAAAAGGATCCCGCCGGCCGCCCCCCAATTCGAGCGAATGACGATGATTGGGGGGGAGGGGGATTGATTGCTGATAATGTACATACATTATAGCGCCCGCAAAGGGGTCAGCAGGTTCGTCTAGAGTCGAAACCCCCCCTCTGGTTGGAGTCGGGTGCTGACCAAAACAACATACTAATGCATCTTTACTGGCCCACGCCGCGCCCGAGTTCCAGGCAGAGACAGGAAGAAAAGGCGGAACCCCCCGCACCCTCTCAAAGAAGAGGAAGAGACAGAGACCCTTTTTCCTCACATGCTCGCTCACATGGGGAATCTGCGGATTTGGGGCCAACTGGGTGCTTGGTGAAATAAGGCAACCCGGGTATCTACGTAGCTGATTTGGTTTCCCACGGCATCATCCGGTCCAACCCATCAATTACGATACGCACATTTTGTACACTTGTACGGGGCGTCGGCTTGTCAGGCTGACTTTTAGGCCGTCGGGCGTCGTCACGGTTCCCAAGATAATCAATGGATAGGTTGATCAGCCAGGCAGAAAAGCCGAAAACGATATGCATGACAATGATCAACCTGGGCTCGGTTTCGGAAACCAGAGATTCTTGCCAAGTCTGAAGAACACCTTTGCCTACCTAGCTGTGTACATTCAGTGAGCTCAAGACGCCCGAAATATGCCAATACAGTAGAACTCCATTTGAATTTTTCGCCTTCTATGCTATGCTTGTATGGCCTTTTTGATCTGAAGCTGCCCCTTGCAGCTCATCAGAGGTAAGAACTCTATGCAAAAATGTAACATGGTTATAGTGATACAAAAAGTGCTACACTCGAGTACAGTACTTTACATGCACTTGACGGGATCTCCGCCGCCTGGGCCAGCAAAGTTAGCAACAATATACCATGTACAAAAGGCCAATGTGACCTGATGGAGCTAGAATCATGTCACTTACCAGTTATCATCTTGCCCACGGCTTGGAAAAGACTGATTGCCATGACCACGCATCCAAAAACTACCACCACCCACGCAACGTACGTCTTCCAGCTTCGACTGCTCAGCTTGATGTAGCAGAGCGGTGGTAGGATATACGCAAGAGCACAAGCACTCGTGGCGCCGACGAGCTCAAAGACGACACCCAGGTCGCAGGTAATAAGACTAATGGTCATGGCGCTGACCACGAGCGCGGAACTGAAAATAAGGTGCAGGTTCATGTTGAAGGGCTCGCCGGGGAACCAGTAGTTGAGCATGACCTCGCGGCACACGAAAGCCTCGAGGGGCAGCGTCGTCAACATGTTGAGACCAAAGCAGAGGCGGGCAATGTTGACCATGGAGTTGTCGGAAGCAAAGTTGTTGAGCACGTTGCCCTGCGTCTTGTCGCCAAAAGTGAGAAAGCCCACCAGTGCGACGAGCATACACGCTGCCATTGATACGCCAGCGCTGTAGTGCGTCACACGAGCAAAGCGGTCAATCGTAGGAGTCTTTAGGGATCCATAAATGAGAAGTGAGTTGTGGTGACAGACAAATGCTGTATAAAAGTCAGTTTTCTGTTCAATGGCAACTATTCATGTCTTCTTTGACAGGGGAGCTTTCAAGACGAACCAAATGATATGACACCAATGGCCTGGAATATGCCACCATTGACTGTCAAAAGAGGCGTGCTGAATGAACCTCTGTCCTCTGACGGCACGAGTGCTCCTTGCACGACGACTGTAACCAAGATGATCAACATGCTGATCAAGGCGAATGTGCTCGCTTTCGCCAACTACAACACCCTGTTAGCTCTCTGGAGTCATTTTTCATCGGACCAAGTCATCATCACCACTTACCTTTGCGATATCTCTATATAACGTTAGGGGATAGCTGACCCCCATGATAAAAACAGCTATGACAACCCTTCGATCCGCGAGCAGGCCCAGCACCGGCCAGGTACGGAGGCCAGGGAAGACGGCCTCGAGCACGTGGGGTATGCTGTCGCCCACGACGACACCGAAAGCCACCATGCCGCCAAAGGCAAAAGCCCACTGGGCAATGGAGATGGCAATGAGGCCGGAGCGGCCAAAGCAGTGCTCGACGGTGCCCTGGAAGCTGTTGGCGCCGCTCAGCTTGCTGTTGACGACAATCAGGCGAATGGTCCAGTCGACGACGATGGTCAGGCCGACGAGCAGCACGATGCCCGCGAGGAGTCCCGCGTTCCGGAAAGCGTACGGCTGCCCAATGATGCCCGCCCCAATGATGCTGTTGGCCATGTTCATAAAGGCCGAGCGCATGCCCGACTTGGGCCGCGACTGCTCGGCCGCGTGCCACGAGTGTACGTCGTCCTCGGTGCCCCAGCTATTGGCGACCGTCACCGAGGGCGCCTCAATGTCCGTCAGCAGCGGCAGCCGGGACGTGTCGCGCCCGCTAGCCGGGCTGTAGAAGCTCCCGCCATCATCGAGGGGGTCGTGCTCGCCCAGCTCCATGTCGTCGTCGCCGCGGCCGCCGTCTCCTTCCTCTTCGCTGCGTCGGCGCCCGCCGTGTCCATTGGCCGGGGGTGGTATGTTGGTCGGCGTCAGATCAAATCGTACTCGATTCGGCGTCCTTGGGGTCCGCGGCGTGCCGTTGCCATTGCTTTTCGCAAGCGCCGAATGCGGCTCGCCCGCCGCGTGCTGGACGAGCAGGTCGTCCTGTTCATGGCCGGCCTCGTCGCCGTCGTGGTCGGTTGAGAAGGAGAGGAGTCCCTGCTCCTCTTCGTTTTGTGATATTAAAGCATTATTGCTGCTGGTGTTGGTATTCTGGCTGCCCTGCTCTCTGCGAAGAGCGCCCGGTGTCCTGGCCTTGGCCATTGTGTTTACCTCGTCGGCATTTTGTGGCGGTCCGGCCTCGTGGGAAAAGGGGTATTTGGATGAGCTCTCTGCTCAAAATCTTTGCTCAAAGCTGCTTCTATCCTCTTTCAAGAAGATTGGTTAGGCCAGCTGGGTGGAATTGAAAATGCTCGTGTTCACTCCCAAAAAAGAATGTATGTTGGTAGTATCCAAAGGTATGCGTTGTTGTAAGCTGTCGATAAGCGGCGCTATCGTCAGCTGATGGAGGGAGGTACGTACCGATCCTTCAGGGGCCAAATCCGCTAGAATTTAGAAGGAATCAATCCCTTTGTCCACCCCCTGAATTATTACGAGGCGAGGCGAGGGGGGAGGCGAGCTGCCACCCACTGTAATAAAAAGCTAGTGGGTACCAAGTACGGAGTATAGCGTATATCAACGGGGCTGCGCTAAGCACTTAGCATCAATTCAACTATACGCAATATGTCATTTATGAACGGCTCTTGTAGTATACTGATTTCAACCTGATTCATCAAGACTATATTATATACTTTGAGTAGCATAATATAAACCAAAAGTAATCCGTTATTTTGCAGTATCATGTGGCTCGAAAGGCAGCAAATGAACAAGATGAGGGGGGAAAGAAGAGCAACAAGCGAGTCGGTCCGAGGAAGCAAGGCGAAATGTGTTTAAACAAAGCAAATGGTTATCCTATACTCATTCTAATAACTACCTAACCTAGTAAATCATTCCCATCGCTAAGCCATTCCCATATATATATCGTAATCTCGTATAGTCTATATCACATACAGTTCATCCTCATGACAAATAAAAAGAGCAACATCAATTTCCCGGTTTCATCATTGTACCGTAAGTTTTCATACCTTGCTTGCTCAACCTCCGCGACGGCAGTAGCTGTTTCGGCCGCCGTACCGGAATCTTGGGCTGGTTCCGGTTGTTGCCCAGAAGTGCCGACTCCTCGTCCGTGGTGCCCGTGTTGACGCCCTTGCCCTTTACGAGACGGCCCGGCTTGGAGACGCATCCGTAGAGCACGTGTGCCACGACCATCAGACCCAGCGCGCCCAGTCCCAGGTAGGACATTGGCCAGCCGCCCAGGCCATAAATGGTATCCATCACGGACAGTGTCGAAACGGTCACGAAGCCGAGACTTAGGAGCCCAAATGTCAGCTGTCGGCTCTGTGTGCTTGACCCCCTCTCCTCGGCAATCATGGCTGCAATAATGTAGAAGAATACTTGGACAGGAGCAAACACGACGAACCAGGGCATGAGCTTGAAGATTACGTCGACGCCCGTCATTCCTCCCATCGTGGACAGCACGAGCATGAGAACGAGTTGGATCAGGCACGACATGGCGGCAATGGGCAGAGCCGCCACGTACCAAGCAGTATCAAGGTAGAATTTGAAATGCATGGGCAGTCTGGGCATCGCTCTGCGCCTTGGCATCGTCGCGTCACCTTGGACTGATGCTGCTGCGTTGTTGGGAGCAGAAGTGTTAAACATGACAGACTTGCCAGTGTTGAGCCTGGCGTTAATGGTTGGACTTGCTGCTCCAGTCTCACTGTCATCCGAGGGACTGGACGACTCGCTATTCCGAGACCATGGCCATCTTCTGCTCGAATCTCGACGTGGTGTGCTCCGCCATGACATGCACGCATGTTCCACTAATGGCTTACACGTGGCTAAAAGCGTCGCGAATGCAATGTAATGAACCAGCGTTAGTCGGTCCGTGATGTGTAATGGATGTAACTGCAGCAGCTCGTAGAAGCGTAGAGACACCCAAGTACATAGCGCCACGGAACAGACAATCTAAATATATGTCAGCTGCTTCTTGTCCTCAACTTGCATATGGTACAATTCAAGAAGGAGAGAAGAAAAACAAAGACGACGTACCTCGGTCAGTGCAGAGCCCAAGACGTCAAGGTGAGCTCGCACCATTAGCCAAAACGCAATAAAGGGGCGCACAACAAGCAAGACAAAGCGATGCTCGCAGCGGGCGCAGAGGGCCGGGTCTTCCAACGACGATTCTTCCAGCTCTTCCCAGTAGCGTCTACACCACCTCTTCAGTACACCTTCTGGGTGCTCCAGGACCATGACAGTGGCCGACAGCGCCACGACCACGATCAGAAACCCGACAATCAGTCCCCAGCTGAGCACAAGCCGACTGGGCTGCTTGGCAGCGACACCGTGGCCGCGCCCAGGAAAGAAGCACAGCACATTGGCCGCCAGAATGTCATGTCCATTGTATTGTCCAGATACGTGCATGGCATGTCGGATACGACCGACCGGCACCATGCAGACGGCCAGCGTGGCCACCATGACAAACACCAAGCATAGCCTCCAGGCTCGCTTCACGGCGTTTTGGCGGAAGTAGTCTCGCAGCGAGCACAAGACTGCAATGTTGGTAATGACGGCGGCCCAGCCAAAGCCAATGGTGAGCCACCAGTCGTAGGCAGTCAAGCCTCGAGGCAGCGAAGCAAACGCATGCCCGATAATGGCCACACCAAAACCAGCATGTATATCACCCAGACCCAGCATAAACTGAAAAAAATAGTTAGATGTTGGGATCGTGGTATTCATGGTTCTTCTTGGTAGAGTTGTTTTTACCTGGTCAAAGGCTGAGCGAACCCCGTCTTCCTGGCCGGTATGATCCAAGCTATGGACGCCAAAGCCAAGGTATTGAAGACCGCTCCGTACCCATCGTAATACAACGACATCGACTGGGTTGACATCTCGTGGGACCGATCCGGCGAGCGGCTCGTGTAAGAGCAGATACTGAATAAGTAGCGCTACCACCGCCAGAGCGCTGGGAGCAAAGAATGCCAACACCGTCTGGTATAAGTCAGAATAGAGAACATATTGATGCTGGGCGCGGGGTAATAGTAAATAGCAAGTTGCCTCTTTGGCTGCGTGCGGAGGGGGGGTTTCTTTTGAATAATACATACCCATACATTCTCGATATCGGGCCTCAACCACTGGGCCGGTTCCGATTCATTGCATTGCCACATTGTTGACAAACTTCCCTTCGCCTCTTGTCCCGTCTCTTTACAGCCGAGACTCGAAGGAAAACATGTCGGTCGCAAACAACACTTTCTCCCAGCCAAACGGTTTCCCGAACACAAAGAGGGAGGAGTGGAAGAGAGGATATAGGCTCCATCTTTATGACAGGGTATCTATCATAGTTCCCACCCTCCTCTGTGTATGAACCATGATAAACACGAAAAAGAGTCAGGTAAAGCAAGCTTTTGCTCGTGGTCATGTCGGCCAAAAAGGTGCGCGGCTGTCCCGAACGAGGCAAGCAGCGGTGAACTGGCACTGTGGAGTCTGGAGGGGGGTTGCGATTCCCGATTCGCTTCACGATTAGCCTCGACACATTGGCCGCGATGTGGTCGTTGCCCCCCGGTTTGCTACCCAAACCCGGATCTGGCAGCCTATCGTCCGTCCCTATCCAACATCCATCCAGCAGATCATTGCTTGACGCGCCCGGCCTTGATTGGTCTGCTTTCTTTGATCTGCTGAGGCTGTCTGGGAGGAGCATATCAGTGGGAATTGTTGAATGGGGGGATCCGCTACTACGATCTAATCGACCAGTCCAACCCGTTTGCGGCCCTTCGATGGCGCGACGATGCTGCCGAATGTGCACGGATTTACGTCGAGGGCAACAGCGGCAGTAGACATATCACACTGGGAAATGGTGCCATGTTGCCATGGAAGAGATGGGGCAAGAGGATCCCGTCTCCGCTGGTATAGATCCCCCTCACGATCGCCGGTTATGCCGACAGTTTCATCCTGGAGACTCGATGAACTGCTTGGCTGCTAAGCTGTGCAAGTCTCATTGGCGTAGCTTCCAGATGCGCTGTGTTGTCCCATATATGTCGTCATGTTGCTGGGTCCAGCTTATTAATCGTCTGGTGCGGTTGCGTGTTGCGCGCGTAAAGAGTAATGAATGTACCAATTTCCATGTTTGTTGAGTAATGGTTTGTTTATTTGCGATTGCAGATTCATGCTCGAAAGAGGTTATAATAAGTTCTAAAAGTCTAGAATTACGAAGATCCCCAGTTCTCGGCATAACTCTAGAGTCTAGCTAGGTGACTATTTGATTGCTGAACTCATATTCATTGGGTAGGCGGGGAAAATACAACAACAGATTAATGCCGCGTGACATATTCTCGGACTGTGGATCTGGAAATTGCACCATTAGCAACATGAAGCAAATGTTGGTGAATTTGTGATAGAATGATGGTTGGGCAAGATACATCAGGAAAGATAGAACAATGGTGATTGAGATTAATCATGATCGCCAGAAGCGAATCATAAACAGCCTCTAAAATTTTCATCATGGTAGAGAGGAAGATGGAGAGCAAAATGACGGATATGAGACTTACCAATTGATATCCAAAGCCTGAGTCGGGTATTTCGTGTAGTTCTTGGCAAGGGATGTGCATGTCTTTGACATGGGAAGCACCACATGACAACGGTTTCGTTCACATGTTGACCTACCGTTCGTTTCGGACCGCGTATCTCTTCGCGTCAGTATCGCGACGCGTCTGTGGTCATTCGGCCCGTGCCACTGAGTGCCCGAAGATCATGAGCCAGGCGGAGCGGCAAGATTCCGCAGCTAGCCAGAGGAAGGCTCTCTAACCCCAAGCACTCTGGCGGGCGATATTCTTTCATGCATCTCATCTTCATCGATTGCCGTCACGATGCGCAAGCCCCGCGAACAAGACTTGCAGCCACTGTGAAGGAATGTAACGACCGGCGGTAAGAGGCAACGATCCTAAAGCTCGCCGGAACGAGCTTTCTCATGCTTCCATAATCGGCGTCAAGAAAACAAATGCTCTAGGGCACAAGATAGAGGAAGACTCGACTGAATGCAGGAACCAGAAAAAGGACGGATCCTCTCCTGCTTCCCGCGCAAGCTCACCTACAATAAAGTGTGCTCATGTACAATAATGAAGAAAAGAAGAGAAAATTTCAAAAGACTCGCGGCACGTCGCGCTTGACAAAAGGTTTTCGGGGTTCGTGGTGGGGCACGAGAGAGCCCCAGATTTTACGCCAGCTGCAGAAGCTCTTTTTGACAGCTGGCGCTACTACTAGCTTACAACAATGGGTCTTCAAGAGGCCGTCAGTTGCTATCATCACCGTTGCAATCTTGCAGTCAACGTCGATCTCTCCCCATATCAAATCTACACTATCTCTCTAACTGGGGCTTGCGGCCGGCTGAGGTGAGGCTCGAGATGTTGTTTTGGGTCCATCTTCAATGAGCAATACGTAATGTTCGGTTGCTTCGGACGAGTCTTTCAGAAAAGGGGATAACAAGCAAGATAGAAATCTCTCAAATGCTGACGGTTTGATACAACTTGTTGTCCTCTCTCTATCTGTGTATCCGTCCTGATTTTGACTCTGTCTTTCAAATTGTTAGTTGGGATTGAACCCTTGTTCCGAGTATATTCGACTTTGTTCCAGAAACCTTCTAGAACTTTTCTAGAAACAGTATAGAATCTGTCAAAGTTTTTTTCTTCTTTAGTTCCCTTCATGGCTAGCGACTCTGTTACTACTACCGGCCCCCCTGTCGTCCCTAGACGCCATCCTGATCTGCCGCCGCACGTTGTCGACCGAGTCGCTCGGGAGAGCCCGGATGCCGTTTACGGACTGTGGCCAATAGAGCCAACTTCATACCAAGCCGGCTTTCGCACCATCACCTATGCCCAACTCGCCAATGTTGTCAACGGTTTAGCTTGGTGGCTGGAAGAACACCTTGGGCCGGGACGTGCAAGCCAGATATTGACTTATGTCGGTCCTAGCGATCTTAGGGTCTCGGCGCTCGTCTTGGCGGCCATAAAGGCCGGATATGGGGTAGGGTGAACCATAAACCAACAAACAATTCTTCACACTACCGAGTACAAGCAATGTCATTGCTACCCTACTTGCACAATTGCACACCATACTATTGCTATAATAGTATAGTGTAGACGCCTAAACGCCTCACAAGCCCATACGCTAACACTGAGAATTTGCCATCTGACAGCTCTTTTTGACCTCGCCGCGCAACAGTCCCGCAGCTCACGGATCGCTATTTGCAGATCTTGACTGCAAAACACTCATCACCTCGGAGCCCACGCCAGCCGCCGCCATCCCCATCCTCGAGGCCGTCCAGCCGAATCATTTACAGGTCCCCAGCGTCGATGCCTTGCTCAGCAAGGTTCATCCCAAATATGTCTACGCAAAGACATGGCAAAAGGGTCTCGCCGACCCGATGATGTGCATGTCCGTCTTTTCCCTCAAGTCCCAACAACATGGCCCAAAGGACCCATGTCTTTTATTCGACAGGACAAAAAACGTACAAGCTAACGATTCAATAGACACACGTCAGGCTCGACAGGAGTACCGAAACCGTTGATATGGACCCAGGAAACGATACTCAAGCAATGGAATAGCGCCGGAAGCCCGGCCCCAGAGGGCAGTCAATCACTCGAGCACCTATACCTGGGCAAGCGGGTTATGGTGACACCACCGCCTTTTCATGTAAGTGATTCTACGGATTGAGTATGGATGGACCATTGTACTCCGTTATTGGGCATCGAGTCGTCTAAAATTGTAAATGGGAAATTGTAGGGTGCTGGCCTCGGGCAATTCTTCTTCTACGCCATTCCCTTTGGCAACGTCGTCATTGCCCCGGCGGCGGAAGCCATCGTGACCGCGCAGGGTCTGGTAGACGCGCTGAAGGAGACCCCCGCCGACGTGGCCCTGCTCGTACCCTCGGTGGTGGCCGAGCTGGCCCAGAGCCCGGCGCTGCTCGACTACTGCTCCCAGCACCTCGAGCTCATTGTCTACATTGGCGGCGATCTGCCGCAGGCCATTGGCAATGTCGTGGCCGCAAAGGTGCCGCTCCGCTGCCAGTGGGGAGCCTCCGAGGTGGGCATGCCGCAGCAGCTGATTCCGGCCGAGCTGGACCCCAAGACGGACTGGCGATACATCCGCTTCCACCCCTGCGCCGGGGCCGTCTTTGAAGAGGTCGCGGACGGTCTTTTTGAGCTGGTGATTCGCCGCGATCCGGCGCTCGCCAGTGCGCAGACGACGTTTACTATTCGCGGCAAGGACCTCGAGCATCTCGACAGCTACCGAACAAAGGACCTCTTTGTGCCTCACCCCACGGTCGCCGACGCTTGGTCGTGGAAGGCCCGGGCCGACGATATCATTGTCTTTTTGAATGGCGAAAAGACAAACCCGGTCACGATGGAGCAGCACGTCGTGGCTGCGAACCCCGAGCTGAGTGGCGCGCTCGTGATTGGAGCTCAACGCTTCCAAGCTGCTCTCTTGGTCGAGCCCACCACGCCATGTCCGACTACCGCTGAGCAGGCTGCCCTCGTTGAGCGCGTATGGCCCAGCGTGCAAGAGGCCAACCGTGTCACGCCTGCGCATGCTCGGGTCGAAAAGTCACTCATCTTTGTCACGGCGCGGGACCGACCTTTGATTCGTGCCGGCAAAGGGACAATCCAGAGGGCTGCTAGTCTAGGACTGTACGCTGCCGATATTGATAGGATATACCAAGAAGCAGAGGATGACCAGAGCACCGATGTGGAAGAGACAGTCGCTTTAGACAATGCCGAATCAGTCGCGCAAAAGATTCGCGACAGTGTTAATAGCACCACTAGCTGGTCCGTTGAGGACGATTCGACCAGTTTCTTTGAACAGGGCATGGACTCGTTGCAGGCATTACAACTGACGCGAGCTCTCCGGCGAACACTACGCCGACCCGATCTTGGTCTGTCCACAATCTACCAGAATCCCACGGTCTCTCTCCTGACGGCAGCTGTCATGTCGGTGCAGAGTGAGCGTCAAAGCGACCGAGACTTGATGGAGCCTCTGCTCGCCACCTACACTGATCAGATCCGCCAGATCCCCAGGCACGCAAGTGGTGCTGGGCTACCACCAAGCCGGAAAACCGGAACAGACATTGTCCTGACTGGGTCCACGGGCACGCTAGGGACCTATATCCTAAACGCCCTGCTTCGCCGCCAGGATATCGGGCACATTTACTGTCTCAACCGGGCCCCGGACGGAGGCCGAGCAGCGCAAGAGGACCGCTTCCAAGCCAGCCAGCTATCGGCCGCCGCCTGGGCAGACCGCGTCACCTTTTTGCACGCCGACCTGGCGCAGCCCCAGCTGGGACTCGGCGAGACCACGTACGACACCCTGCGCGCCCGCGTCGGCCTCGTCATTCATAATGCCTGGCCCGTCAATTTCAACCTGAACCTCGCGGCCTTTCGACCTCAGCTTGCGGGCGTGGTGAACCTCTTTGCGCTGGCGGCGGCGGCGGCGGCGGCGGCCAAGCACGTCCACGTCGTCTTCATCTCGACCGTCGGCGCCGTGGCTGCCCGGCCCGCGGACGCCGGACCTGCCCCCGAGCATATCCCCGAGTCCCTGGATGCGCCCGTGCCCAACGGCTACGGTCGGTCCAAATTGCTGTCCGAAAAGCTGTGCGAGGCCGCGGCCCAGCACCTCTCGGGCCACGATCACGATGATCACGGCATCGTCACCACCAGCATCGCTCGTGTCGGCCAGGTCTCGGGCGCTGCCGACGTGCCGGGCCTGTGGAGCCCTAGGGAGTGGTTCCCCAGCTTGATCATGAGTTCGGTTCATCTCGGCTGTGTGCCCGACCACCTGGGCGTCTTTTCTGATATTGACTGGATGCCGTCGGACCTTCTCTCCAATGTTGTCGCGGACATTGCGACGCGGAACCTGCGAGACGGTGATGAAACCGGCAGCGGCGGCAGCAGCAGCGGCGCCGACTCCGCTGTAGTGTTCAACTTGCGAAATCCCAGGACCACGACCTGGGAAGCGCTCATCCCCATTGTCAAGGACGTGGCCAGGGAGCGGTGCGGGCGGGAGCTCGCAGTGGTCTCGCCCACCGAGTGGCTCGAGCGGCTGCAAAAGAGTGCCAACGAGGAAGACGAGTCCGCCGCTTCCGTGGCTGCCAACCCGGCCGTTAAGCTGCTGAGCTTCTACCGAGAAGGGCTGTGGGCCGGTGGAGCGGCAATGCATCCCATGTCCGTCAAAGATGCCGTCCGCGCCAGTCCGGCCCTCCGCGATATGCCGCCTGTTCAGCCCCAGTGGATGCGCAAGTGGTTCGAAGAGTGGCTGTCGGTTGTATCGGGGCATTAGGTTTAACATATTTTCAACAATTTACCAAGATTTACCCTTTAAAAATATAAAAGAAAATGCTTATTATAAAGTATTAATTTCGTAAAACTCTTAAGGCTTTTATTTTCCTTTTTTTCTCTTTTTTTTTCCCCTCTCTTTTGTTCTCTTTCCCTTCTTTTCTTTTCTTTTATTTTTCTCCTTTTCTTTTTCTCTTTTTTCTCTCTTTTTTTTCTTTTATTTTTTTTATTAATTTTTCTTATTTTTCTCATTTTTTCAAACGTAAATTATATAAAATCGGGCTGCTATATCGATTTATGTTTAATATCGATGCTAAATGCCTTATTAGCATTACTTTTTAAAAATACTTAGCATAGCATAAATGTGGATAGAATCTTCTAATTAAAAACGGGGGTATACCTCGACCTGGTATAAAATATAGGGTAAATAAAACTTGATAAGGCTCAGCGCTTCTGAAAGGCATGCAGAACAAAAATTTCGGCAATTTGAATAGTTCACATTATGAATTCTTTGGCTTTATCATTATAGAGGGCTGCCATGTTGTGCTATCTAGTCCGCTATAGCACAAGGGTGTGTAGCGCCGGTACTTGAACATTTATGCTGCCCAAGCTCCGGGATACAAGTACAAAAACTAGCTCTCTGACTTTTCATTGATATGAATCATCTCTTATCCCATCATTTTCTTTTCTTGACAGGTATAGACTCAAAGGCATCGTCTTCATCAGAGATCTCATCATCGCTAATCTCTAGCGCCGCCGCTTGAGAGCCCTTTGGCTTCTGTGAAAAGTTGAGCGTCCCTTGCTTCATCTTTGGCTGAGATTGTGAAGCAGCAGCTCTCGACGGTTGTGACCGCGCAGGCTGTGACCTTGTAGCAGCCGTGGCGCGTTTCGGAGGCGCTGGCGTGGGCTCTGGCTCGTCGTCGTCGTCGTCCATCATGATCACATCATCTTCATCACTGTCTTGGTCGAAAATAGCCTTTCGTCCGCGCCCCTTGGCAGGAGCTTTGGCGGTCGCCTTGGCAGCAGCCCTTGCCGGAGGCTTTTTGGCCTGAGTCTTCCCAGCGTTGGTTGTCTTTGCAGCGGCTGCTCGGCCTCGTCCCTTTGGCTTGGTCTCTGGTTCGGGTTCCTCTTCTGCAAAATCATCCATTTCATCATCTTCATCCACGACCTGCGCAGTTTTTTTGGGCCGGCCCTTTCCACCTCTGATTGGTTTCACTACTGGTTCTGGTACTGGTTCGGGGTCCTCGTATGCAAAGACACCAGGTTGGTCCTCCCAAGATCCGTCCATGTCTGAGTCCCAATTGTCGGGCTTTGGTTTTACCATGACGAGCTTCCGCGGCTTTTTGTTTTTTAAACGATTTGCCTCGGCTTGGATTCTGGTCATTGCAGCAGAGAGGCCATCATCTTCTTTACCGCCCAAGGCGAGCAACTTGGTGACTTGATTGGAGAGTTCATCTGCCACAAACTGGTCCACAGCTTTCCTGTTGTCGTTTTTGACATATTCGCCGACAGCTTCGACAAAAGGGATCTGTGGCAGGATTTTGAGCGACTGCCTTTGGAGATACTGGTCCACGAGCTCATCGACCTTGATGCCTTCGGCATCCCCCATCTCGGCAGGCACGTCGATCTCAGTCGTTGTTTTCTCTGCTCATCGATTAGCACAGGTAGACAAATCGAGTGCACCAGGACTTACTAGTCGTCTTCTTCTTTCGGTAGAAGAGCACCACGTCTTTCGTGTTGGCTACTTTTCCGGCAAAACGATTCGAAAAACGCTGAGGATTCTCGACATCAAAGTTGCCCCCTTCCGATGGTGTGTATTCGACCCTCAGGCGGATCAGGGGCAATGGTATCTTATTTTGTACTTCATCTGGATCCTCTTGTATTTCCAGCCACTCGTCCCTTGCTTCCTTGATCATCTCTTCAACGACTGCCATCAATCTCCGTGTCAGCTCTGGTCGATTGTCCTTTTTGTGGTCCAATCCCTTGAACCTTGTGTCCTCGGAGAGCTTGATCTCGCGCATCACGAAAGGCCGCACGGTTTTGAGTCGAAACTTTTCAACCTCGAATTCTTTTCCCGTGATATTGAGAATCGCCACATGTTTCGGTACAGCTTCCGCGGCAATGAGGGATGTGGCGACCGACGATCCAGGCTGCATGACGGAGAAACCATTGCTACTGCCGCTGAACCGAGGATCGATGAGGCATTCGTGTTCGTGGCCCCAGACTACCATGTTGAGCCACTTGGGGAGCATTTCTTCCGGCAAGTAACTCGTTGGTGTGTGTGCAGAATGGTTCTGGTGCACGGCGAGCAGGTTGAACCACTCGTCTTGCTGCACATTTGGCCGAAGCCACTTGATGCGGTGATCGCGGAAATTTCTATGCATTCGCTCATCACGGACATTACTCAGACCGTACAATGCCAGCTTTGTTTGGCCTTTTTTGGAGGAGGATGGGTTTAGCCTTGGGGTGATCGACCTCTGGAATACGTCCGAAATAGTTGACTAGGCCGGCTACTTGGAGTAGGTCGAGAGGACAAAACGATCCTTCACCACTGGGGTCATCGTGGTTGCCATGGATCGAAAATACTGGAATAGCCACATTGATGTCAGGATCCTCATAGTTGACATGAGTAAAGTGGCCCTCAAATACGTCACTGGCATCGCTCAGGAATTGCAGTTCGCATGGCTTCATGCCGAGGCAGTTCTTTCTGAGAGAGCGCATGACCTTGAACATTGACTTTCTCGAGGGCTTGTTTTCATGGAAGAGATCTCCAGCTAGTAATACCATATCGACCTAACAAAAAAAAGAAAAGAAAAAGCCGTCAGTATCAAGAAGCGCCCACAAAGGGATGGCTGCAGCACGTACATCCTCTGTACGAGCCAGGGTCATGATCTCATCAAATGTCTGCCAGCTGTCATCGCCACGCACACTATCGCCCTCCTCGTAGCCGACATGATTATCTGTGGCGACGAGAACACGGATTGTGTCCTCTTCTGTGTATTTTGTTAGTAATCAGGGCGGGTACTCTAGGTACAAGCTGTGAAGGATACTTGCCTGAGGCCTGTGTCATTGTGCTCGACTCCTCTGATGATCGCAATCGCCGCTGAATAATAGGGGAGGAAGCAAGAAATGAAATTTAGATGCCGAAGAGTAAAGAGGTCGAATTTACATGCTGATGCCGATTGCCAAGGCAAAAATCAGCGTCCCTGCTCAGACTCAAGAAGGGACAAGAGGGTAAATGCATCGAGAGTTAATGTGGTTGCCCCAAACGCGCAGGCACCAACGCGCGCTAGTGGAACTCGCCCATTCGCGTTGTCACGTGCCACCTATTAAACGTCCCAGTTGGGCTGGTGAACGGTGAGTGCAGTTGCAATCACAAAGCATCTTTTGTATGCGGTGAAGAATTGATGTTTTCGATTGCATCAGACATATCTTCAACCATAGCCAGAGGATGGAAAAGTAAAGGCATCAGTCAATGTGGTACGAATTCAATTTAACGTCGGATAGTTTCGACGGCCGCTCTAGGAACAATATGGTATATCAAGCACATGCTTAATGACAGAATATGCAACGCCTTCCCTTCCATAATGAGACAGAATACAGTTTCACCAGTGTGGCCTCGTTTCCATTCCTCCTTGGTCGACCGCACGGATATTTCGGGACCAGTTCAAATCAAAACGCCTGTTGCCCAAACCCCCTTGAGTCCAATCCAAGAGCAAATGAGAAAACTAAAAGCAAATATGCTGCCGATGCCACTAGTGTATAGCAATGTACAAGTTTACCGTACATGTAACAATAATCACGCTGGGGGTGTTGAAGCCGAGGCCGAAGCAGCTGCTTCCTTGTCAGCCTCTTCAGCAATACTCTCCCACCAGACGCCATGAGACTCGCGATCGATAGCTCCAACCCTGGCGAGCTCGTCGACTATCTCTCGTACTTTCTCCACAAATTCCGGTAGTCCCAAACCAGCGAGCTTCTCACCAGCTGCACTAGTTGCCTTGACTTTCTCGCTTGCCGAACCTGCTTGCAAACGTGCCAGAACATGACTTCTTATACGGTTGAGCAGTAATCTCAGAACAGGCTCTCTAGGCTCCATATTGTTGCGTCTCGCCTCGGCGCTGGCAGCGAGAAATTTGGTGACCAGAGCTCGCAAGTGCGTCTTGGTAGCAACAGGCATAGACCGCCCTCCTTCCAAAGCAGCCATTATACCATCGATGCCAGCAGCCTGCTCCAGTGGCTTTTCGCTATCCTCCAGAGCCTCGAGGACCATAATGAGACGTCCAGCCTCTGTTTTCCACGGAGCTCGGACATCACGCTTCAGCATGTTTTTACACTGTAGCAGAATTGCGCCAGCTGTGACTATCCTGAGGACTTGCGAGCCAACGCGAGAGCGGCGTTTGGTGTCCAGCTCGAGTGGCTCTGGAATGCTATCAGCTGGCGGAGATGGCTGTGTAAACTCATCCAGCAGCATTTGCCAGTAAATCTTGTCCGGCGTCGGCCGCGATTTCGCTAGATTGATGCCTTCTGGATCCCGCCGAGCTGCCTCCTCATAGAGTTTCGTGCGTGCTGCCTTCCAACAAGTCTTGGCACGCGTCAAGGATGTCGATCCAGCCTCTACTTCTTCAGCGAAACGCTTGGTTTCATACGCAGAGGCATGCTCCACGAGGTTGGGTGCCGCGACTTGCAACATGTAGTTGGCATAGTCATAGAGCATTGTATCAATAAAGGCGATGAGTGACTCCAAGCGATCGACAACATGACCCTCTGTGAGCTTGTTCTCCACTAGCTCCTTTACCTCCTCGTCGCGAACAGGAGCGCAGAGCTTGGGCAGCAGGGAGCCCATGGACGAAAAGAACTTTTCAATGGAGAAGCTTCCAGCAAGGAATTGACTCTGTGCAATCTCCGTGTCCAGCATTTCACCTATAAAAGTATGCATTGTTGATCCCGGCTTGACAAGGTGTTGGAGCCTGTCCTTGATGTATTGCGCCATAACAATCAAGTAGCGAAACTCCTTTTCCTCGCTTCTCGGGCCTAGTTTGAGATCCTGGAACATGGGATCCATCCGCATCTTGTGCTGTTCTCGGAAATGTTGATACTCGATGCGATATTCCCTATTGATAGCTAGCTCATGCACGATGATCCTATTGTCTGGCAGAATAGGCGGATACATTGGAGTTGCCATCAATGTCTGCTTGGCGTTGGGCTTGCTTTGAGGCGTAGAGGGCGGTGTAAGTGTTTGTAATTGCGCCGAGACTTCATTTTCGGCGGTCGCTTGATCCTTTGCTGAGCTGTCACGACCCAAGGAGTCATCGGCCACTCTGGGCCTTGTGTCGCCCGTCGGCTTCTTTGCTGCTCTTGCCTTTCGGGCTTCTTTCACAGCATCAAATATCAGTTTCTTGCCCTGTTGGGCACCAGCAAGTCTCTTGATCCTGACCATGAGCTGCAGCTGATTGTCCTTGATGCTCTGGCGGTAAGTCTCGGAGACGGCCTGTTCAGTACTGTCCTTGACTGTCTGCAGTATGGCATCCAGCTCCACAAACTGCAGTATCATGACTTCAATAAGAGCATTCGAATCACGTGCTTTCCATGCAATGAAGGCATTGTGAAATGTCGCGTACGCTTCGGGCAGAGCTTCCTGCACAGCGGGGGGCGTCATCCAATTGTTGAGTGATGACAACCGTGACAGGATGTTCTCAAAGGTGATCAGAACATCACGAGCCTTACCGACCAGATCCTGTAACTGTGGATTAGCAAGATCGTCTCTGGGAATGGGTTGCCCTTGGACAGATCCAACCTGCTCCTGCTCTCCTTTATCATCCTTATTGCTGAGCACTTGGGTAGGATGACCTAGGATGACAAATGCACTGAGAAAGGTCCGGATAGCGGCCATCTCTTCCACCGAATCTGGAGCACCCTCCTGGAGACCACATATTCGCAGCACCCGTGCAGTTGTTGTAAGAACCTTTTCTTCTGCAAGTAGCTCGACAACTTTCTCGAACGAGGTATCTCTTACGCCGTCAATGGATAGACCAAGATTAGAGAACTCCTGTACCGCTCTTTGCCTCAATATCGTCCTCCACCACCATTGAATTGTGGAAGCGGCGGTCTCTTCGCTCATAGCAATTGTGCCCTGCTCCTTGGCTTCTAGAATGGAATCAATGCTTGGCTTCTTTGTCGTAAGGCTCTGGCCGCGTGAACGTTTGGCAGTGTGTCGGCTCCGCAGTTCTTCTCTCCTCTTCTCAGCCTCGGCAAGACGCTCTTCCATCTGCATCTTGAGCTTGCGCAATGCCTGCTCCTTCTTCTCGCGGGTGCTCTCGGCCACAGCTTTTGCCCGCTTGACCTCTTCGGCACAAGCGGCCACAATCTCGGCAAGCTTACTTTCCCGGGCCTGTGCAGCAGCCAAAGCTCGTTCTTCCGAGTTTGAATAGTTCCTCTGCTGCGAGGCTTTGGTCATTGCTGCCCTTAGGCGGACCTTTTCGGCATGAGCTGCGCGGTCGGCTAGGCGGGCCTTCCGATCTTCCAGTATAGATGCGCGCCGCAGCTGCTGGGCAATATACTTGCTTTGAGGATCGTCGCCGTTGCCTCCAAAGCCGTGTGAAGAGCGTGAGTGAGCGGAAGAGATGGAGTTGCGGCGAGACGAAGCCGCCGAGTCTTTGCGGCGTATCTGAGTCGGGCGGTAGAACCGGGCAGCGATGTGTGACGGCGGCGTGAACTGCCTATCTTTCCTGCTTTCCTCCTCGTCTTCTCGGGGTGGTGAGAGATCCATTTCGGGGTCTATGACAGCCGCAGAGGGAGTTCCAACCGACTCTTCGATGTTCCGCGCCGCATCGGTCAGGTCTGTGGAGGCTCGCCGCATATTGACGGTTTGGTGATGATCAGATGCGAAGTCTTGGTAGATGTCTTTGTCCTCGGGCGCGCCGCAAAAGGAAGATTGGGTACCAAGCTGGTGTCAATGCCACGCTTGTTGTCGGAAACGGCGGGAGTTTGAGGACGGCATGTGAGACCTTGACACCGGTGCCAGCAGCGAGTCGATGTGGGAGCACGCACGGATAATCAGATCGTGGGTGCTGTTTGGTTCTGTCGCCTGTCGCTGATGCGATGGGCTTGGCTGGCAGCAGATAGGTCAGGTCCAGGGAATGTCAATCTGACGTGACGTGCCGTTCCAAGTCTGGCAGATCTCCTTGTGACTTGTGACGTGACGCAGTAAACGAGTGAATGTATGTACAAGTACCAGACCAGAACAGACCAGCAACCAGTATCGCCCTGCAATGCGCTGCAAGCGGGTTACACGATACGGTTATTGCTTAATAAAGGACCAATGCAAACGAGCAGAAGGTTCTAGCGGCTTGGGCCCAAATATTGACGAACGCCGGGTTGAGGATAGCGTAATCAGCCCAGCCGCTGCCTTTCAGATCAGATGCGCCAGTGCGAAGGCTCCAAAACACTGGGCTAGGCGCACCTGATTACACTAGTATCGGGGGGAGGGAGAGAAAAAGAGATTCGATGTACCCAAAGTGGAGTTTGCGGGCACCGTTAATGAATGACTTGAGGGGTCGAAACGATAGAAAAAGAAATTGAGAGATGAGCGGATGAACCTGAAGCTGAAGTTGTCGTTGATATCTTTCAAATTGTTACAATCTTGGACGTGCGTAGTGTATTTGGGAGCTTCGAGTGACGAAGATCACCTGCGCGTTCGGGCGCTGAAACTCTAGCGGATCTGGCGATCGACACCCCGCTATGCTTCTCAAGCCTTAGGGGGCTGGCAGGACTACGCTTGACCCGTAGGCAACCAGGTACACAGTCGAGATCTTCCCCAAAAGGTGGTTGTCGCCTGTATCCGTTTTACCCGTCTTCCCACACAAGGTTGATTCCTTATCTGCCTGCATGCATACAGGTACATGAGCTGATATCGTCATGTGGTCATGTTTAAAAATAGCTCTTCATATCCGAACCACTAGATGCCTCATTTTTGTATAGTACAATTCTAGTGACATTCGAGTGTCTATATCTAATCTTCCGTGATATGTGCGTATTTCGTTTTTTATCATTCGTATTGGTAAAATGTTAAATGCGTTGCTCCCGTGTACAATCCTATTAGTTCGGTCCAATTGTTGAATGTGTGACATGATGAACTAGACATGCGCCCTTCCTTTTGACATTGAACCAAAAGAATAACTAATGTGCATTTTCACTCCTAGGCATTCTTTTTGCTCATAGTTTGATCCCGTGTTAACAGTATCATGGAATAATTCATACCAAGCCTGGGACAGACCTTGATAATAAGTTACAAACTCAGAGAGATTACCGATTAAACCCGTCTTTTACAATCTTTAAGTTTGGGGAGCACAATTCTTTGAAATGACCCAAATCAACAGAAAGAGTTGCGTAGAAATCAGTGACTCCACTAGTTAATTAGCAATGTTGGATTTCTAACAAGAAAGCCGGTCGTCTTCTCCCATCTGAGGCAAAGACGCGACATCTGATTTCACATAACATCTTTGCCAAACGACACAAGCGGTCATGAAAATCGTATAGAATGAGGAAGATATTTCCAAATGATCATCTCACAGACAGAATACCTCTGGATCCCGATTTAATCTCAAGTATTTCCTCAACTCTGTCATTCACAAACAGTGAATTTTCACGAGAAACTCATGACCAAAATGATCACAATGTCGAATCAATCATACTCGGGGTTGCCAATGTACAAGGTAGGATCAAAATACACGGAGCATTACTATATCGTTTCTGTAGTCAGCAGCAACAAATAGAAATCTCAGATTGTATCCATAGCTCAGATAGATTTTGTAGCACAATGGCTTCCGGCGTTGATAGCAATTAATTTCCACTTTGACATGGCCCGTAGAAGTCATTCTTCACTCCAATTTGCTAAAATCTACTCGGGGGAAATATTCGGTCGTTCACATTGATTGTCCGCTACTCGAGAGTATCACTTCTGGAGTTCAAAAGTTTGATTGTCAGCGAAATGATTCCTGTCGTCAAATCACAATATTCTTATTTAGTTGGATATGACACCACCATAAAGCACATGAGGGTTACTTCAGTGCAAATGAATTTCCACTCACTTTTTTTCTTTACTGAATAAAAAAGATGAAAAGGAAAAAGTCACGTTCACCTATATCTAGACTCTTTGTAAACCTACATGTAATATATAATCAAGCACGTATCTACCTGCATCACTGGCTATTCCAAAACTCTCTCTCTCTCTCCCTCTCCCTCCAGACTCGAGCACCTTACTTTTGTGAACTGCCCATGCTTCTAAGTGATCAAAATCCCATGTAGATGTGCTTTGCTAGAGTCTCACAAATGGCAAGTGGTCAAGCCTGGAACAGGAAGCCTGCCCAGTACCACTGAGTACTGCCAATGGCAATTCAGGGGGGTACACATCGCAACATAGTGTCTGTCAAAATAAGCGCGGAATTTCAGAGTTCACGCCAAGTTATCACGAGGATGGCTGCCGTTTCCAGTAGTTGTCTTGTTAAAAAGCTCGGTAGCAGTATGTATGTCTGAACGAGAGGACACCGACATGGTGGGCAACAGGAGTAAAGTAATGGATTTTCTGACTCATGACTAACATTGGGCTGATACAACACCCCAGATGTATTGGTGCCGCCTTGGCCAAAGAGGATTGGGCCATGTTGGCCAAGAGGAAAAAGATTTTCTAGCAGTTGTTCCATTTCCCAAGTCAGTTTCTAGCGTGCCGCACCATGGGGAATGGCAAAGAGAAAAAAAGGTTATTCCACACATATCGTACGAATCGTTCCATGCCGGCTTCGAGACGTTCTAGCTCCGAGCATAAAAACCAAAACTTAGAGTTTGGACCTGCCGAAGTGAACATTCCACGGCAGCTCTAGCTTTGAAACCAACACGGTTGTCATGAACTACACTAGTCGTGCTGCAAACCACGTTACAAAATCTACTATGTATAGTAAAGCTATATGTAGATGAGCTGGCAACGAGCTGCGTCCGATAGGAGCGCTCTATGCTTGAGATTGCGGGATGTTGGTAGCGTAAACACTTGCATGATGGGGTCAGGATCGGACATAAGGGAGCATTCGAGCATGAACAGTAGCAAAGACTTTTCCCAGAGTCTGCTATCGGCAGTCGGTTGTATCGGCATGCGGGTCAGCCATATAGGTGCAAGATAATCTCCCGGAGTATAGCTCCGCTTGAAATGTCCTCACGCTTGCCCGTTGTTGGGGCTATACTAGCTTTACCTTTCTTGGCCATTGGGTGTGTTGCTTGAGATCAAAGTTGAATAGTTTACGATAGTACTACAACAAAGTGAAGAGTAGCATACTAGCGGTGAGAATTCTAGAATCCCAGAGACCGACAACTTTTCAGGGACCTCAGTGCCCGAATGGAACACTGTGGAACGTATGGGGACTGTGGCCGACTCAGGGCTCAGATGGTTCCTGCACAAACATAGTACTATTCTGCTCCCTTGGAGCATTGCCAAGAAGCACTAAGGACAGGATGCTCCTATGGGCCGGGATTTAAATCTTGCTTGGGCTGAAGCAAGATCTGGGGGGTGTACGACGGACTGCGTCGGTGTCAAGGGAGGACTTTTCCTTTTGGGTAATCTGTGCGGCGCAGTGTGTGCGGATTTTCCTGCCCTTTCGTGCAGTAGTTCGAGATATATAACAAGGAGCCGGGAGAAAAATTCCGTGCTGTTCTTGCCAGAGAGAGTATTGATATGCGCAAATGAAGCTATTCCTGCGCGCACCTGCTGAGGGGATGTGGGAGGAGGCGAGCACGACAGCAACTAAGCTTGCTAGGTGTCTAATAAGGGCTCCCCGAATACCTACTACATAGTACAGGCAGCATGCCGATGGCCTTGGAGTGGCAAGCTGGTGTCCAAGATAGGGTAAGTAAAGTAATGTAAGCAAAGTCTCCTGAGAGTCGCCTGAAGTGGCTCAACAGACTTTGGTGTTTCGAGACAATTGGATACTACGTATCGTTGCCATGTCGCTTGCAACCTTACATCTCCCAGGTTGCCAGGTTTTTGTTCGAGCAGCTGGCGAACCATTCCAATTTCACAAGCTACGTATACACGACAGACAGGTGTTGAGGCCCGCTTTGCATGCTAAAAAAGCGAACAAGTGTGTATTTCCAAGGCAGAATCTGCGTTTGATCTCTGCGTGACCGAGTCAGGGGCCAATGCCAGTAAGCGCGAGTTGGCCAGTGCCAGGCGAGGTTTAAGCTGATGGGAAAGTCGAAATCCACATGGGACATTCGAGATGCCACTTTGGAAATGCTATTTTTCAGCTGCATGGCAGGGCTCTGATCTGGCAACGCTTCTACGGGGAGGGGCACGAAAAGGCGTGCCCATCAATCCCATGGGTACATTGGCCCGCGCGCGGCGATATAGTACCCGATCCAACTAAGGTTGCTTGCTTGGTGCCAGGCCAGGGGAGGGGAGGAGGACCAAGAAGAAAAAAAAAAAAAAAAAGAGTTGCTAGGCGACCAGCGAGACCAGCAACCAGGCGAGGCAGACACGAGGCTTGCCGTCGATAGGGCGCTGGAAGGACATGAATTTGGGGGGAAAGAAGTGATCAACAGACGCCTATGCCACAGATGGCAACCAAAGGAGGAGGTAAAAGAAGCTTATCCAAGTTGCCAAGGCAGCTTCTTCGTTTTTCTACCAACGCTCTCCCGAGGAAACATGTACGTACACTATACAATTACTCTCTGGGCATGCTGCGTATCTACCGGTCAATTGGTCTTGGTCATCTGATAGACAATGAGGACTACCAGACCCCTGCCACTAGCATTTGCTGTCCCGGTAGCTTACGAAGTGCTGTGTATGTGGTGTAAAATACAATTTATCTCGCAGCACAGCTCTCGGCCAATGGGTCGGGGCTTTCCATATTCTGATTGCGGAGCTGCGAACATAATGACGTCGCGAGGAAGGGCGTTGGAGGCTGTCTTTGCCACCAGGTGTCGGCTTTGCAATGAAGCGGCTTATTTGAGTAATATGTAGTTACTCATCTTACCCGTTTGAATTCTATATCTGTATGTCTTCAACAGCGTCCAAATTGGGGCATGTTGAGAACCATGAATGAAACGAAACGTGACTTGCCAGGTTACACACACTACAGTTGGCAAGTTGGTGACGAGAATCGTGCGTGCCTTCTTTCCTGTAGTAGCGCGTTGCACTAGAGTAAAGATGCGGAGCTCACAAGACGGGGCGCACCGGTCTCTGCTGGCTGTGCTGTGCAGGCTTTGGAAGGTTCGCTGGGCTTGACGGGGCAGGCAGGCATTGAGTTGACTAAAATGTTAAGAAAAGGTACAAACTCGTGCACCTCTCGAATGCCTCAATGCTTGGTACCTACCTGTATCAAGAGAAAAGCCCAACTGCGAATTGGACGATGCGCCCCACTCTGTCAGGGTCCAGCTGTGCCATTTCGTCATCACTCGCCGCCATAAGCTTTCGTGAAAGATGGGATTCCCCTCGTCTCTATTTTCCAGAAAAAAACCGTACGACTTTGTATACCGCCCAGGATTGCCTGTTGGCTAGCACGGAATAAATGAGTGTGTGGGAGGACCCAATTCAATGGCTATAAGTACATTTAAGGTAAATTTGTCAGTCCAGTAACCAGCCACGGATGGCTACAAGCAAGAATATTGCCTGCTTGCCAACTTGCTGCTTGTCAATCAAGGAATTCTGTTGCCAACAACCACTACTTGCTACTAGTGCGATGTAGGTACAGGTGATGAGCAGGTTCGTTGTGAAGACAGACAGATGCTTGTGGGTCAAGTAAGTCAGTCGAGGACTCGACATGAATTGTTCCCACCATGATGAGGCAACGCAGCACCCCAAAGCCGAGCAAGCACCTTGCGCTGACTTTTCCGCCAGCCGAAGGAACCAACTGGCAAGACAAATCAAGACTGGCTTGGGCTGGTCCAGCCCTTCAAGCCCATGCAAAGACTCAAACCAAACTCGGGCCCTTGGTTTCTGTTACGGATTCTCCCCTTGCCAACTCCTCCGTAGCGCGACCACTGGGTGTGGACAGTTGTAGATCTTTGCCTCATCCAAAGGCGACCGCCCGATGTCCCAGAACTCTCTTTGAATTTGCCATCACGAAGGGTCCTTTGCTCCTCGTGCTCGGGGCGTTTTCGAGCATCTCTTCGCGGCAACGCGCACCTTGCATGGCGTCTCTTGCCTCTCTTGCCTCTCTCGCCCCTCCCGTACCTACACTTTCTTGTCAGTAAGTTCACTATACTGAAAGATCAATTCAAGTCAGATTTTATGCTTCTCTCTTTCTCCCACTTCCCTCCAAGCCCTCTCTATCTGCCGGGACGTCTCTAGTTGTAATGTGTAATACGTAGCATCTCAGCCCCATGTCAAACATCCATCCATAGGAAATCCCCAATAAAATCATCACATTAAACCAGCGGTCCTGCTCGCAGGTCTAAAGGATCAAGAAGATACCGCTAAGGCGCTTGCTTGCTATATGGAAAGCACTTGTCCCAGATCAGACGCAGGCCTACTTTTACCTACTGGCATACTTACATTACCTACCACGATCAGCTGCACCTAAACCAGACGAATCGGCTCCGTCCAAGGTCAACCGAACAAACCCCTGGGACCCCGAGTCGAGAAAAAAAAAGACCCTTCATTTCTCCTCACCCCTCATTCCTACTTATCAAGCTGCTTTGATGAATCTTAACTAGACTTCTGGTCATCGCATGCCTCGAGAGCTGGGCTCATCGTCTGCCTATTCCCTGCTTACATTATTTACTGTTCGTACCATCTACTGTTTTTTTTTTTCTGTTTTGTGTCCTTTCCCTCCCCTCCAACTGTTTTTCTCCCTAGGCGTCCAAGCGCGGTTTGTTGTGCTATACGTATAGTGCTAAGTGACGGAGTACCACTATAAAATCCGGGTCACACGAACCAGACTGGGCACTAACCGTACGTCAGTCGCCGCCCCAAACCTTCAACAGCAGCATTTAGCAGCAGCAGCAGCAGCAGCAAATCCTCATATCACCGAAAAAAATAAAATAAAAAAATCTCTCGACCTCGCCTTCCGCCATGTCGGCTTCCTGGGTTTTTTTGTAGTCGCAAAGGGTCATCGCGGCTTTGTACACTCGGAGCCATCGCGCTCGCCTCAACGTCGTTGTCGTCGTCGTCGTTGTCGTCTTCATCGTCTACAACGTTCGAGAGACGTCATTGACCAGCCTATGAAAGCAGACACCCTCGAATCCAATGGCCCCCGAACATAGCAAAAACATTGATCGCAACGCAGCCTCTACGACGCCGCATTACACTATGAAGACCTCTACGAGACCGCAGATGGGCTCGGCTCATTCCTCGCACTCTCTACACCACCCTCGCCTCTCGCAGTCTGGCTCTCAATCACTACGACCCGGCAATAAAACCACAACACCTATGACCTCTCCTCGGATGGCCCATTCTGTTGGCCAGCCGTTTCCTCCTCCAACGAGCAAAATGTCGCCAGTCGTAACAAGTGAGGTTCGGCCTCCTTCGAGTCCCAATTATTTCGGCTTGGCTGTCGAACCGACCGAGGAGCGTGATTCTGCGCAGGCACCTCATAACAACTGGAGTCCGCCGACGTCCTCGGTGAAGTCGTTCGGCGCTGCGATTCCCATGCAGATGCCCTTGGATGCTAATCCCGAGTTTGAGGCCTTCAGACGGCAGGCCGACGCCAATCGGGGCATGAGTTTCCAGCTGGGTTCTTCGCATTTTGCGATGCAACCACCACCTTCGATCTCTAGACCACCACCGGCCCGCCGTTCAACCAACCAGAGTAGCAATCCATTCGATGCCGCCATGGCCAGACCAGTCTTGAATAAAGCAGCCAGCAGTCGAATGGACATTGATACGGACAGTCTTCACGACTCGGCATACGTTTCAGCCGACTCGAAAAGAAATTCCGAGGGCTCATTGAATCCCCCATCATTTTTCGACATGCCGCAACATGAATCCCCACTGCAGACTGATTCTCCTTTCCAACCCGTTCGGAGATCTAACCTTTCCAATGTAGAGGCGGTGCACCCGCAGCTTTCAATGCCCGCGAATAGGACACATTCGCCTCTGAGCAGCACAAAGTCTCGTGCCGAAACCATGCCAGCGACCCTCGAAGGAGGCCCAGGCTTGATTACGCCAGCACAGCTCGAAGTAATCCTTACGACCAAGTCCGAGGATGAGTACCTACTCTTGGATGTGCGGGTTTCCACCCATTATGCACTGTCTAGAATCAAGAATGCGCTCAATCTATGCATTCCCACTACACTCTTGAAAAGGGCCACCTTTGACTTGCAAAAGCTTCAAAAGACTTTGCAATCTGAGGAAGATCAGAACAGGTTGGCTCAGTGGCAAGATGCAAAGTATCTTATCATCTATGATAGTTCATCTGCAGAGAAGCGTGACGCCCACTCTGCCATGAACATGTTCAAGAAATTCTCCAATGAGGGCTATGATGGAAATTCATACTTGCTCAAGGGTGGTTTTGATGCCTTCTCTGCCTCGTTCCCTTCATTGGTAGACCGACGAACACCAGCTGAGCGGGCAGGTGTTACTGCAGGTGGTAGTGATGGACGCCCTTCGTTCGCTCCCGTTATTGGAGGTGTCATGCTTCCAACAGGATCAGATAACCCTAACCCATTCTTTGGCAATATTCGTCAGAACATGGATCTTGCAGACGGAGTCGGCCAGATGGACATTGCGGTTCCATCCAATCTGGATCATGAGACACTGCCTGGCTGGCTCCAGAAGGCAACCACAAAGCAAGACCATGGACACGCTGTTTCCAAGAAATTTCTGGCCATTGAGCGCAGCGAGCAAAGCCGGATGAAAGAAGCATACACGTCCTTTAATTCCACGACAGCGCAAAACCCGAACTCTCAAAAGGTGCAGTTATCGGGTATCGAGAAGGGCGGCAAGAATCGATACAAAGACATCTTACCTTTTGAGCATGCTAGGGTTCGGCTATCGCACAAGTCTGAAGGGGACTGTGATTACATCAATGCTAGCCATATCCGAGCTTCCAGGAGCAATAAGCGCTATATCGCCTCACAGGGACCATTGCCAACCACATACAATGTAAGTTTGCAATTTGCAAATATTTGCCCGTGGCCAGGCAGCTACTAACCGGTACTCAGGATTTCTGGTCCGTCATTTGGGACCAGGACGCCCGTGTCATTGTCATGTTGACAGCCGAGTCGGAAGGAGGAACTTTGAAGTGTCACCCATATTGGAATGGCCATGAATTCGGTGCAATAAAATTAAAACCGCTATCAGAGAAGAAGATCTCGTTAGACATTGACAAACATCGCACAGACTCGAATGCGTCAACTGGCTCCCCTGAACGCAGTCGCCGTCGCGCGAACACCACCACGACTGTGGAGTCCGCGGCCACCAATGCTTCAGCCGCAAAGACCTCGACGTCATCCGAAACGCCATATGTCATCATTCGCAAGTTTGCCATGTCTCATGCGGGTCACCCATTCGCCCCAATTCGAGAGATTACTCAGCTTCATTATCCCTCGTGGCCGGACTTTGGGGCACCAGCACAGCCATCACACCTCCTGGCGTTGGTCGAACTCGCCAACGTTATGCAGCGATCAGCTTTGCCGATTGATGCTAATGCCATCGCGGCCTCTGCGCTCTCTGACAAGGCAGCTCAACTCAACTGGTACGACGAACCAGAGCACCAAACTCAAGCCAGACCCATGGTAGTCCACTGCTCTGCTGGGTGTGGCCGTACTGGAACTTTCTGCACTGTTGACAGTGTAATTGACATGCTCAAGCGGCAGAGAATGGCCGCTTTGACATCGGGCAAAAGAGATATCGATGGCGATATAGACATGCATGAGCCTGTCTCTCCATCGTCCAAGGCAAGGAATGTCCCGAGCGGTGGCAGTCGGCGTGGAGTCTTCAAAATCGGTCTCGACAGAATGCCAAGCAATTCCAGCGTAGAAATTGACTGGCTACGAGATGACTCCCTCGATCTTATCGAGCAAACCGTCGAGGACTTCAGAGGCCAACGACTGAGCATGGTGCAGAGCCTCAGGCAGTTTGTCCTGTGCTACGAGACGGTCTTGGAATGGATCTGGCGTCTACAAGAACGTAGTAACCCTGCAATGACGACCAGGGCCAGGGCGAGAAGCGGGAGCCTCGAACAGCCGATGAGGAAATGAAACAAGGCGCAAAGCAACAAGGACTACGGCGATTACCAGTGTACAACCTCTTGGCTCGTCAGTCAAGCATGAGAAAAGCGCACAATTCGCTTCTTCGGATGGTTGCAAACGCTGGGATCCGGAAGTAGTCTTGCATCGAATTTATTCTTTGATGTATTTCAGGTTATTGGTGCTTCGGGCACTGCGGTTTAGTTCAGTTCGGGTAATGGTACTGCATGGTGAAGAGGTCATGAAACATATTGCATCACGGTTGCGGCATGATATCAATTAATGTTCTAGGCATGGCGTGGACTATAAATACACGGTGCACTTTAGACAGAATCCCCCTGTATTTTTATGATTATTGTTGCAAATGAATGATATAGTAAGCAATTTCGAATGAGGTGCTGGTGATGTGAAATTAAACAAATGGCATTAGTCCAAACAGTCTTTTGACGTTTCTAGTACGACGTGATCTGCGCTTTGCTTCTTCCAATTAATCTTGGAAGTCCAATCGTGTCTGGCGGTCATGTACAGAAAATGAACTTGTATCCGTTTTACTTTTCTCATGTATGAGCACTTCGCCTGTAATCGAGGATCCTGAAAATACAGTCAGGAGTGTTTGCTGAGAAAGACAATTCGACAGAGGACAGAAATACATGGTGCAGTGAAATTTGAATCTCCCCAGGAACCGAGGTACACGAGCCGCTTGCAAACATTCCCTGGACTATTCGAGCAGCACTTGATTGATGTACTACTCTCTTGTTGTCTTTTACTTTTTGGACACAAGCTATGCAAGCTACAATCTTTCATTCGTGAAGGGCATGTTCATTGTGATCTCTCTAGAGTATTTTGGTATGATACACCTTGACGTAGAACTCCCCAATCTGCCTTGTAACAGACATGATTTCAGTCGCCAGAAAGCAGTCATTGAAGCCAAACTCCCAGTCTCCCCACTCCCAAACAAGCATGCAGGCAGATTATTTCCAGAATTTCTGGAGCGAAACCTCCTTGTCGTCGTGCTTGTTCAGAATCTTGGCTGTTGCCAACTCGAAGTCCTCCTGGGTCACGTGGACTCTCCGCTCTCTCAACGCGTACATACCAGCCTCTGTACATACACCCTTGAGTTCGGCACCGGAACAGCCATTCATCTTCTCGGCAATCTTGGTCAGATTGATGCCGCGAGTCAAGTTCATCTTGCGACTGTGGATGCGCAGAATATCGGCACGGGCTTCGACAGATGGCGGCGGGAACTCAATCTTTCGGTCGATACGGCCGGGTCGTAGAAGCGCGGGGTCTAGGATATCAAGACGGTTGGTGGCCATGATAACCTTGATATTCTTGGTAGGCTCGAAACCATCGAGCTGGTTCAGCAGTTCCAACATGGTGCGCTGGACTTCCGAATCACCGCCCGACGATCCCTCTACACGCGAAGAACCAATGGAATCGATTTCGTCCATGAAGATGATGGAGGGTGCATGCTCTCGAGCCATTACGAACAGTTCTCGCACCATTCGAGAACCTTCACCAATATATTTCTGCACAAGCTCGGAACCAGAAACTCTGATGAACTTGCAGTCTGTGTGGTGGGCAACTGCTCTTGCCAGAAGGGTCTTTCCTGTACCGGGCGGGCCGTAAAGCAGGACACCCTTTGGCTGCGCAATGCCCAGGGACTCGAACAGCTCGGGATGCTTCAGACCGAGCTCGATGACTTCCTTGATTTCCTTGATCTGCTGATCCAGACCACCAATCATATCATATGTGCTGTCCGGGACCTTTTCGACCATCATGAGGGAGACGAGGGGGTCGACAGAGGATGGTAGCAGCTTCTCAAGCTTGTACGAGTCGGATAATAGGGTCACTCGTTTGCCAGCGGTGAGCTTTGCTATGTCGACTGATTCGGCAACGTCGACAACTATGAGACGTAGCTGTTAGACTCCTGCATGTATCAATGCGCCACCTAGCGAGAAGAGCTTACCATATTTGCCTTCCGGATGCACCTTCACCAGGACCTTCTTCGTGCCCATGACCTTGACGACCTCACCGACATATGATCCAGGTTGTTGGAGCAGACCGAGCTCCTCGCGCAGTAATCTGACCCTCGAATTGTAGTCATTTCGCTGTGCTTCGAGACGGCGGAGAACGGCTTGGCCCTTGAGGATCTCAAGCTTCATCGCCTCGATCTTGTTTGCATAGTAGCTGTCGAGCGCCATGATTGCTCGCGGCCCCGAGAAATCGGTCGATTGTTTGATGCTCGCTATCGAAATCTGTTTTATCTCGATTCAAGGATTGCTCCGCAATGTCGGTTTGATGGCGCAAGAAGTGGCGGGTCGAGTTTCGTGATAATGGGGGTCGTGGATGATGATGGCAGGTCCAACGTCGGAGCTCTAGGCCATGAGGCTGATGACAAGGCGCCAAAGCCAGGGTGGGTCAGAATAGGTAAGCTGCAGGCAGTTGTAAAGCAACGCGGCTTTCCATCCACCAACCGCGGGCATTCAGAGCTGGCGAGCTGGAGCTTGGTTGCTTGGGGGGGCGCCAATACCTGGTGTCCAGTGTGGGGGGCCTTGTGCTGGGACGGATCACGGCGCTATGAAACTCCGTCTATCAATAATCCTTTCAACAAACCCGCAACCAAAGTTCGACCGCCTTGTCAAGACAGCCCATGTGGAACCTACCTATGTCAAGATGGATGCTTCTTGTCTTACATAGTATCAAAGTGGGAGCAAGTCAAATCTCCAATGACAATACTATGTACAATGCCAGACGTTCCCACTAACATAAGCTACGATCCACTCATTCAAGCTGTTGCCGCCGCTCAACGCTCGTCGCAAGAACCCAACGACTTGTTACACTCGGCAAGCTACCTGGCTACTGTCTACCTCTGATTCAAGTCCTTGCCTTGGTCCTTCATTAGCACCACAGCCGTTGATGGCAGACTTTGACCCCCTCTGGCCATGTCCGTTTATATCGTTGCTTCGTTGGCTTTGTGGAATGTTCGTGGAAACTGCCAGTCCACCAGAGAATGGATCTTATCATTCTGCGATTACATCATACCTGCTCGTTGAATGCCCTGTCTGCGAAATATATCGACATGAATGGTTTGCTAAGGAATATATCGTTTGTTATGCGTGCCGGCCTGGCCGAGCCAGAAAAGATACATTACACATGAATGCCAGGCTGCCACTTGATTGGTGTCACAAAGTCCCTCTACTGTACGAGCGATGCAATCGACTGGCGGCTGACCATCTCTTGTTTTCTTTGTATCCGTAGCAAAGGTGGTACGTAGCGTAGACAGTTAAGGTCTGGTGCCGGATGGGGACCCTGCGATCGATGCTAGAGATCGTGCGCCAAACCGTTCCAGTGCAAGCTTCGACGTTCAGTGAACTCAGTGCGCCATAGGTCCCATATTTCCAGCAGTCCACGGGCGCCGCGAGGCCACTCAAACCCGCTCAATGCCCAACCAAGCATACCCCGGGTGCATCTCCACCAGTGGGCAGCAGCAAGGATGAGAGCCTGTCGCAGCCCATCTTTGCGGTCTGGAGGGCACCCTTGGCACCATTGGCACCACTGGACGATCCGTGATGTGCACCGCTTCTCTCTCCTTCCCTGCCTCCCGTTGCCCGCCTGCACGTCTTTGGTCTTGGTAGTACTAGCAAGAAGCAGGTAGTATGATAAACAATCACGAGGGAGCAAATTGCGCGAATCGAGCTTGCCGTTGCCCGATTCGACATTTGATGTTTGACGTAGAGGGGAGATTTTAGAACTAGAAGGCTAATCGTCTGCTCTGTTTTCTTTTCTCCGCGTTCTTGTTTCTTTGCAGATTCGAGTCCTCTTGCCTCTATCAGACACCTACATTATCTCTCACACTTGCGACATGTATGCAGTGCGCCTGGGTAGTCGTTGATACCTTGGCCCATCCTCCGTCATCCCGCGCCCAAGCTCGCCTGCTTCCTACTTTGTAACTTGTACGTCCTTTGTATTGTTCAGCAGAGAAAGACTCCGCTTCGAGATCTACATCATCTTGCAACCTTCGGACAACTTTTGCCCAAAGCCTCTCTCAACCAGAAGGGCCATCGTTTGGGACCGCTTCGCGCCTCTGCTGTTTGATTTGTGGCTTCTTCACCCGACGGTAAACAAGGCCTCGTTGACGCGCAACTCTTGCGACCCCGTCAAACCCACCGACCTGTCGCAGTCCCACTAGGTTGCTCCGTGGCCGTCCATGTATTGTCGTTCTCATAGTTTCTAAAGCGCATTACCAAGCAAACCATGGACCCGCCATCACAGGACTCAAATGAGTCCAACTCGCAATCTCCAACAGATACTCGTACAACATCCAGTCGTCTGGAACAACGAGATGACAATCTGCTGCCAGAGAGTTATCAGTCCCACGCTACTGTGAGGAGGAGGCCCGATATCACTTATGGTTCGTTGATTTGCATCATCCCCCATCTTTCCTGTCGCGATAAGCTTTACCCGTCGTGAGCTTGATGCTTATACAGACTGCACACAACTAATCAATACACGAATCAGGTACCGTGCAGACTCCTCCACCCACTGGTGCTACTGGCCAATACCTGGGAGATCCCTCTTCTCAAAGCCAAAATGCCCACGAGCGTGCCCTTGGACGAAGCAGTGTCCCTGTCATTCGATCACCCTTGATAGGAACTGGAAGTGGCCGAGGACGTCCCAAGAAGCCCCCAATGCCTCGCCGTGCTTCCTCGAATGTTCAAGCTCCCCACCGTGGAGGGGTCTTCTCGACCGATGATGCAACAGAGGAGATCGAGGTGGAAGCCGCCGAGAGACAGCAAAACTTCCCATCGTCTCGCCCTCAGTCCCAGAAAGACTCTAGGCCAGGATCTACGATACGCCGGCGTACTGGCGTTCCCTCTGCTGCCGCTGCTCCCTCCCTGTCGCGCGTACAATCTAGTGGAAGCGTTGGCGGGGACGATAACAACGGCATGGAGAGTCGACTAGAAGAGGTGGACGAGCAGTCAAACGAAGACCAGGCCGAAGTTAGCGAGGCAGCGAACCAAGATAGCGAGGATACGGTCGATATTGATGACGATGACCTCAGCGATGCCGAGAGTTTTACGCTCAAAGACCGGCAGCAAGCCATCAATGAGACTCATCCTTTCGGTATCAGATTGTGGAAGCCCGCCCTGTACAAGAAGGATCGCTCAGTCCAAAAGACAGCAGAAGGTGACATCCACTCCTCACCTGGAGGTCATGTTAGTAGCTGGCTTCTGTTTTTCAACATCCTCTGGACCTTGATGTTTGGTTGGTGGATGGCCATTTTCGCTGCGCTTGGTGCCGGAGCATGCTTCATTTTTGCTGCTGCGCCGAGTGGCAGGGAATACGGCCGTGTCCTTTGGGGTTTGGCTCGATACCTCTTCTATCCATTCGGTAAGTTTGTTCGTCTCGAGCATGACGAAGCCTACCTGGACGAGGATCAAGGAGAGGGTCGCAGCATCAGCGAGTACGAGCAGTGGCAGAATGGCGATTTGGAATATGGCCGACTCTTCTTTGGCCCAGAAGAGCACGATCCCCAGCGTTCAATTGTAGGACGCTCCAGAAGAAGCATTGACTCTGAACCTGATGAAACAGACAGCTTGCTCGGCCGAGCTACGCGCCAGGTGCACTTGGATGAGCATGGCAGACGCCTTAAGAGGAGACTATTCGGCAGAGGCCAATGGAACATTGGTAGAGTTATATTCTTCATCTTCTTCTACGGCCTGCTCACACCATCCCTGATCATTGTATCCGCCATCTGCTGGTTCTTGGTCTTCTGGATACCCATGGGCAAGGTGACGATGCTCCTATTCGACCATCTCAGGAGACATCCGTTGGCCTTATCCTTTGAGTCGGACAACACCCTCGCTCGTCCCTTGGACATCCCTCACTCCGCGAGCATCCTTCTATGTACATACAGGGCCGTTGGATCCAAGTACTGGAAGTACACCATTGATGGCACCAACATCTTCCTCATCAACCTCATGGCTGTCGTCCTCTTTGTCATCTTCGACTGGCTTGTGCTTGAAGGTGTGCTGCACATGGAGAACTTCCTGACCCACCCTGGGTTTCTCTTCGTCGCTGGCCTTCTGTCCATCATTCCCCTTGCCTACTTCATCGGTCAAGCTGTTGCCTCCATCTCAGCCCAGTCTTCCATGGGTCTTGGCGCGGCTATCAATGCCTTCTTCTCCACTATAGTCGAGGTCTTCCTTTACTGCGTAGCCTTGAACGAAGGAAAGGGAGCATTGGTCGAGGGTAGCATTATCGGCAGTATCTTCGCCGGTGTCCTCTTCCTGCCCGGCCTCTCCATGTGTTTTGGAGCCATCAAGCGCAAGACTCAACGTTTCAATGCAAGATCAGCAGGAGTCACTTCGACTATGCTTTTGTTTGCAGTTGTGGCTGCCTTTGGCCCGACCCTGTTCTATCAGATCTATGGCACACACGAACTGAACTGCTTGAGCTGTACCGACTATCCCGACAACAAATCTGGCAATGCCGAGCGTGATTGTCGACGATGCTATTTCTCTCAGACACCGAATGTGGAGGATCGGTTCTACCTCGAGGCTGTTCGGCCTTTCTGCTACGCAGCGGCGATGTTCTTGTTCTTGTCCTACGTGACTGGATTGTGGTTCACCCTTCGTACTCATGCTGCTGTGATCTGGAATACGGAAGTTGATGAGAAGAAGCACGAAGAAGTACAACACATGGCTCGACTGGCCGAGCAAAACCAAATGGCGGATGCAAGTGGAGCTGATATTAGGGACAGCAATCTCTACAAGCGCATCCTTGGCCAGTCTCTCAAACAAGTCGGCCTCGGCAGCGCTCACCATTCCCGCCGCCCATCAGGCGCTATTCCCCGGAACGGTGCCTTTACCACGGCACACATGGTGCCCCCTAGGATGGACGATGATGGTGCCGATACCGACAGCATTCGCAACAACGTCCACGTGCCAGGATTTACCGAGCAGGAGAACGACAATCTTATCAGGGGCGTAACCGAGCTGGCTGCTACGGCAGCCGCTATCGCAGCCCGTGATGCGAGAAATACCTCACGCAGAATTTCATCCACCACTGGTCACTCGGCCTCGCGGCCCGTCCCAGTGCGTACGGCAACAGCCCCCGACATGGAGGATGCTGGAGAGTCGGGACAAGCTCACGGAGGTCATGATGCACCAAACTGGGGCAGAACGAAGAGTGCCATTATTCTGTGCTCCGCAACAGTTCTGTACGCCATTGTCGCCGAGATTCTGGTCGATACCGTTGATGTTGTCTTGCAAAATTTTTCCATTGACGAGAAGCTTCTGGGTATCACACTCTTTGCGCTGGTTCCAAACACGACTGAGTTCTTGGTATGTTTTCAAATGTTGACACGAGGAAGATCTTATACTAACGTCAGAGTGACAGAATGCTATTTCGTTTGCCATGAATGGGAACATTGCCTTGTCCATGGAGATTGGTTCAGCATACGCACTCCAAGTCTGTTTGCTTCAGATCCCGGCACTGGTGTTTTTCTCAGCAGTTTGGCCAAAGGAAGCCGGAGAGGGCATTGACCTGGCAAAGTTCACATTCACTCTCCTGTTCCCACAATGGGACATGGTAATGGTCATTCTCTGCGTGTTCCTGCTCAGCTACATGTATGGCGAAGGCAAGAGCAACTACTTCAAGGGCAGCATTCTCATCATGACGTATCTGGTCGTCATTATTGGCTTCTACTTTTCCGGCATTACAGACGAGGTACAGATGGGAATGAATCGCTTCGACACCTTCAACGCAGCCGAAGGAGCGTGGACAAGTTATAAAACGATCGGACAGAGTAGCAAGGGCGCGGCGTACTAACAACCTTTCTGGATGTGTCCATGTCTACATCTTGGTATGAATTGACGACACGACCAGCGAAGTTGTTTTCCTATGTTTTGTTTCTCTACATAAAACAAGTCAAGCATTGTTTCATTCCTCACTACTCTCCTGCATGGCTATGGTTTTTGTAGATTGTCGGGCACTCCTAAGAAGCATGGTTCGGTCGGGTATTTGTTTTTCTACAAGGCGGGCTGATGAATAGATGTGCCTGTTTCGCGTGTAATGATTTGATTTGCTCCAAGTGATTTTCATGATCTAGGTTTGGGTTCCGTTCCTCGACGCTCGTCACCAAACCACCTGGCCAAGAGTGAGGCGGACTTGAAAGAAAGAAAGATTGGTAATACGTACGTAACAGCAGCCGGTTATTGACTGGTAGAATGCACATTCGTTTCTTCAAGTGGATATCTCACGTTGGGTTTTCCGTGACCAGCCATCTGAATATCTGGTACATATTGCGAAAAAAAGACGTAAAGGTTTCCTACTGAAAAGAAAATAAAGTGGGTTTGCACTCAAGAGTGGAGCACTGACAGGCACCCGTACGCGGTCGCGTCGTGTATTTTATTGACCGCCCGGATTCTGCCATTTTTTTTCGCCCACCGCCCGGCAGAACCCAAATCAACCAGCCTAGCCCGCCCAACCTGCCCCACACAATTTATCTATAAAGGTCTGCCTTGGCCCCCTTCCTTTCCTCTTCTTTTTCTTTTCTTCTTCATGTCGACAATACTTCATGTGAGTAACCCCCCACATTGGGCTCAACACCCGCGCATCATAACCACTTGAGCATCGCGCTGACTTCCCCCCCCTTTTACAGAGAATCATTTCTATAGTAGTCGTCCCTAGCTCTTGATTTCTTAATCAAGCTGCAGAACCTACGCCAGTTGATGATCAAAATCCTCGCCTTCCAAGAGTGAATATCTAACTCTATGGCATGCCTCTGGCTGCCGTTTGCTCTCGACCTGCCCGAAAGGGTGGCGGTCTTCCTTTTGGATGACTGTATAGAGAGTGGTGATGATCTCAACCCCGATTCGTGGTTCTTGTCCTTGTTGACTGGCCGCCGGGGTGGATGTGTGAGGACGTCTGATGGTCGTATTTTTCATCTTTTTCGTTGATGCAAGAGCTTGTCTCTGGCTTTGAGGAAGAAGTTTTCGTGATGCGCATGCAGTTTGATTCGCGTATGCATCGGAATATCGAATGCGCCACACCGTACGAATAGTAGCATCTTTGTGATAAGCTTGAACTCGATGATGTGTAAGCCTGCAATGGGAAGACAACAGGGTTCCGGCGTTGAAGCCATCGTGGGTTTGCAAATTTTTCCCATGTTGCTAGGTTGAATAATTAACATGAAATCATCTATTTATTCTTCTACCTTTCGCAATACAATCCCTCACGCCGTATCCAGTCCGCCACACCACTGCTCACGAGCTGTCCTAACCCGTCCCAGTTTTCGCTCTGCACCGCATCGCGCACCTTGGTACTGCTAATGACGGGAGCAGCATTTTGTCTGCTGTCACCGCCGCCCTCGACCAGGTCAACTCTGTCCGCCCACTCCCTCCGTCCACCCGCCGCCTCGAGCCTACCACTCTTGAGGTCGTCCAGGTACGCCCGCTGCTCGGCCGCGCCGCCCCAATCCGCGTCTGGGCGCATCGTGACGCGCAGCCGTGCCCGCGCCAGAAAAGGGTCCAGCACCCTTCGCATCGAGTTGTCGGGGTAGTATTTGCCGTCAAAAATGCGTATCAGGGTGTCGAAGCCAGTGAGGTAGACCTGCTCCATCGCAGCCGTCTGCCCAGGCGGCGACGGCGAGGATGAAGTTGATGAAGATGAAGAGAAGAATGGATCGGCCGCAATAGCACCGCTCTTGGAATGAAAATACGGCTCTGTGGTGACTGCTAGATCAATCTCGACGCCTCGGCTGCCGGCAGAAGAAGGCGTCATTGTCGTGGCATTGTGAAGATCGTCCTCGTCCTTCCCCACCTCTCGCAAGGCTGAGAGCAGGTCCATTGCAAAAACGTACATCATGGCCAATCTCTGCGGGAACGCCGCGGGCTTGGGCGCCTTGTCAGCATTATTAATGGCGAGGAGGAGGAGCACGCGCGATTTCGACGTTGCTAATTGTTCCTCCTGTTCTTCCTCCCCTCTCCCTTCTCTGAATCCCTCCCGCTGCTGCTGCTGCTGCTGAAGCGCCGATAAGGCCATGGCCTGGTGCGCCAGCGTCGGCGGGTTAAAGGACGAGTCCAGGACCAGGAGCGTTCGGGGAGGGCCATGTTGGGGCGGGCGGGCAGCCGGCTCCGACTCCGACGATGCGGCAGACTCGTCGAGGCTCGGCGGCAGGGTACATAGCACCTTGAAGTTGGACTTGGAAAGCTGGAAGGCTTTGAGGGCCCTAGTGAAGAAAGGAACCACGTTGGGCGGTAATTGTTGTCCCATTGTGAGATTTGCCCCAAAAGCGCCCATGCTATGACTTGATGCCCCTTTCAACTGTAGGTATCATGAGTTGGCAAAGGTCCTAGTGAGATGAGGAGCGATATGCTGAGGTGCGAGGTGATGTGAGAGGTGTTGACAATGTCTGGAGTGAAGTTTCCTACCGACGGTACATTAGATAAAGGCATCTTCGGCGCGGGACCTCGGCCCCACTGTCATCATGATCAACCTCCCAGTCCTCAACAATCAATGTAGTTCAACCCGAGACCAAAACGGGTCAGCAGTAATCAATTTTGTAATACCATTCACACCATTCTGAATAATCATTTTTCTGTGGGTCGTACCGACGAGATACCGACACTGTAGTCATGTCAAAGATTCTCTCTTGCCCTCCTCGTCTGTTTGGGGTATAAAGTCTCTACAGGCGACATTCCATGCAACTCCGATCGCTGTTCATTCAGTCATAAATGCCAAACCCGTTATGCATTCTAGCCATGTTCGTGCTGAAGATCAGCGAATTTCTGGCTCTCTCATAAAATCCGGAATGCTCAAACCTCCATCGCCAGGTGTAAAGGGCCTGAGTGTCAAGTTTCGAGTTTGACGGCCGGCCTCGGTCTTGCGCCTCTCTTTTTCATCATAATAGTCAATGGCATCCACAATGTCCTCCAATGCGTTGTTCTCCGCCGTATCCGCATTGTCGTCAAGGGCGTAGACCTTGATACCACGTAGGTGTGTATCTTTTCCATTCTGATGATTCTCCAGGATAATGACACGCACGAACCAACAGCAGAGCGAGTTGCCATCGGCACCACCACCAGCTCCGGCTATGGGCACATCGATCCAGCCTTTAGGCATTGCAAGCTCCATTGTCGTGAACGGTATTGTCAGATTGGGGCCGAATCCAGCCGTGATTTGTATCTTTGTTGGTGTGTAGCTCTCGTCAAGCTCATAGTCGAGGTAAAGTCGCAAGGCACGGATCTCTACACGCTTGATGAAGTGGATGTTGAGACGATGGGGTTGTGGTCCATCTGACCTAGAGACTTTCGATCAGTAACCCACGTTTACCTGGCTGGGAATATCAAACCTACTGCCAAAAGAGATGAATGTCATCATCCCGAAGCTCTTTCACGCCGCATCCTGGCTTGTAGCTGCTGACGGTGAAACTAGCCAGATTACTGATCTCCTTCAAGCCGACCGAAGCAGGATCAAAGGGCGGCTCTTCTTCCTGACCATGCTCTTCCACACCCGTGTCGCCATCTTCATCACCGGTAATGTCGGCGTCTTCATCGTTTTCTTCTTCGACGTCATCGTCAAAATCCACAACGCTCGCTATCTCCGTTTCAGCTTCAGAATCATCCATCATATCATTATCATTATCATCGTCAGAAGCACCGGGGGGAAGGGGGAAGAATTCCTGGGGGCCTCCGTTTTCCTGATTGTCGTGCGCAAAGTAGCGGGTAAAGTGACGGTGTGATGCTTCTAGGAGGTCGCTGCCGCCTTCTTCTAGGACCTCAACGCCCTCGAGTTCCCTGGGACTCGGTCCATTGCGCGGCGGTGTTGTTCTCCTTTGAGGGGGCAGCCACGACCAATTGTGCTGCATTTTGTATTACTTGCAAGAGTGAAATGTGCATGTGGGAAGGGGAAGGGCGTCCAAGGCAAGAAGAAGGTACAAAATCCAAACTTTTAGTCTTGGCTGGACTCGAGAAGGAATAACTGGGCATGTGTGAAATGAGGCCTCGTGTTTTCTGTGTGAATGCAATGGGTATGAAACGAGCCCCAACACAAATCAACAAACGGAGGAGAGAAATTTTACCTCGAAACAGCAGGAGAAAAAGTGCATTGCGTACTACTGACCTTGAAGCGTTTGAGACCACTGACCGTCAGTTTGGTCATTGTCCTCAACAGCGTCCTGAGCATCCCAAGGTCCATCAGGAAGCTGTCGCCCTGATTGACCTCTAAACAGCTGCACACGATCGATACCGCCCGCCCGTTCATTCATAGTGACAAGGCGTGTCGCGACAACGGCCAGCGTGATTTGTAGCGAGCGAACAATTGTTTTCTCTGGGTCTAGCTGGCCGACCAGAGGACACGGAGACGGCGCGAGTATCCTTCTCGTGAAGATATCAAAGCCTTTTGTAATAATCAAAACAGATTACCGCATTCGAAGCTAGCGCCAAGGGGTGTGAGTGAAGGTCATACACAATGAATGGGACCACCACTCAAAACCCGTTGTGACAATGCAAAAAAGGATACTGTGAATCGCTGCAAGCTTCAAGAATCGTTTTTGCAAAGAGAGAAAGACAGCTAGACCTAGGTAGGTTCTGATCGCCTGCTATCCCTCAATTGTAAAGATTGCTCGGTAGTGTCGAGATGGAAAGATGAAGGTTGCTCAATAATATTTACATCTAAATGGTCAAGATTGAGCCAGTCCTATGACTGGGGGGTGACTAGGATCTTTAGTATATTCATTAAAGGAAGTTATTCATTAATCAGGCTAATCTCCCTGCAACTTGAGTGGGTAGGATCGGCATGCCACGCGATTGGTGCACCCGGTAGCACATCACCTATTGGTACCTTGGGCACAGTAATAGTAGTAGTCTTGTTTTTCTTATTTCTTTTCTATAATCGCGTTCATCCTTGGTCATCTGAATTTGTGATATATCTATCTAGTTTTGCATCTATGCATTCCTTTCTTTCTTTCGGTTAGAAGCGCAGGTCAATTGTCATTCCGATGTTATGAAATTGATGTAATATACAATTGCTTGCAAGAAGGTCTTTCAGACACAAAACGGTCGCTCTATGAGCCGTCCAGTGACTACACATGAATATAACCCAAGAACATCAAACAATTGCGGGTACTAACTTTTCTCTTTTTTTTTTAAAAAAAAAAAAAACATACCTAATGATACGGCCAAATAAGACAAATGCTTGATTGATACGCAGAGGCAGAGTTTCTAAAACGGCGAACAGCACTCTGATCATCGGCCTGACTTTAGGGCCGGCCCGAGATTGGCGCAGAGCAAAGGGGCCCCCAAAAAAATCCATGGGCAAAACCAAGAAACATACGATTACTACCTACATGCGCGACATGGTCCCTTTCTAGTTAAGCGAGTCTCATCCCAGAGGAACATTGTTTCGGTGAGCAGCTTCACTTTCTCTCCGCGCTTTCATTTCAATGAGGGCCGTGGATGGCTCGCAATGGATGCCATTGGTCGCTTCGCTCTTTGGCGGACTTGCGCCCGTAGGTCTGCTGCTAAGAATGGTGGTGGTATCATCAAGAAGAACCAGAGGGGAAATGCTACATTGATCACGAGCGCCCGGCATGGACACCCCCAGCATGGAGGCCCTGCAAAACAGCAGCAGCAGCAGCAGCAGCCTCGTCATGTGTCTCTGATCGTAACTGGAACGAACCAGCAGCAGCAGTGGCAGCAGTCCTACCGTGCCTTCGCATCATCATCATCCTCCCCCAATAATGTAATAAGCGCCCAGGCGCGTCTGCGTCCCTTCGACAGGGAAAGCGTCTACTCCCGGTTTAAGCTTCGGGCACCTGCCAATTCGATATTCGGGGCCCGCCGCCGCAAACAACAACCCCACTCGCCGTTACTGCGTTTTATTATATCCAGGACCTTTTCCTCTACATCTTCGACTCGTTGCTCGTGCATCATTCCCTCATCCATCATGGCCGACAGAGACACGCTGCCCGAGAATGTCAAGCCTTCTCACTACAGCTTGTCCATCTCCTCCCTCGAGTTCAAGGACTGGACATACCAGGGCAAGGTGACGTAAGTGCATGCATGCCGCTCTATTAGAACACACCAACCGTCCATCCGTTCCCCTCCAAGGCCCACGTCAGAATAAATGCTTTCCTCCCCCGAGAGCGTCATCTATCTCCTTGATGCCGCTTGCTCGCTTTCTCTCAAGACCCGGTTGGGATGAAGAGCGCCGTATATGGCAGAAATGTTTTTTTCTCTCTCTCTTAAAAACGCACACAAGTCCGATTGCATCTGCGAATTCACCCTCGTTGCAATTCCCCGAAGATCCATGAGTTGCGGGTCGTGTTATTCTGACCAAGTCGCAGCATCGATGTACAAATTGCGGAACCCACCAAGGACATCATCATCAATGCCATTGAGCTCAAGCTGGCTTCTGCCAAGCTGACTCTCTCTCAGAACAAGGGCACACAGGAATTCTCCACCGCCAACTTTGCCTACAATGAGAGACAGCAACGTGCCACCCTCGCCTTTGCCGAGGAGATCCCGGCTTCACAAAAGGCACACCTGGAAATTGAATTCGAGGGCATCCTGAACCATGACATGGCAGGATTCTACCGAAGCCAGTACAAGCCCGTGGTTCCAGCTGCAAAGTCTGTCCCCCGCGATGACGATTTTCACTACATGTTCAGCACTCAGTTTGAGTCATGTGACGCACGACGGGCATTCCCTTGTTTCGACGAGCCCAGGCTCAAGTCCACCTTTGACTTTGAGATTGAGGTACCCGACGACCAGGTGGCTTTATCCAACATGCCGGTCAAGAGCACGACTCCATCAGGCGAGGGCCGTCATGTCGTGGCCTTTGAGCGCACTCCCGTCATGAGCACCTATCTTCTGGCCTGGGCTGTTGGCGACTTTGAATATATAGAGGCTCTGACAGACCGTCGGTACAATGGCAAGCAAATCCCAGTCCGGGTTTACACCACCCGCGGACTCAAGGAGCAGGGCCGGTGGGCGCTCGAGCACGCTCCCAAGACCATTGACCTCTTCTCTGAGAGCTTTGGTATCGACTATCCTCTTCCCAAGTCGGATCTTCTCGCTGTTCACGAATTTACCCACGGCGCCATGGAGAACTGGGGTCTTGTCACCTACAGGACGACCGCTGTCCTTTTCGATCCCAAGACCTCGGATGCTCAGTTTAAGAGACGCATTGCGTATGTTGTCGCTCACGAACTCGCTCACCAATGGTTTGGCAATCTCGTGACAATGGACTGGTGGGATGAGCTTTGGCTGAACGAATCATTCGCCACCTGGGCTGGCTGGTATGCTATCGACAAATTCCATCCGGACTGGCAGGTCTGGCCACATTTCCTTAATGACGGCACAGAGCTTGCATTCAACCTGGACTCTTTGCGCTCCTCGCACCCAGTCCATGTACCTGTTAGGGACGCCCTCGACGTGAACCAGATCTTTGACCACATCAGCTACCTCAAGGGCTGCTCAGTCCTACGAATGCTGGTCAACCACCTGGGCGTTGAAAAATTCCTCAAAGGCGTTTCCATTTACCTGAGCAAGCACACTTATGGCAACGCAAAGACCGAAGCTCTATGGGATGGTCTGAGAGAGGCATCTGGTGCAGATATTGACTCGCTCATGAGCACCTGGATCAAGAAAATCGGATTCCCAGTATTGACTGTTGCCGAAGAGCCTGGCCAGATCACTGTCAAGCAATCCCGCTTCCTTGCAACTGGTGATGTGAAACCCGAGGAAGATGAGACTGTTTGGTGGGTGCCATTGGGCTTCCAAGGCAAGGTGGGCACCAGTGAGGTGCAGACCCTCGCCTTGACTGCCAAGGAGGACACTATTCGCGACATCGACAATGACTTTTACAAGCTCAACGATAACGGCACTGGTTTTTACCGGACCAATTATCCACCCGAGCGCCTGGCAAAACTTGGCTCCCAACTTGACAGGTTGAGCGTCGACGACAGGGCTTCAACCATTGGATCTGCCGCTGCCGTTGCCAAAGCTGGGTATGGCACAACGCCGGCCCTACTGTCGTTCCTAGAGGGTTTCTCTCATGAGTCAAGCCAGATAGTCTGGGAAACAGCTCTAGATTCTGTCAGCTTTGTCAAGGCTGTCTTCGGCGATGATGAGGCCATAAACACTGGCCTAGAGAACTTCACCCTTAAACTCATCAACCACACAATTGAGAAGGTTGGCTGGGAGGAAGGACCAGACGAAGGTTTCCTCACCAGTCTTTTGCGCAAGAAGATACTTCTCACCGCAGCTGCCAACAACCATTCAGAGTAAGTACCGATGAAACAGATGTCAATTCTTTTGCAGTGCGTATAATGAGCCTAACCTTGCACGCCAGGACACTCGAGAAGGGCCAGCAATTGTTTGGAGCTTGGAATAAGGATGGAGCCGAGCTGAACCCAAATCTGCGTTCTGTCATCTACCGTGCCGGTGTCAAGGCAGACCCCACGGCAGCCTTTGACGCCCTGAAGAGGGAATGGGAGACTACCACATCTCCCGACGGTAAAGATTTTGCACTTTCTGCGATTGGACATATTCGTGACACGGAGTTGATCAACAACAAGATTCTCCCCTTCCTCTTCAACACCACCTCGGATTCTGTTCCGTCTGGTGACATGCACGCCCTGGGATCCGTGCTTTCAACCAATTCAGTTGCTCGCCCGCTGCTGTGGAAATATCTTCAAGACAACTGGGGAAAGGCCACTGAAAAGATGGCAAACCCTGTCATTCTCGACCGATTTGTTCGCCTCACGTTGGGCAAGTTCACCGAGTCAAAGTACTTGGATGAAATTGATGAGTTCTTCAAGGACAAGGACACGGCTAGCTTCAATCGGACCTTGGAGCAGGTCAAGGACAATGTACGCGGACGTGTAACATACCGCGAGCGGGACACTGCAACCATCAAGGAATGGCTTGAAGCAAACAAGTACATTTCCTGATACCCAAGTTGCCCGGCGCTCAAAAGCCCAATCTCAAACTTTGGGAAAGGGCTGTATTACTGAGATTCAAGGTGAATATATTAGCATCGAAGCCAAAAGAGAAGGAGGCAAGGCGAAAGTTTTCGCAGCTTCAAAGCCTGAATGGGCTTGTAGTCGAAACATGTTTATCATATTCAATAGCATTGATATAACGAGATTAGCCAGCCAGAAGATATACCTTCTCTCCAGTAATGTTATAAGTTAATATCTGTGTTATATGGCCATAGTTTCAAAGGTCTCTCGGAGGCCTTTTATGTGAATATGATGTAAAAATGTACTCAAAAATGTGAAAGAGGCTGATTCAAATACAACTTGGTGAGAAACCAGTGAGCATTATGGAAGAGAATGTAAAAATTGAAATTGGAATGTGTTAACTCTGTTCTAATTAAATTTGCGAGGACGAGAGAGACAAAAAGTTTGAAGCGTTGATTCTTAAAAAAAGGCCATCGTTTTCAACCACTGAGTCTTGAATCGTCCCCAATATCCTCAACCTCATATGCATTTCTAATTTATCGCCATTACGCATTTTGCATTTGTGTGTACTACTTCGGAAATCGAATACGGCACTGGGCATCATGCTGACTTTTCGAGATATATTGAACAGACTGCTGAGTATCAGTTTCAAGACACAAGAATACCCATAGCGCAAAACGGGAACATTAATTATCCCTTTATTCCCCCCCCTTCATCATTACACGGTTAGCAAAAGCAGAAGAGCGAATTTGTTTCTGTTTGTGTTCATGACTCGTTTTTTTCTTATTCCGTTTTAGGGCCTCATTTCCCCAAATGCAAGTAGACTTTTTATACATGATCCTTTCTCCTAGGCCGTGTACGCCTGGGAATCATGGGGAAGCCAACGCCAATACAGATGCCAAATCTAGTGCTGCAGAAAAATCAAAGGCTGGCCAAGATGCATGTCTCCCCTCCATTATTTCCCTAAACCCTAGAAGTCATCAAGAGGCTCCCACGAGGTAGGTGATGTACAGAACCGCCGGGTTGGGTCAGTAAGCCTCAGTCGTAAATCCATGCGCTCATTCCTCCGTCGAAGCCGACCGTACATAGGCTGTTCTGCTGTTTCGGTGACCATGGGCGAATGAATGCGTCTCTACGACTCTCCGCCACGTCGAGCGCCACGGTTGCCAAAGTTACCGCGGCCCTGACCGCGACCTCTGCCACGGCCGTCGCCACGACCGCGTCCACGGTAACCATCACCTCTGCCTCGACCGCGGTGACCATTGTTGTCACCCTGGCCGCGAGGTCGGTTGCGCTGGACAGACTGGAATCCATCGTCGGCTTGGGCAGGGGCCTGCTTTGTGAGTTAGCATTGCTTGCAAAGAAAGTTGATCTGATGGGGCACACGAACCTCGGTGGCATGCTCGGGCTGGTCGTCAGCCCAGGACTGAACAGGTCCAGTAGCGGCAGGCGTAGCTTCAAGACCAGTCTCCGTCTCGGCAGGGTCACGGGGAACCTTAACCCAGTCCTCCTGTGTAACCGAGGCGCTCAAATCGTTACTGGCAGGGTCCCACTGAGATTCAGCGGCAGCATTGGCGGCCTCATCGCCAACATTGGCGCTGGCGGGGATACCCGAGGCTGAAGTCGGCTCAGCATGTCCGTTTGTGGGCGCAACAGAGGTATTGACGGTGTCGATCTCGGTCAAGCCAGCATAGGCAATGGTAGGGTCGGTCTCGATCGATGTGGACTGGGCAGGGGCTGACTCTACTGCCTCAGGTACAGCATTGGCCTCAGTCTCGGCCTCAGTCTCGGCCTCAACGGCGAACGTCTTGGCGTGGGTTGTAGAAGCCTCCTTGACTTGGGCAACTGTGATTGGAAGTAATGATGAGCAAGCGTACGCGGAATGGTGCCATTTTGAAACTCACAAGTGGTCTGAAGCTCATCACCACTGACGCTTCGGGTCTTCTCTTCCGAGCCCTCAATGAGCTTGAGCATGGTGGAGACAGCGTTCTCGTCACCAGAGTAGACATTCAGAAGAACGCCCTCCAAGGCCATGTTCTCGTCCAGGCCTGCGTCGGCATCCTCCGATCGCCGAGCGGCTGCCAGTCGTAGAAATTGCGAAAGGACAAGTAGGCCATCATGCTGGGCCTTTTGGATATCGGCAGCGGCCTTGGCAGTAACAGCAACCAAAGCATCGGCCTTCTCCTTCTCCAGCTTCTCAGTAAGCTCCTTCTCAAGCTTGGCCTTGTCAGCGGCACCACGAGATCGGTATTCCTCGTCCACCTTCTTGTACTGTGCAACTTGCTCCTCGAGCTGAGCGAGCTGGGACTCAAGTTGCGGCTTCTTGGAGATCTGGCTCTTCTGGTCGGGGTTGATGATCTTGGCAGCGACAAGCTCGTCGAGAGATTTGCCCTTGTACTGGCTAATCAAGTCGACGGTCTTGTTGACATTGCTCTGAGGAATATGTTAATACTGATCATAGCCGAAGGAAGACAACATAATATACTGAGAACGACTTACAATCTTCTTGGCGACATTGCGAATGTTCCTACGCGAATATGTTAATAAGGTATATTAAGCAAAGGATTGGGAGTCACTGAAGAGCTTACTTCTGGAGCTCCTTGACGTAGGGACTCTCAGCAGCATCGTCACCAGAGACTGAAGCAGCCTTCTCGGGAGCGGGAGAAGCTGTTGGGGCGGGTGAGTCGGTGCGCTGCTGCTCAGCCTTGGCCTTCTTCTTCTTTGCAGACTTGGACTCTGTCGGCGCCGGAGGGTTCTGGACAGCAGCAAGAGGCATGGCGGCGATTGTGGTGACTAGGTTCACGTGGGGGGTTTGACGAGGAAAGACTGAGATAATTGTTAGCAACGATGGCAGCAGAGGGGGAAAAAAAAGCAGACGTTGGGAAAGAAGCTGGTGTTTACTTTCTGTTTGCTCCGAGTTCAGACGAGCAACTGCAGATGATTGCCTGCGGTTCGGAATTGTGGAAACAGAAGTTCTGCTTTGTAGGAGATGAATGTGAAAATAACAAATGTCGAGTGTCTTTTTTGGAGATTGTAGGTTTCGAAGCTGAGAATCAGCGGGCGTAGATAGGTAGGAGTGCGTATTCGAATCTGGGTTGCGAGAAGAGAATCGAGTGTTGATGTGACGGCAGGGTCCAAAATTCGAGGCCAGGTCAGGTAGGTAGGTCACTTTAGGTCACTGCATAGGTCGAGGTAGCTGGTAGGTAGGTAGGCCTAGCTGTGTTGCTTGGCCCACTAGGAACCCCGAGCTACCTAGTCGTGTGCTCACGGTCGGGTTTTTGATAATCCCTGCAGCTAAGCTCCTGTGCAAGGAACTGTAAAGAATTCTGGGGAAGCAGCCGGTCTTGGCATTAGATCAAACAAACGGCGGCACAGTGGACACGATAGATAGCGAGATGGTTTTGGTTTGGGATTTTTGGTTTTACGCATGCTCATAGCAGAGCGCCTCAGCCTCGTCACCGGGTATATCTGTCTCATTGCTCATCACTACATTATCTACCAATTCAATTGATACCACACGGACAATATACAACTGGTTGTGGTCTCGTGCTCGTTTGCGCTCTTGTTCTCTGTGGCCCTCCCAATGTGGACTCTCGTTCGAGAACGACAGTATTCCACCAAAGCTGTCTAGGCTGAGAGAGGATCCACCAACGCGATAGCTTTAAGCTTGACGCGTCCTCGAGTATTCTTTAATGATGGTCTGGCGATGCCGTGCAACCAAGTTTCCATTCTTCCCAAGTCTCTCATGTCGGTCGGGTATTCTTGTTGCGCCACGAATAAACTGAGGCAACAATCTGGGAAATAATCGAGCGGCATATTCTGGCCAGAATATTTCCTATGCCTCACAGATCGACTATGACTTGAGATATGGCCATGTCTCCCAATGAGGGCGGATGTGACAAAAGATTAGACTCTGCATAGATAGATGGCAGACTGAGAGCTGAAATCAATGCCAGATCTTCATCCCTTGAACTTGGATAGCGTATCCTGCACACGGAATGTCAACAGTCGTGATGGAAAAACAGTAGTGTTGGGTCACATACAGCCGTCACCTTCTTGACGCTCTTCGCGCTGATGCCTCGCTCGCCTGCTTGCTTGGAGTCGATAGCAGCCTCTTTCACGAGCCTGTCGACAAGTCAGATGGGGCATCCAGAGTGACAAAAATGCGCCTCGAGGTTCATCTCACGTCTGCATGAAGAGGACATAGTCGAGAAATATCTGTCATTGGATGGAGTGAGCAACGCGTCTGTAAGCGCGATTGGGAAGGGGTTTGCTTCGCACCATGACATCAACATTCTTGCTAAGGTTGCATTTCGACTGTGCCTTGACAATCTTCTTGACTGTCGCCCGAGGGTACAATTTTTGACCAGGAGCCATTGCAATTGTGACGGCCCGTTGATGTCGAGAGTGTTTACCTATATAGTTGGCTGCGGTTTTCGTTGTGTATGTACCTATGTAGTGCAAATAAAATAATGAACATTGAATTCGAGGATGAGTCGCGCATGGCCCCACATTGCAGCCTTATTAAACCCCACGCACCGCTACTACACTATTATCCTCCTGTATTTCGGATGGGGGTCAGGGACTGTCTGCACATCAACTACAGCTCTTTAGCAGGCTGCCCATAAATGCTTGAATTACTAATTATACATGATAATCTGGAATTTTAATGTAAGTCATTCGTGGGTCAATGGCAGAGTAGCTGGCGGCGCAATACAAAAAAAATATGAAATCATTCAGGTACATAACCATTAATGCTAATTCTGCAGATCAATGTGCTCGCCAGTATCCAATCCTTCATGTGATTTACCGAACGATGCATTTTTACGCATAATACTGCAAAGGCACTACCAATCACTGGGCCTCGGAGATTCGCACAAGACTTGTTGCCGACATATTACTGTAGGTGTAGCATTTCTACTATGCTTGTTCCAGTGTACAGGAATTTCAGTGTATCAAAACCACGAAAAGAAAAAGGAGCCTTGCTCTCCCGAGTATACAATATAGTCTATTTATAGACAGTTAATCACTATCACAGATGGCCGCCCTCGACCAAAAAAAAGAAAATACCTTCTGATGGCGCCGAGTTGGATTCCCGTATCTAATTGACTATTTCCCTTGTGCATGTAGTGTCGTCCTTCATGTCTGGCAACTCGATCCTCAATATGGTATTGATACTCCTGTTGCTATCTCTTAACCAAGGCTGGAAACCTCAAGCAGAAGAAACTGAAAGTTTATCCGCTTCTCAGGACCACCCACAAAAGAAAGCACACCGCACTGACGAGGGAGTGACGACATGCATCATCAAAGTCTCTGTACGAGCGGACGTAAACTTTGACCTGCATAGCGAGGTCCTACGAACTATAACACGGAGTAAGATTGCCATGTGCTCAGATGTGTACTGTGGGTTGGGGGTGCCAGAGCATCAGCATGATAACCGAATACCAGGAAATCTAATCAAAGCATGCGAACGCAGGCCTGTTGGTGCAAGGAATGAACACTAAATGTAAGAATCCCCAACCTGAGCTCATCATACTGGTTTACATAGGTAAAAATACCTACATGTAATGTATGTACGTAGGTATGATGTCCCATAAGTGCAGCTAAGTACCTAGACATTGATTGAGGTGTTCGACAAATATTGATTGTGTCGAGGTCAACGGCAAACAAATATCTCTGATCTATTGATTTACCCAATGAAGTAATTGGTTTCGACATTCTGGCGAGGAATCGGCATGAAAATTGTATCTTTTACTTCTTGGGAATTGATTCGATGGTTGCTTCGACTACCTCCTTGTACCTGTCTGGTGCTGTTAAATACTAACCTAGGGAACTTCAATACCTACATTCATCAAATATGTATGGCTTTCCCATGGTACCTATGTACATTTGGTTGTATCAGTCTCTAACTGCCTGCCTGCTTGCCTGGCTACATACTTGGTTTACATCAAAGTACCTGCCTCTTGCCCGTCTAGACCAGAGCACTCCGCACTTGACCAGAGAAAATCGAACCATATTGGTCCCATGTCCTGATGCAATCTGAGCCTACCAAAAAGTCCAACCATCAAACCAACTCCCAAGTTCTTCCACTCACATTCTCTTGCCATCACCAGCCAGGATTTTCTGGAATCGCAACACCCTTTTGAAGAGTGAAATCGCAAACTGCATCTACTTGCGCTTTCCACAGCCGCCATTGGTTGTTTTTTTTTTTTTTTTTTTTTTTTGCCTTCGCCCACCAATAGCCGCGACAATTTTCGTTCTCTCTACCTACCTATGTAATGGTACATGCGATATTCATCCATCGAAGTTCGCCGCTCAACTTCCCCCCCATTAAAATCTACGCTGCACGTCACCCAACTCCCCAGTCACGCCCCTACATTATCTAGCGCTGGGCAAATCTATCATCCACCCACCAAGCCGAATCGGTCCCGCAGTTAAGCCGATCGTTCACCTCACTGACTGCCCCCGTTCGATTCACTGCCAAAGAAGTTCCCCAGCTGCTGCTTGCTGCTGCCGCTGCTACTTCCATTTTACCACTGTCGCCCTCTCCTCCTGCCTCGCCTGCAGCGCAGCACCAACCATTGCCATTATTCCCGTCTCGTCTCAGCCACCCCTTCCAAACTCCAGTTGGCTGCGCGACACAGCAGATCGCATTTCTTCCCAGCGACTTCCGACTGGCGCGATCTACCAAATGATTGCATCGTCGGATGGCCAAGCCTTTCTCCATTGATCGCATGTAGCCGCCGTCCAAAATGTCGGCCGAAGCGACCGCCGCACCGGCGCCTGAGCACGCTGCTGTTCAGCTCGATGTCGTCGCAACTGAGCCACCGCATGCTAAAAGCTCCTCCCCCAAACCCACCATGGGCCTGCACTCGCCACCGGATAGCGACAAATTGAAACTCGATGGTAGCGATTCTGAACTTAGTGATCTCGAGGACCCTGAGCCCGATCCAACACTTGACCACCTTCAGCAGCCATCTCAGCCATCTGAGCCCGTCGAAACCGCCCACGATGCGGCACCCGACGACAATCACAAGGTCGAACCCGACGCTGAACCCGAACCCGTTGAAGATATCGGTGAGGTTTTGCCAGATCATTGGTCCGGCACCGTCCCTGTCTTCAAACCTGACATGCGACAATTCAAGGACTTTAAGCTGTTTGTGAGTACCAATTATGAGGGGGAAAATGGCTACAGCACGAATATTCCGCCACCCATGACGGTCATCGGTCATCGCTAATTATCTATTGCAGATGGAAAAGATTGATCATTACGGTATGAAGTCTGGGATCGTCAAGATCATTCCTCCCGCCGATTGGAAGGAGAAACTACCGGACTACCACGAACTCGTCAAACAGATCCGCGTACGGGAGCCCATCAAGCAAGACATCATGGGCTCAAATGGAACCTATCGACAAATGAACATTCTTCATCAGCGCTCGTACAATCTTCCGCAATGGCGCCAGCTCTGTGATCAGAGCGAGCACCAGCCCCCTGCCAGACGGGGTGAGCGTCGAGCCAATGCAGACAAGGCGAGGCCCGCAACCAGGTCTAAACCAGCCTCGTCCTCAGGCGCGCCCTCTGCGTCTAAGGGACGCAGCGGCCGTGCCACGAGAGGAAGGGGCAGGAAGGCCAAGAATGCTGTAGGACAGGAGCGCCCCATGACTCCGATATCGCCCAAGCCAGGCGAAGATATCATGGAATCTGTCGAACAAGACGATCCGGATGCATCCATGGACGTTGATGAAGAAGATGCGCCTCGAGCTCCCGGCAGAATGGGCGGTGCCAGACAGCCCAAACCTCAAACCCAATCCACCTCGGCGCGCAGAAAGTACTCCAGGAGGGAAGCCTCGGCTCGCATTGACGAGGAAGCCTTCAAAGACTGGGATTACAACATGGACATTTCGGATTACACCCCTGAGCGATGCGAAGAGCTCGAACGTATCTACTGGAAGACGCTGACATATGCTCCTCCTCTGTACGGTGCCGATCTGCTTGGCACGCTCTTTTCTGAAGACACCGAGATGTGGAACCTGAACAAGCTGCCAAATTTACTGGATGTGCTTGGTAGCAAGATTCCTGGAGTCAACACGGCATATCTCTACCTGGGAATGTGGAAGGCTACATTTGCTTGGCATCTCGAGGATGTTGATTTGTACAGTATCAACTATCTTCATTTTGGTGCCCCTAAGCAATGGTACAGCATTTCTCAGGGTGATGCGCGTCGTTTTGAAACGGCCATGAAAAGTATATGGCCGACTGATGCCAAAGCTTGTGACCAGTTCCTGCGTCACAAGGCTTTTCTCATCTCGCCGAGCCATCTTCAATCTCACTTCAATATCAAAGTGAACAAGGTCGTTTCATATCCTGGAGAATTTGTCGTTACCTACCCTTATGGTTATCACTCAGGCTACAATCTGGGCTACAACTGTGCGGAAGCAGTCAACTTTGCTTTGGATTCCTGGCTGCCCATGGGTCGAATCGCCAAGAAGTGCGAATGCGCTCAGGCACAGGATAGTGTTTGGATCGATGTTCATGAGATCGATCGCAAACTTCGGGGCGAGTCTACAGACTACGAAGAAACCGAAGATGAAGAAGAAGATGAGGATGATGAAGTCGACGACGAACAGGACACATCGCAGATGTCTAGCACCATCAGGATCAAGCAGCCGAATCGTAAAAGGAAGCGTATCGCTGTCGATAAGGGCGACAGACAAACCAAGAAGATCCGATTGCGTGTCCGGGTCAAGACTCAGATCGAGCCGCCGTGCTGTCTCTGCCCAAACACCGTCCTCGATGCTGTGTTGCTGCCTACCGACGATGGCCGAAAAGCGCACCGTATGTGTGCCCTTTACGGTCCGGAAACATGGATCGAGACAGTGGACGGTCAGGAGATTGTCACAAACGTTGCGAACATTAGCAAGGCCCGCCTGGAGCTCAAGTGCTTGTACTGTCGCTCCAAGCGCGGCGCTTGCTTCCAATGCTCTTACAGAAAATGTGCTAGGTCTTACCACGCGACTTGTGCCGCAGCTGCCGGAGTCTTTGTTGAAGAGGGTGAAGTGCCTATCTTTGGCGAAGATGGTACTGAATACAAGGAACAGGCTTTCGAGTTCAGCTGCCGTTTCCACCGTAGCAAGCGAGACAAGAAGCTCGATGGCGAGGCACTGGATGATTGCAAGAAGATCCATGACGCTGCTGCCTCCCTTAAGCAGGGCGAAATCGCCCAATTCCAGCTGTACCGCGGCGATATCTTCGCCGGAGTTGTGGTGGAAAACAGAACCGATGAGCAAACAGTGCTCATCGAGGTCATACCGAATGGGTGCGCACAAGATAAACACCTCAGTGTGAGGAAAATGCCGCTAATAGTCGCTAGTGACCGTGTCGAGGTCGAGTGGAAATGGCTTCTCGTACCAGAGCCATCGGATTTCCGACTACAGAAGGCCTCACCCAACGCCATTCCGATGCCCACGTCGCGACAAGCGAAAGAGAAAATTAATGCCACTAAACGCGCAGCTGAAGAGCTACCAAGAGCCCAAGACGATTTCGTCGATGGGTTCACCTGGGCAGAGTTCCATACTGCCAAGAATCCTACTAACAAAGTGCAGGTCAAGGTTGACTTTTCCAAAGAGATGCAAATTTGGCATTATCTCGGGAGGACATCAACAGAAGCTCGAGCACAGTATACGGACGATGTCGCGAAACAGGTCCACAACTCAAAGAGTAACTTTCTGGACACGATCCCGCGACCTCCTGCGCCTGTTGTTACTCGGCCTTGGCCAGTGCCCTATAATACGCCTGCCAAGGTTGACAGGCCCTACCAGTACAAGCCCAAGACGCCCGTTGTGCCAGAGTACAGCCCATATCACAACCAGCAGCAAAGCTCTAACCAATTCTTTGTCTCTCCTCACCACGGCACCCAACCGCAGACATACAGCGGTCAGCCGTATACGGCCCAACAGTTTGCGCCGAATACCCTTGCTGCAAAGCCGTTCCCTACCTCGACATCTACATTTGCTCCACAGCCTGGGCAAGGAGCCTTCTACGCGAACCAGTCCACGCCCAAGACTCTGCCTCGGCAACCTCAAGCAACGCCGAACACGGCTCCGCAACAGTCGCAGCATAGACCGGGAGTTCTATCCCAATCGACCCCGAGGTCGACTCAACCACAGAAGTCGTCCACACCTCATTCTGCTCCAGCTCATTCGCGTAATAAGTCTTTGCCCTTTGGCACAGATCCGCGATACAGAACCTCATCTACGTATGGCTCCGCCCGCTATGACAAAGGCTCAAGCTCACCATTCAGCTATGGTATTATGCAACCACCGGGTCTCGGCGCGACGCCTTCGCCGCAGAACGGGCAGGTGTTCCAAGCACAGGCGAGGGAACGGTCCAGCTCGGCTGCGTCTGCCATGTCTATGCCCATGACTTCATCAGTAATTGGACCTTCAGCGTCTACAAGTCTGGGCAGCGGCGGGCAGCCTCAGGTCGTCAAGCTGCCGATTCCTCCTCGACCCCAACCGCCACCGCCGAGCGTTGTGCAAAAGTATGCCTACTTTCAAGCTCACCACAACAGGTATGGTTTCTTCGTCAGTTGCTGCCAGTAACCGTGCACTAACCCAAACATAGGGACTCGACCAAGTACCGGACACCGTATGCTCCATGGGGAGGTTTCACCAATGGTTATGAAGGTAATCTACGAGCACACCTGATGAAAACTCCAGATGCATTGTTCAGCTACAAGCAATCTCCCGCCATCCAACCCTCTGCAACTCAAACTCCTCCATTACACAATTCTGCAAATGCACAAGGGGTGTCTACGGTCGCAGTCGATCGCATGTCGCATACACCTCAACATGACGCTCCTGCTCGCCAATTATCTTCTCCAGCAGTTGCACCCGCTCAGGCTACCCCTGGACCGCAAACCCCTAGTTCAGGTGGATCCAACATATTGCAGACGGCTAGTGGACCCTATGATCCTGAATCTGTACTTACCAAGCTACATCCCGCCATCCGAGCGCAATATGCAGCCATGTTGCAGAGAAAACAGGCAGAGGAGCAGATGCAGGCGCCAGCTATTGCACAGGGCTATACTCAGAATTCTCCACCTTCCAGCGTGTCGGCTGAGCTCCAATCGGCGCAGCAAGACAATGTGCAGAACAGCAGATCAGGTAGCATCTCAGGCTTCCCGCGAACTAGTTATGAGCATCAAGCACAACACTATACACCAAGTCCGCAATCGTCGGTACAGCATACGTATCAAGCATCTGGTGATGCCTACCAGAATCCGCCCGTTGCATCTCATCATGCCATGGACATGGGTCCGTCCGTTGAGACATCAAAGCAACCAATCAAACAGCAAACCCCGATTCCAGAGCAACGACCAGTACCTGCCACTCCAGTTGCGCAGCCGCGCCCTGTAGTCATCAAGCAAACTCCCGTGCCACCACCTCGACCCTGGGAGCAATTGCAAAGGACTACACCCAAGAGCAGCCCGGCGTTGCCTGTATCACCACCAGCGGCAACAACAACACCAGCGACGACAACCGCTAATGTGGAAAGTAAAGTTTTGGATCCAGTACCTGATTCCGGGCCCCAGCCCATTAATGTAAGCGGACCTCTCTGGCAGACGTTCCAACAGACAATGCCTAACCGCAATAGTCCCAGCCCGCAGAGCAGCTTCGATCCATTCCAGTTCATCAACTTTCAGTAGACACCAATCAAGAACCTGAGTCTCCCCATGCCCTGGGCCAGACATTCCCCGAGGTTCCGGCAGGCTCTTTTGACTTGGTCGAGGAAATAATCAGGAATGCCAAGAGAGCCAGTGGATCCGACTTTGCACACCTGTAACAACACATCAAGTGTGCGCATGGCAGTCAGCGTGGTCAGCACAGTCACCATGGTGCATCCTGTTGCTGAGAAAGGCGTTGGGCGGAAAGATGGAGTGAAAAAAGGATTCCCGGTATGGCGTATAAAGGTCTGGTTTTTTCTGAGTGGAGTATTAGGCGTTTGAAGGTACCTCGAGGGTTTTACATGTTGCCTACGAGGTTATAGCGTTGCATGTGCAGACAAGGCCCCTTTCGTTGTTTGCATCGGCGCATCTATGTATACACTTTTGCCGAGGCCAAGGGTGTTGGGATCTTATCCTCGGTGATATCGAAGCAGCAAGCCATGCGGTGGCATCAGGCATGGCAGGAGCTGCGATTAATGTACAGTAGTTTCAGGTATGGCCGCCTCGGGCGCACACACACCATTGTAGCATTGGGGGCTCAAGACGAGTCGTAGCTGCATCACTGGCCAGCATCATTTTTATCTTGCTGTGAACCAAAAAGAACCAGCTATGGCTGTCTTTATAATCATAATGCGAGAAGAGCAAAAAACAATAGATGAAAAAGCCTACCAATATCGGGGAAGTGTGACGTCTACATCTATACACTATATTGCATATATATTTACGTACACGTAAAATACTGCAGGTAAAATATTAATGCAAGAAGACATTGATACAAGTTGCAATCATTAGTGGCCCACCAAGTAATAAATCGGGTCCGAATGATGGATTAAATGACTTGATTGGCTGGTGAATTTCGTACTGTCCTGTATGGTGGGGTGCTAATTATTTTTTTGTTCAGCCTTGCCTCGCCGCTCGCTGCTTGCTACCTTTCTAATCATTGATGCAGTTGCTTTGGATGCGCCTGCATTTCTCAACCACACAACGCTCTCTTGTTTCCGTCGCGAACTCGATCATCGCAGTCTTCCAGTGCCCCTGAAACAAAGCAGGCTCACTTGTGGACAAACATCAGTGGTTGTCACCTGCAAAAGTCACTATTCGAAATGGCAGGCGACTACTCTACAGCACCCGCCAAGGGTGACAGAAAGCGATCAAGCGACGCCTCAGATACCCTCGCCACTGCTAAGCGCATCAAGAAAGGCGAATCCAGCGATGACCAGGCCATCGAAAGCAACCCTTACTTGGCGCATCTAAAGCAAGAAACGGGCGGAAACTCGGGCGAAATGCCCTCCAATTCCCTACTTCACAAATTCAACCGCCGAGAGACGACCGCTAGGCAGGCAGCCGAGGCCGAGGATGGCAATGACAACCCCTTCACCGGCGAGCCTCACTCGCAACAGTACTTCAAGATTCTCAAAGGCCGGAGAGATCTTCCAGTTCACAAGCAGAGGTAAGCTAAAACACACACGGGCTGTTCCCAGCACGTCTTTTTTGCGACCAGTAACTAACAATTGTTCCTTCAACCAGGCAAGAGTTCCTTAATGCCTACCATAGCACGCAAATTCTGGTTTTTGTCGGTGAGACGGGTTCCGGAAAGACGACACAAATCCCCCAATACGTTGTATACGACGAGTTACCACAGCTCAACAGGAAGCTGATTGCATGTACACAACCTCGTCGAGTCGCTGCCATGTCGGTTGCCCAGCGTGTCGCCGACGAAATGGATGTCGAATTGGGGCAAGAGGTCGGTTACAGCATCAGATTTGAAGACAGGACCGGCCCTCGCACGATGCTCAAGTACATGACTGATGGTATGTTGCTGCGAGAGGCCATGCATGACCACATGATGTCTCGCTACAGCTGTATTATTCTGGATGAGGCCCACGAGCGTACCCTGGCGACGGATATTTTGATGGCTCTGCTCAAGCAGCTAGCTAAACGCCGCCCGGACCTCAAGATTATTGTCATGTCTGCAACCCTCGATGCACAAAAATTCCAGAAATATTTCTATGACGCACCGCTCCTGGCTGTGCCTGGTCGAACCCATCCAGTAGAAATTTTCTACACCCCCGAAGCTGAGAAGGATTACGTTGAGGCTGCCATCAGGACCGTTCTTCAGATCCACGCATCTGAGCCAGAGGGCGATATCCTTCTTTTCCTCACCGGTGAAGAAGAAATCGAGGATACTTGCCGTAAGCTGTCGCTTGAGGCGGATGAAATGGTCCGGGAAGCTGATTGTGGCCCCATGGCTGTCTATCCTCTTTACGGTACGCTGCCGCCCCATCAACAGCAGAAGATCTTCTCAGCTGCACCTCAGCCTCTGAAGAAGGGCGGCCGTCCTGGTAGAAAGGTCATTGTTTCAACAAACATTGCCGAGACCAGTTTGACCATTGACGGCATCGTCTACGTCGTGGATCCGGGATTCAGCAAGCAAAAGATCTACAACCCTCGCATCCGGGTCGAATCTTTACTTGTTTCTGCCATTTCCAAGGCTTCGGCTCAGCAGCGTGCTGGTCGTGCTGGTCGTACAAAGCCTGGAAAGTGCTTCAGACTGTACACAGAGGAGGCTTTCAAGAAGGAGCTTATTGAGCAGACATATCCCGAGATCCTTCGATCCAACCTTGCCAATACTGTCCTAGAGTTGAAGAAGCTAGGCGTGGAGGATCTTGTGCACTTTGATCTTATGGACCCCCCGGCCCCCGAGACCATGATGCGCGCCCTGGAAGAGCTCAACTATCTGGCTTGTCTTGACGATGAGGGTGAGCTCACCCCTCTGGGTAGTCTGGCCTCCGAGTTTCCCCTGGATCCAACTTTGGCAGTAATGCTCATTTCCAGTCCCGAATTCTACTGCTCAAACGAGATGCTTTCAATCACTGCACTCTTGTCGGTGCCCAACTTATTCGTCCGCCCAGCCAACAAGAGACGGGAAGCCGACCAGATGAAGGATCTTTTCAAGCACCCCGAAGGAGACCACCTCACCATGCTCAACGTCTACCATGCTTTCAAGGGAGAGCAGAACAAGGGGGAAGATACGAAGCAGTGGTGTCACAGACACTATCTCTCGCACCGACACCTCACGAGTGCAGATAGCGTTCGAGCTCAACTGAAGCGAATCATGGAGACGCAAGGTCTAGAGCTAATCAGCACTGACTTCAACGATAAGAATTATTACACCAACATCCGCCGCGCCCTGGTGGCTGGATTCTTCATGCAGGTCGCAAAGAAGGAGTCGAGCGGCAAGATTTACCGCACCATGAAGGACAATAACCAAGCTGTCATGATTCACCCTAGCAGTGTCCTACAGACAGATTACGAATGGGTTCTTTACAATGAGTTTGTTCTCACCACAAAGCAATATGTGCGGACCGTGACTGGTATCCGACCCGAATGGCTCCTGGTAAGTTTCGAGGAGACGAAGAAGAAAAAACCCCACCTGTCTCATTTCATGTTTCTCTCGGTCGAAGTCTCCCTGCTAATTCTTTCCAAAAGGAAATCGCTCCGGTTTACTACGACGTTGATCATTGGGATGGTCAGAAGGACGTCAAGCTGGCCCTCAAGTCGGTCCAGGACAAGATGCGACGTCGTGCAGCCATGAAAGCTGGCCGATAAAGTGTGCGCCAGCCAGTACTGATAATCACAAGCTCTCCATACTACTTTGTAGTATTCACTGCCGTTGGGCACATTTCGGAGGGGAATTGCTCTGCAAAGACTACAAACAATACGCTGGCCGATCACTTTTTTATTAATTCAGCGATCCATCTCCCTGGAATTTCATCAAGGGCAGTGCGTTTTGCCAGCATATCATCCTCCCGTCTAACCGTCCTTGACTTTACCTCCAAACTGAACCTCAGGATTATGCCCACCCATGCGGGCAAGCAGGGGGACACATTGTCTCTCACTGCGTGGAGTACTACTGCCATGAGATTGCTAGTACACGTAGTTTGGCAGGGCGACGAGGCATGCTTTAGAGAGATATTGCCATGTCAGTAAAGGATAAGGAACGGGATAGGATGGGTCGAGCCGTAGACAGACAACAAGTCATCCTTGAGGGAACAAGAATCAGAACTATGAGCGAAATTGGAAGCTAGGTATGCAAATATAAAATACAGACACCCAGAGTTAGACGATTTTCATCAAGACGGTTTTTGAATCTTCATGCATCATGTCGGCCGCATGTTTCTATTCATGATATCGGTATTAATTTTATTGTCGATATTTTCCCCCTGTACAAGCCTTGTCCGGCAGTTGAAGCCTCTTGTCAATTTTTTCTTCCTCTTCTTCCTTTTCCCCGCCGTGCCCCGTCCCATGTCCGCCGCTGTTCCTATCTCATGCAAATAGAACCCGAATTAGTCTCGTCCAATGCAACACTGAGCTCGGCCTGCAGATGACACAAGGAAAAAGAGTAAGGAAAGAAAATGAGGACCGCGCCAAAAGAGTTGAGCTAATGTATCCTGCCAAAACCACCCTACACATTCCCCCCCACCCCTGGTCACTGGCGAGCATATGGCTTGCATGAGGAGAGGCGGCGGCGGCTAGCCCTTTGGCCGTTGCAATTTGTAAGTAGTATATCGAGCCGGTCTAGGTATGCAGGCAAGGACTAGGATGAGGTTGACCATTTGCGTGTACATATGCAGCAAGAAAAAAAAAAGAAAGAAAGAAGGTAAAACTTTAGTATTCCAATTTCATGTACCTCTGTCAAGCTACCAGTAGTCTTGGCAGTCTTATACTAAATAAACCTGTACTTACCTCACCCTAGGCTTCCTTCCTTTCAACTCCCCCACCGCTCGACACAGGGGTGGCTAGCAATCTGATCATGCAGGTTGAACACACCAAATGACAGCTATGGCAGGGGTGTGAGAAAGAATACGTACTGTGTAGAGAGCGTCATGACTTGGCCATGACTTTGAAATCTTACACGCCGCGTATCTAAATGACACCTTGCGTCCGTGTGCGCCACCGGGCGTGCTAAGGGCGACTTGATTGCCACAGTCAATAGCAATTTCAACGAAAGGGATGGTAGCTGAGTGCTGTACTGTATAAGTGGTAGGCATACTTGGAGAATCTATAGCTTCAAAGAATAGATGATCGAAAGCATGTGGGTATAGGCGGGAGGTGATCCGATGTACCTGGGGTCGATCTTGCATTTTGTTGTAGGTTAATCTATGTGAAGAGATTGATTGTATATTCGGATGTCGGATACCCGTGTGATAATGATGATAATCTTGTTTCCTGTCAGTCAAGGTCAGTGTATGACCGGACGTACATAATTTTGTGTCTTACATATTACGGCCTTTCTTTTTTTCTTCTTCTGATAGCTGTCAAGTACACAGGGTTCAATGTTCAATACTGTATGTCGATAGATATTCGTCGGTGATGGTGGGTGTTCGCCACATGCTGGTTTTCTGGTGACTAGGGGCGCGGCTCTCGGGAATGTGGAAAGGACATGAAGTAAGTTATTGCCAGCATGTTGACTTGGTCTATTCATGCAGTGAAAATCATGTATAGGAAAGATACGCATCCTTGTAGGTCTTTGGACAGCGCTGGTCTTTTCAGATCATTTTGGGGTTGTAACGCGGCTGGGCGTCGGCATGATCAACAGTCGTATCCGCGGCCTGTATGAAGCTTAATCTTTGCTCATAGCCATCGCCCCTGGATTAGGGCACTCTTTCTGCGTGTTTATCTGCGGTTCGGGAAGAAGCCTCTTCCTAACGCTCGGTAACGTCTCCGGTGCCCTTGGTCGTCCGAAGTTCGAATGACAGGGTATATGCCATGCTAAGTCAGTACTGGTCGTCATCTCGGATCACCAAGCCGCCACTCTGGTGTCATCTCCGCGATTGAAAAGCTCGACCAGTAGTCTCATCCAAGCATATTACGCCCAAGTCGATGGAAATGCCTGCGCCGTCAACCGTAACAAGCCGTTATCTGAAGGTACATTGCGCCTGGGAGGCTACAGGTTCCAGACAATAAGCGGCCTTCAACAAGCGCTTCAATCATTTTGCCGAATTTGAGTAGACAATGTGACAATACAACACCCTCCACCAATACAGCTGATATAACTGGTTTATGCCAGGGAGGGTACAAAAAGACCTGCGCACGGGCAGTCAAGCTGTCGAGCCATCGAGAAGTGACTAAACTGAATCGGCCTATTCAAGTCGACCTAAACGATTCCGTTTCAACTGTCTCAATGTGCCGGGCAGCAGAAATAAGTTAGGGGAGAATAGACCACCTGCCATTGAACCGGTGAGTGACTTCAGATGCGTCTTCTTCTCGAGAGACGCGTATGTCGTCTCACTGGCCACGGCTCCCATTGGCCCTGCGCTTTTCACCGGCTAGAGCGCCAAAAGAAAACCAACTGAATATTGCACCTACGTGGCGTTTTCTTCCGTCTTGAAAATGTTCTTTTGGTGTTGCCAAGGCAGAATTTGTGTATACAGATTTGATTATGATTTCAAATCTCGCAGCTCAGTGGCACGGTGTCTAGCCGAGAAATGAATCCTGTCAAAACAGAGAACAATATTTCCGTGCTGCCGTGATCATCCTCGGCAGCTACGATCTCATGTTGTATATCGTTTGGAGGTCCATGTGAAAAAGTGGGTTTGTTCCTATAATGTGTACCTGAGATGCTCATTTATGTAATGGAAAATAATTAACGAATACTTTCATTGCGTTGCCTTGCTCAAGATCATATGGTCTTTTCTTGTTGAAGAAGTTATCGGCCGGAAAAGGTAAGCTCATGTCAATTTGCTGGGTGTTTCCTTGAAGTACTGTGACTGTCTATACCAGGATTCGCCGGTGCCCAATATGAAAATGAATGTATAGATCGTCGAGTCGGTATTTTTTCTCTCTCGAGAATCTAGCGACAGGACTAAAAAGCATGGATTGTAATCAATGCAAATTTAATCAGACTCTATAGTCGGCGCAAGACTATCGTCGTTTGCAGAGCCATGACCTGGTGGTTGCCATCACCACCTTAGCGGTCAAGACTGTCCTCATCTATTCAAGTCTTGGGTAATTGAAATTGTGATGAAGATCCCTGATCTTTGCATCAAGGATTTTGCTAGAGTGTTTGCGATTGGCCCCAAAGAAATCCTGTTGCACTGCAGAGTGACTGTATCGGTCCATCAAGACGGGTGGGCAATCACTGAGGAGGGGGAGCAGCTGTTCGATGCATGGTATTTTCGTTCTGGTAGTAGATTTCTTTCTCGGATGATCAATCCCAAAGTTGCATATAGTGTCATTGTGCTAGAGCTGCCACGTCGGTTACTGAGACTTGACCAAAGAGGTGACGCGTACACCAAGCCTAGCAGTAGAGAGCCCATAAACATGCCAGGCTAACACGCTCTAAAGTCTGAGATTCAAGATCCCCAAGCTGATGGTGTTTGGGTGCATAGCCTCTCACCTCAAAGGGGACCTTATCCACTGAAAGTATACGCGCTTGTCGGCAGCCTTTTCCCCCTTGGTACAGATATTTCCGTAGACCATCTCGGGCTGAGTATGGTGAAACTTGGCCAGAGTGGAATGTGTAGCAAAGCCGAGAGAAGCAAAGCAAGTTTGATGCATAGAGAAAAAGCAACACCAATGGGCGAATGAGCGGCCGAGCGGGACACGGTTTAGGGCCTAATTTGTTGCTGCCAAGTTGGATCTCGGTAGCTTGGGGGGTATTTGGACTGCTGGAAACGGAGGAGGTAGTCAGAATCATTTCTCATTACAGAGCAACGATAGCCGCCCAGTAGTTGAGTGTCGTAGGGCTCTTGTTTTGTACTGTCGTGTTCCGAGCAGTCAAGATAACAACCACCTTGGTATCAGTCGACTCGAAGACCATATACCACTTTCGGTGACGTGGAGAGAGGGAGTGTAGTCTAGTGTCTGTCTGGGTTGTTGGCTTGGGGGAAAATATCTGACCTAGAGAGCCTGGCCAAGAAGACATGTACGTGATCCTAGCGAGCTCAAAGACTGCATAAACTCGTTTTTACCTTGGCAAGCATGATCATCAGGCTGACTTGGCAACTGCCTGACAGGCGTATATGGCAAACAGAAGCGGCCGTGTTGTGGGTGGTTCATTGATTTGTATATGTATACGATTATTTTTCCGAGAAGTGGTACAAGTGAGTACGAGCAATCAACATGGAATCAAGCATCAATAATTGACGTGCATACTTGAAGAAAGGCAGGCATGGGAGGCAGGTAGTACATGGATGGGGTGGCAGTTTCACCAATGGGCAGGATGGGTACGATTGGAATGCCAGCTTCTTATGCAGAGGAATTAAAGTAAAAGTAAAGTTCCTTAGGGCAAGAGCTATCTATCTATCTATCTACACATGTGATTAGGTAGAGAGGAAACCATGACATGAGAAACGACGATTGAAGCTCTGAATCTCTTATACATAGTACCTACATAGGCAACAAATCATTCTCACAAGTACACTGCATGACGTGGGTCGTACAAAAGAAAGAAGAAGCCGCGACCATGTTTGAGAGTGACAGCAGCAGCAGCCCCCCCCCCTGTTGGCGATCGATCCCCTTGCGAGGGGGGCGATCGGCAGCACTGAGTCTCAAGCAGCTGTATGTCGTGTAAATAAAAGTCAGTCCACTGACTCTGTCCATATGCG